AGAGAATACACGAAATTATGTCCGCACGAACCTGTAAAATTTAAGCAATCCTCGAAAATTGGCCCAACGAATTTAAATGATTCAACAGTAGCTTTCATTAATATGTCTCAGTATATGAAGTTTGAAAAAAAATAGTATCTTGAATAGTTTCTGTGAAACTGAGCTAAATGCAAAGTGCAAATGTAGTTTCTAGTTCAATCTAACCAGGTCAGGAAGTTGCTTTTAGTCATGTGGTGAATATGAATCAATTCTTTCAAAAAAAGTTTATTTATGGGCATTAAGTAGACATACTGAGCGCATAGTAATAACGAACAATTATCAAAGTTAAATGATAAATAAGTCAAGTACCCAGGAGTTGGGGGGGGGGGGGTCATCTCAATGAATACCAATGAATAATTGAAATTGTTTAATTGACATCCCCACTCTAACTGTATATTTTCTTCCTGCTCGTGTAAAGATACATTTAGTGGAATTTGGACAATTGCCCCCGTGGTCATCTCTACCCCTTACTTTATAACTGGTCAAATATCTTGAAAACTATTGACATATCCCCCGCTATACAATATATTTTCTTGCTGCTTATATCAAGATACATGAAATGGTTGGTTAGTCAAATGCTCCCAAGGTCATCCCCACCACAACATTTTATGATTGGTCATAATATCTTGAAAGCATTTGATATCCCCACCCTTTGCATATATTCTTGCTGTTCATGTCAAAATGCAACGAGTATTATGTTGGGCAATTGCCCCAAGGCTACTAGTATTCCCATCCCCTTATTTTATAATTGTTCAAATGTCTTGAAAATGCTTGAGATCCCCGCCCTTATCCATATGCATTTTCTTGCTGCTTATATCAAGATGCATTGAGTATTCTGTTTAGCAAATGCCCGGGACCCACCCCCCATGAAATAATTAGAAAAATATCTTGAAAATGGTTGAGATCCACAACCGTTAACTATATATATTTTCTTGTTAGCCTTACGTCAAGATGTTCTTTATATCCTGTTTGGTGAGTGTCCCAGGGTCATCCATACGCCCCTCCCCATTTTATAATTCTTTGAATATCTTTAACACAGTTGATATCCCCAGCCCTAAATCATATATATTCTTGCTGCTTAGTCAAAATGCATTGTGTATTATAACCGGCAAGTGCCATCAAGTATCCCAACCCACCTCATTTTATAATTGTTCAAAATCTTAAAAATGGTTAAAATCCCCACCCTAATATATATATATATATATATATATATATATATATATATATATATATATATATATATATATATATATATATATATATATATATATATATATATATATATATTCTTGCTGCTTATTTCAAAATGCATTAAGTGTTATGCCGGGCAAATGCCCCAGAGTCAACCTCTCATTTTATAATTGTTCAAATATCATTAAATTGCTTGAGATCCCCACCTCTAGACCATAGATATTCTTTCTGCTTATGTCAAGAAACATCAAGGATTCTGTTTGCAGCAAATGCTCCGATGTCATCTCTATCCCCTCAGTTTATAATTGTTCAAATATCTTTTTTAAATGGTTGAGATCACTACCCTTAAAACATATATTATCTTGCTGCTTATGTCAAAATACACTGGGTATATATTATGATTAGCAAATGCCCAAGGGTCTTCCCCACACTGTCAACCCCCAGTGTATAATTGTTAAATATCTTTAAAACAGTTGAGTTCCCCAGCCTTAAAACACATATATGCTGCAGCTTATGTCGAGTTGCATTGAGTATTATGTGGGTAAGTGTTTCATAGGGTCATCCCTCACCCCTTCATTTAATAATTGTTCAAATATCTTGAAAATACTTGAGATTCCCAACCCCTTACCATATACATGTATGATCTTGCTGCAAATGTCAAAATGAATAGTATTCTGTTCGGCAAGGGCCTGGGGTCATCCCAATCCTAAATTGGCCCCAGGATGTAATTGAACATTCCGAATCCTTATTGATATCTACATGACACAAACAATCATTTTCCAAAAGATAATTTGGCTACTGTAGAAAAATGTAAAAGGAGTTTTGTTAATCAAGTTTTAAAAAAAAAATTATCTAGAAAACATCATTTTAACGGCCCCAGGATAAAATGAAAATCCTGAAACCTTATTGCACATCTTCAGGACACCACCAATCATTTTCAAAAAGATGAATTGGTTACTGCTCAAAATTTAATAAGCGTTTAAGGAGGAAGAAAGTGTGACAGACGGACGGACGGACCAGGATATAACAACAACATACCCGAACTTTCTTTAGAAAGTGTGGGTATAAAAACAAGGAAAGAAAAAAAAAAAGAAACTAGATAGCCGTACTAGTATTTCAAAGGGCAAGGTCATTAAATGTTGAGTTAAAATTTATCTGGCTTCTGAATCCACAGTATTGAATAAGGATATTATAAGTACATGTACTTCTCAAAATTTAATTGTCGAGCTTAGGTCATACGAGGTTAAAGTAGCTTTAATCTCTTTACTACAGGGTTGTAACCCCAGCTTAAATCCTTGAAATCAGAATAACTTGATACTTTACAAATTATTTTTTCCTGTAAAATTATTTTACTTACCTATGCATTTAGATGTTTCATAATTTGTTTTCTTTTTTTATTCTTTGTTTTCTTTGAAATCAATGTCTTAATTGGCTTATACACTGTATAGTGGGTGGGTGGGGCATTCTCCTTCATCAAAACGATGACTGTACTCTGGCATATATCAATAAGTTGTATAACAATTAAATTGTGGAGGTTAACGTACATGTAGACATTAACCTTTACTCTAGTTAGGCGATCAAAGACCATTCATACATGTATTTATCTGTGAAGTATTAATACAAGGCAATCCGGCAAAATTAAGAGTAATTTAATTAAATATCTGTATAAGTACATTTTTAGCTTTTTTTTCAAAAAGTTTTGAAGGGCTTTGCCAGATTGCTATTTAGATACTAGACTAGATCAAACCCCCAAAAGAGAAATTAAAGTTGAACTCTCTCTCCCTCGCAAAAATAAATAATCAAAGAAAGAAAGGAGAAAAAGGATCAATCAAAATATCAATCAAATATATGGCTTTTAACAAAATGACATTGATCTTTATGAATGGTCTAGGTCCACATTAGTTATGGTTCGAAGTTTTTCAAGTAATTTTATGGACATGATTTCAGTTTAAATCAAATTTTTTATAGAAAATTTTAAACAAAAACCAAACAAACGCAAAAAAAAAAAAAAAAACAAAAAAAAAAACAAAAAAAAAAAAAAACAAAAAAAAAACAAAAACAACAACAACAACAAAACAGAAATTTGAACTAAATGAACTTGAAACGTTGAAACACAATATTTAAAGATTTTGGAAGAAATTGACATTTTGAACTCTATGACTTTGAACCTTTAGAGAAAAATCAAGGTAGAAGATTTGGAATGGTTTAATATCTTACTATTTGATTTAAGAGCCCTATATACATTGCACACTAAAGAGTTCTGATTTTGTGGTATTTTTATGCAGATAGAATAATCTGCCCTTTGATCTAGAATAAAATAAATTGAAAAGTAAAGTTTATTACTTCATTTGTGATCAAGCATTCATAAAATTTTAATAGGCCAAAATGAATAAATTGAAAAGTTTATTTGCAGGAATTTTGCCCACTTGAGTAAACAATTGAATAAAAATTGGATGTTGAAATGACAATAGCATTGTCGTATGGGAATCATAATTACGATATATGAATTAATCACTTAATTTTTTCTTAAATATTCTGTCGTTATAAGTTAAAAGAAATTAACAGTGTCTTTCGATTATATAAATGTTAATACAGTCATTATATAGTAATTCAGATATATTGCGCTATGTTTATATGTAGAACACACACGATGCTCCTCAAAATTGTCCTCTACAATGTACTTTAATAATTTACAGCTCATCTTAATGATGTACACTTCATGACCTGACTTTATACGCACGTTTCATGCGCCCTCACGTGTCAGCTCTCAGAATTAGAAGTATTTGATGTAGACTGTACTTATCAGCTGTTCGTACTTGTGCTTACTACGGTTCGGATCTAGAATCACCATTAACCTCTGGTTCACGTACACTTTACCGTGCAAGGGCAAAAACTCTACAATTGAGGAATCGAGAAATCTTCTTTTTTTTTCCGAAAATAAAAAATATCTCCCCAAAATGTGAATGTGCTTGCATATCAATATGACTGATTGTGGTCCGATGAAGATTTTTAAAAGAAATTTCCTATACATTCCCATGTAAAGATCTGATCTCCTATAATGGCACAACCTTACCCCGGGGGGGGGGGGAGGGGGGGATTTGTACAAACTTAAGTATGCACTACGCCAGGAAGGTTTCACATAACTTTCATTTTTTCTGACCAAAAAGTTCTTAAGAAGATTTTTAAATGACCTCCCCAAATTTTCATTATTTTTTAATTATGTCCCCTTGATCGTACATGTAGCTATGTTCTTTTATGTTTTGTCCAAAATACTGCTACATTGTGACATATTTCAGAGAGATTGTGATTTGTATGTTCGTCATGTTTATAGGTGATACATTACACCTTGTTTAAGAAAAATTAAAAAAAAAAATATTTTCAAAACAAAATAAATTCACTATTCATCTAAATGTATTTACATTTATGCTGCTAAATTTTGTTTATCTAATATTAAATGACATATAGAATACACCCAAACCTAATGAAATGGTACACATTTAAGATTTTATAGCTTAGGGGAGGGAAAAACCTCTTTCAGAAACTTGTTGACGGCCCTGGCACCACTAGTAAATTATGACTAACTAAATGCTTGAGAAGCACAGTCTTAAAAATATGCGTGACATTGTGCGTGTACTGTAAAAAAAGAAACAAACAAACAAACAAAAACAAAATAATAATAATAATTATATTAAACATTTTTTTTAATATTGATTGTTAAGAACTATAATATTTGTATATATTCGTCAGTCGTAAGTAAAATAAAAAAAAAATTGTGTGAATATTGGAATTTATTGAAATGTCACAATTCAACAGTGTACATTTAACAGTTGTATAGTTAGTTCTTCATCTCTCTCTCTCTCTCTCTCTAACTGTTCGTTATTCCTCCTCCTCCTCTTCTAACTCTCTCTTCAAAATAAATAAAAAAAGATAGCTATGTAACATCCACATGTTCTGTCATATCAACAACACAGCATAAAATTAACGTTGAAAACAATGAGAAAGAGAACAAAAATATAAATTAAAACCACCGAATTTCAGTGTCATGGATCTGTCAACCAAAAAGAGCATTATAACTCTGTTTTTGAAGTCAGAAGCAACTCACATAGAAGCAATTCTTTAAACCACCCCTCTCCCTTAAAAAAAATTCCACCTTATGGTTGGTGACTTGCTAGAAGAAAATTTTAGTTTACATACACACAAACTGGTTTTCCCTGTACAATAGTTCTCCCGCTTTTCTCTCCTAAATAAGTCGCACAGTTCATGCATCATATACTGAGGTAACAGGGTATCTACATCAGTTTGTTTGTTTTTTTTTTTTTTTGTTTTTTTTAACACGACAAATCTCAAGTACCTCATACTTTGCTTTTCTCTGGCTAATCATCTTTGAGTTGGATTTTGAATAAGAAAAATCTTAAGACTAAAATTTTAACTTTAAAATACACGTATATGCATTAAAATTTTAATCATTAAGTTATATATTTTATTGTACTAACTTCTGCTGGAGCTGGTTTGGTTTCGGGGACTTGTTCCACTTCATCTTCAGTTTCTAAGCCTCGTTCAGCTGGTTTGGTTTGGGGTACTTGTTCCTCTTCCTCTTCGGTTTCTTGGCTTCGTTGAGCTGGTTTAGTTTCTGGTTTTGGTTCTTCATCAGCGAGTTCAGCCTCCAGACCCGAGTTTTTCGGTGAGGGTTTTGTTTCAGGAGTTAGGTCTTCTGCTGGCAGTGGTTTTGTCTCTGGTTTTACCTCTCTTTCCTGTAATTGTTTATCCTCTGGTTTAACGACTTCTGGAAAGCTTGGAAGCTGTACGGGTTGTTTCTATAGCAATTTACAAAACAAAATGATTTAAAGAGGTTTTGAACTATCTTCATAAATTCCGTTGTTTTAAATTAGATATCTGGTTTTCTGCCAAACATACAGATTTTTTGATGTTCTATAGAGTAAAAATAAGTCTAAGGAAAGCTAATCAAAGATCAACATCCTATGCTATGGCTTATTTTATTTAATTATAAAATATTGATGTAATGGCAGCAAAGTCACTCACGGGTTGAAGCTCCGGGAGCTGCTGAACTTCGCCCAATGGCGCCCCATATGAAGTGGTAACGAACAAGACAAGGAGTAAGCAATACTTCATGTTTACGTCTGGGTATATATAAAAACAAAAACACCATTTCATGGTATACAAAACAAATGCAATTCAGCCAAAATACGTTCTTTCACTGATAAATAAATCATTAGTCATTATCTTTAATAAAGTAAATTTGATTATTAAACAATACAAAAACCACTCCTTATTGGACATTCTAATAATCAACAAAATAACCTACTTGTAAAAGTTGAACAATTTATATATATGAAAATGCTTTTATGTAATTTTTTAGCTAAAATGTCTGTTTGGTTTACTTGGGGAGAATTTAAAAGGAAACTTTCCGAATCATTTCTCACGTAAAAATTAGACATCTGTATTGAGTCAATTATTCCAATAACTGGAATTTCTTGATCAAATCTAAATGCATAGATTTAGGTGATATTTTCCTCTACCTATCTTTGGATTATGTTTTGACCTCACCTGGAACTTTATTGGAAAAATAAAACTTTTTTATTCCCTGCCGAAATGTTGAAAATATATTTTTTGGAATGATCCCGCCCCGCTACCACTACTTAGGTATCTAGTGCCGATCTTTAACCCTTTGAAGTGAGTTATTATAAGGTCATTAATCAGAAGAATATATTTTATAGAATTGTCTTATGTCTTACATCGTTGGAGACAATTTTGGTGAAAGTTAATCCAATAGTTCAGGAGGAGATAAACAAATGAAAAATAACACTATGAAATATATGGAGATAACGAACAGTATTCAAGCTCAAAAGTCCATTAAACATTCAAAATAGGTGCAGAGCAAACATGGACCTCCAAAACATCAGAGGTGGGATCAGGAGCCATGGAGGAGTGAGCATCCCCTGCCGACCGGTCACACCCGCCGTGTGCTCCTTGTCATGATCGGGAAATAACGGAAAAATCCGTCGACAATTCAGTGTGTAAATAATAGCCTAACAATTAGTATGAAAAACGTCAGTCAGCATTTGACTCAATGATAAATTGTATTTGCTGACAAGGTTATTGTATCGACCATAGAACTTACGAAATAATCAACTTGTTTGTCAATAATTTACCTCGTTTTAGAAATTGTACAAACGTAGAGCACGCTCTTGCGTATCGAATCAACTGAGAGATATAAACCCCGTATGCAAATGATGAAGGTATACTGCTGCATAAGTAAGGGAAGTTGACGATTGAAAAGTTAAAGTCATCACGTTTATCATAAAGCTTGGTTGTTAGATTACAATTAACGTCTTTTTCAAGTAAATTATCCATATATGAAACAGATATGTCAGACTATACCAAAGATTATTATTCGACCAGAAAAACTCTTGACCAAATGGTCTATAAGAACAAGTACTCTAATAAAGTCTTTAATGAACAATGAGACTTTTCTGTGATTTAAAAAAAAAATCTAATTTTTACATATCTTTTTAAAATAATAAAAAATATTAAAAATATATTAAAATATTTCTTTTCGTGTTCATAATCTTGTCTTTAGTTGATTTATTAAAGAGATTTGTATACTCATCTTAAAATTAAAATGTTATACCACATACATGTGTATATCATATACACAAGAAAATGTGTATCTGTCAAATTCAACACACAATATTTCAAACAAATCCTTTCCTGCATTTGAGTCACAGGCACTTGTTTCTGTAATCCATTTTAACCCATAGTATGTACATGTAATATAATATTACACTATGGGTTAAAAAAATTATTACAGAAACAAGCGCCTGTGATATGAGCATTAGTTACAAACAATGAAAGCAAGATACAGCATTTATGAGTCTTCTTGAATTTCAAGAGAACAGATTTTTTAAGGAATCAATATTAGACATTTGTTTGTGGATTGAAGATATTTAGGTTGTCTCGGATTGTTTTCTGTTATACTATTACAATAATGTTGAGGAGAAGTTAGACAGTTCAGATTTACTATATGGATGCACACTCACCTTAATAAAATGACCACCTTGAAAATGAGATTTTTTTCTACGTGGTCTATAATTTTATATAGGATAATTAGAACCCATGTTGGACTGACTGAGCCTACAGCTGTGCTCGGCAAACATTTCTATCGAAAGAAATAATTTATTGTCACTCCGATCATAAAAATACGCCATAAGTAAATATAATTTATAATAAATAATTATACTGGTGTTAGAACAATACAACTAATGCATGAAAATTATTGAATAACTACGATGTTAGCTGCTGAACAGTAGCTCTTTAGGAAAGAAAATTTGGACCGACATACCGGAGAACTCTGTAACCTGTAGTATACCAGGGGTGGGGGTGGGGGTGGGGGAGATCGGGGTGGGGGTTGGAGATAGGGGTGGTATAATTCTCTACATATATGATCAAAAAATGAGGAAATCTCCATGGTAGTTGTCTTTAATAAATTTATGGTATGGCTAATTTTCTTTTCGAAAGAGATATAGTTCTACAGCTACTACGATGCGAACGGCTTATTCAGATCACGTAAAATTTTATGAGCATCTGACCAGGATTAAGAGTTCTAGTTTGTTCATTAGTTTCCAAAATAATCATTATAATAATGGTGAGACTGATTAAATTCATATTTTAGATGTCATTGTAATACTAGTACATGCACATTAAAATTACAGTGGAACTTCGGTATCTCGAACATCTATTTCTCGAATACCATGCACGGATATATAGAATTGATCTATAAACCCAGACTACTTCTTCTTTATGTACTTTAACCTCACTGCCTCGAATCCTTGAATTTCTCGAAGTTTCGAGTTCGATAACAGGATTCGACTGATATCTTAATGTTATATTGTCTTATTTTTACTTTCTGTAGATCTCTATACATGTATTTTAGTTACCTTAACACACTCTTCTCTGTTATTGAACCGGTCTTTGCACTAGGAATATGAAAAACATTCTTTGTATTGATTTATTAAAACGGTCACAGAATAGAAGCAAGCAATTCCAGGCATGTCACAATTTGATTCTCCCTGCCAGTTGCTAATTTAATCCAGCAACCTTGAAATGTTCTTAGTTTTTGCTTCTTGTACAGTGCAGATTTTAAGCACGCAAAAACTAAACGCTCCACGCAGCTGTAAAACGTTAAGGAATCGGAATATCACAAGTTACAAGTGTTATTCTTAGTTTGCCATCATATAGTAAGTGAGCGCTGATTACCTTGAATTCCAGAGTGTAATTTTAAGAGTTCATGGAATTTTTTATTCAAAGTCCTGCATCTAACCTTCAATATTGGAATATAGAATTAAAAATCGCCTGTAAAAAGTTTAGGTTTACCAGATGTTTAACCTTCGAATGGCTTTATCTAGTGAATGCAATGCAAAAATATGCACTTTCTCAGAATATTCATTTGGTAAATTGTCTACGTACTTTGTTCGTTATTTTGTACTGTGATCATGCTATCCCTACTATATTTGCTTGTTTAAAAGTTTTATCATGCAGATATATTTCATTCTATGTAGAATTACCTGTACCTTAAGAAAGAAACAAAAGCTTGCTCTCTAGCGATGGTATAAGGATGCTCTCGAATATATCGACATAATTCACGCAGTTTAACCGATACTGAATGTTCCGATTGAACTTTCGGGCATAAAATGTTTACTTACACGAAAGATATAATAATTTTCTATTCCAATACTTTAATAAAGATTTAACACCAGGCCAAAGTACACAAAAAGAAGCATCGCTCACCAAGAGTAGAAGGGCTGCCAATTCTAAAGTAGGGAGTTGCTTTTTACAGATTATTCTTGTCATCTTCATCGAATTTATGTACGTGTATCAATGCTACTCATGGGCCACGAATGTAAAACTTCGTAATGAGAGAGAGAGACCCAAGTTGTAAAAATGAAAACAAAAAACAAAAAAAAAAAAACAGAGCATATACTTCCTGTCATATCCTTAACCCTGTTTTGATTTGCGATGGAATATTCGCTTTGTAACTGTTCAAGACCCAGATTGATTATACAGTGCATAATTCATATGATGATAAATATAAAAGATCTTTGTCATCAGTCGAGTTTTAAACAGGGAGTGAATGTCACAGTTTCGCGTAGTACACTAGACAGCAAAGAGCGGGATAATTCGATATGTTTCACTAGGGCTTCTTTGCCAAGTCTTGCTGTTTAATGTAATAAGAGATCGCGTAGAAACTACAGTTGTGCGATTTTCAGTCAGCATCCAGGTTATTATCAGATGAGGGCCTATTTCGATTAATTTATTGACCATTGGGTAAAAATATAGTTTGAAAATTCACAGCCTTAACCATACTTGTATGATGCACAAAAGTGGCAACAATCATTTTAGATATTTTCATAAGGTAGAGTAATTAAGACATTCAATATTTTCTCTTTTCAAGGATACTTATCTCGTCTAGTATGATAAGTCCTGATTTACAGACCTCTTTCGGTGATAAAATATTATCATCACCATGTTTTATCGAAATCAAGTGGGCGTCAACCCTTCTCCTTCGCAAATGCGCCTCTGAAATTGACAAAGCACCTGTTTCTTGGCAAACACTACAGGGTGTACCGACTGTCCCAACGTAGTTGAAAATCACAATATTTCTCGCATTTAAGGATATGGCGGGTCAAAAATACATGCATTTCCGCAGGCTAACTGTTGTTTTGGGCTTTTTTATTATTTTTTTTTACTAACTTATCCTTGAAATATTTATTATTAGAATGGCTTTTTTATTGTGATATCAAAATTTGATACATGGCGTATAATAATTACTTGAGTAGAAGACATCAAATGCATTATATATACAGATTAATTAATCATAATATTCATTTACATAATTAGGAAGTGCACATAAAAAAGAATACTGAAATTTACATGCACTATGTACAAAGCACCATGTGAAATACAGTGTACTGTTATAAGTTATATTCATATATCAAATAAACAAACGACACTTATCGAGTATAATAAGCACTTTGAGACACATAAAAAAAAATATTTTGATAATGTTAATATTTTTCTCCGTAATATATCTATGGAATATTAATAAAACTACGATGAAAAAAATCTTGAATACAATTTAGAAAAAACTATCTCCGAGATACATTATGGATGGAATGATATGATCTTGGGGTAGACCAGAACAGAAATATCTGTTTTAATCACCCCTCTCTCTGCTTTTGATTTTCTTCACTGCCGTTTTCCGCCATTATCATTGCTATCTAGGTAATTTAGTCAGATTAAAATAGAGGCACACAGACGGATGTTTATTCAGAAGATCAAACTTCAGGAAACTAATTTACCACATTAACAAAATAATCTACCTTTTATTAGAATTACACTCAAAAACAGAATTTACAATTGATGCTGGCAGGTAATGAAACCCCCTTTCATGAAGGAGGCATTTTGTTCAAGTAAACAAATTAATTTGCTTTTTCTTTTGGATTATCTAATTAAAAGAAGTAATAAAAGTACCAAAAGGGTCTGAATTATAAATAGACCTTAACATTTCTTTTACATGTAGATTAGCTGAAGCAAGCACGTGTTTGTGAAAAGGCATTGATCACTCTGAGGAGTTAAACTTAAAAGTTGCATTCTTGGTAACAAAATACAATGTAATATCCATCCATAAATATCTAACATATTGCAGATCATAAAACAGTAAAAATTGACAAAGTAAATAAAAATCATTACATGTCTGCAAAACCAGATTAATACTATTTCTTCAGTTAGCATAGCCGTAACATTATCTTAACTCATAATGACGTTACAATACAACCTTGGATAACTCGACGAACGGCGCAACTGCATTTTATGTGACTAATTAAGGATATTTTTGTTTGTTGCCTATAAAAATGGCAGCTTTTTTATGGTAACCAATCAAGCTTGGTAGTATACTTTTTTTGATTTTATCTTTTAGTATTTCAAAAATTCCCACTTTATTATTATGAATTCAAGAAAAAAATTATTCTGTTCTTAAAATAAGGATAGTTTATGTACGTATTGGTAAATAAACAAAATTAATTAAAAAAAAACTTTTGAGTTCAGCATCATAAAGTATTCTCGAATAATGAAGGCAAACAAACAAAAATAACTGAGTCGTGTGCTTTGACAAAATATACGAGTACGTTTAGAAAAATGACGATGCCTATTGATTAACGTTTCACTGCTCCATTGCAAACGTAATTTAGAACTTCTTTGATTTTTTGTTACCTCTTCGAAAGAGCCGACTGAGAAATTCAAATGGTCCTATAAAGGATGGAACACGCAATGCATGAGATTTCCGGGTGTCTAATTTCAGAACCGGTTCCGGTAAGGACGGATTTAACTTGTGACGGATATGATCAATAGTCCCCACCAATAACTCGTCCACGTTATGATTCAGTGCGGCCGATGTTTCGGTGTACTTAGCATCAAACTGATGGGCCAATTCCAGTGCTTCTGTAAATAAAAATATAATGCGATATAAAAATAGTATAAATGTAATACATGCCACAATTTAAAACACGTCAAGGTTACTAACAATGCAAATATATTTTCATTATCAAATAGAATTATTTAAAACTTTGTTTTTAAAAAAAGTTAAGGATGGGCATGTGGGTTACAACAACTAAAGGAAACTACTTGATAGTATGTGAAAGGTAAAGATTACGAATCGTGAACACGGACCTCTGGAAATACCACAGGTGAAACCAGATGCCGAGGAGGAGTAAGCATCCCCTGTCGACCGGTCACACCCGACGTGGACCCCCTGTATTGATGAGGTAAACGAAGTATTCAGTAATCTGTAGTCAAAATGGTTTAAAAACAATGGCCTTAAAATAAGAACTGGAAAGATGTCAGTCAAAATACGACTCAACGATGATTTGTATTTGCATTTAAACAACAACAGAGTTTGCCCTAAATGCTGAGTTGAAAACCCTATAACGTCAACTTATTTGTCAGTAGTCTGCTTCTATTTAAACATTTATGATCTCTTTAAGTATCAAATCAGTTGGAAGAAATAAACACCATATGCAGGTGATTGTGGAATATTATAGCATGTAAAATTGTGTTCAATTGTATGCAAGCAGCTTCAGTAAAAACAACTGAATATGACATAAACTTTTCCTCTGTTATCATTACGATTCAAAATTGAAATATTTTAACTATACGGTCCTGAATTGTAATTAAATCAATCATTTTCAGCCATGTTTGTTTGAAGGAAAAACCAACATCTGCAGGGATAATTACCGACTAGTTTCCAGTGATTTTGTTATTTTTCTTAAATAATCATGGATCAGCTTCAAGCAGACGTTTCACTTTCACCTGCATAATACACCTGGCGTGATAAGTTGCCAAATCGTTAAGTGCAGACAAGAAAAGAGCCTTTTTCCAAGTTCAACGGACACTTGAAAAATCACGACTGCTTACAGTTAGCTTCAAATGAAGAATTGTTTAGTTTTTGTGTATAAACTTAAACAATGGATCTATTCAATTTGCATAGACGCTTGTGTTTTCTGAGAGTATCCTGTGACGTAGATAGCGAACTTCTAAGAATGTTAGGTGCTGTATGTTTGCTTTCAAATGTAAACTATCGACCCTTACAGATGATAGATCATTTTCATCTTTGATAAAGAGTACCTGCGTAAATTGACATTTTAACCACATAAATCGCAAAATATCTAAATAAAACAGATATACACAGCAACGAAAATGATACTGATTGATATGTATACATAGCAAAACTCCACTGCCAATTGTTCTTACAACTGGATTGGAGGCAACGTCGTCTAAGCAAACTCTTTCGAAAATTTGAGAGTCAAAGAAAATAAATTCAAAGTTACAAAGAGAAAAAAACTAGATGCAAACAAAAAAAAATAAAAATAAAAAAAGAAGTTACAATCGCTTAAAAATCAAAAATAATTGCTTGATCTTTGGGAGAATAGCACGTAGAACATACAAACTGCGTGAAGTCTTCATCTTTTCACAACATTCTGCCAAAACCGCTGTATTGTTCTCACTATTTCGTTCTGTGAAAATTCATCATGTTAGGGCCGTCTAATTAGGAACATGTTTAAGTTAATTGGTTCAAATATTTGACTGAATTCCAGATCGCTCTTATTAACCTTAACAGAAATGTTACAACAAAAAATGCATATGAATATGATTTTTTTTATCATCTGCTGAAAATAACTTTTTTATTATAATGTTCTTTTATCGTACACGAAATCAAGCGTGTTCGACCTTTTCATTTGTTGTATCGACCCAGAGTGCACGTTTCTTAGTGCATGTATATAATGCCTATCTCTTAGAGCATTATGGCAAAATGATTGCTATCAATTTTTTTCTTTTTAAATTTATCTAAGATAATATTAACTCCTTCAATCCGTCATATTAATTCGACTTCAACTTTGTGAATTTTAGTGCATTCGTGAGTTTAAAAATTATTTAATGTTTTTTGAAACACGGTTGAAGTACCAGCTATGTTAATATCAGAAATTGATTCCAAAGAAAGTTTTAGAGATCAACAGAGCTTTGTACCAGAATTAAGGCCGCCAGACGTCATTGAAATGAGTAATATACCGTATAATTCAGCAGATAAGCAGATTCCTTTTTCCAGTTCAAATCCCCTACAGAGAACGATGTCAGCTCGTGAAATAAAGCCACCATGCCCGACATTCAATCAACAAAAGTAATGATCTTTATAGTTCCAATATGCTGCCATTTACAAGTTAATCTATGGTAAAGGGCAGACAACTTTGCTTTATTGGGTTCTTCCGTGCATCAGGAAGAAGTCTATTGCCGCATACATCACAAATTATACTAGTAAAAAGTATCCTTTTTGTTGCTGTAGTCTAGCGAAACGAGATCGTCAACTAGGCAAGAAATCGACATACGTCACATTTAAGATGACGTTTTCTACTGCTCAATAATTACATACTTTAACGTTTCTAATTTTTTGCCGAGGTCTAAAGTTGCAGCCTTCCACCAACAATTAGTGACGTCACAAGACCAGTGAAAATTCTAGTAGGGACATAACAACTAACCAAACACAAAACAGACAAAAACGTTTCTTTATAATCTGTATGCTTTTTTTTTATTTCTCAATTTTCTTCCAGATCACAAGATTGAATTTCCTCCATACATGCAACAACTGCCTCTGAGTTTCAGGCCACTGAACCGGTTTCGGATCACCACTCGTTCAATGCCGTGCAACTGGAAACCCAATCTACCCACAATCTCAAGTAAATAGCACCACCAGGTGAAATTTTGTTACCTTTGCTCAGTTGAACAAGCTAGGTGTGTCTATTTCAAAGATTCTAGAATCCTGCATTATCATATATGTGCATGTATCAGCTGTCATTACTACGTTACGAATTATAGAAAAACAACTATCATGTAGAAATGAATCGTCTGATAATCATATAACATTTTTTTTTTCGATGTTGTTTTGATAGTTAATAACTCCCAAACTTTACGAGCTTTAGTTTATACATCTTCGCTAGCCAAGGTTTCTGATACGCTACTCTCCTCATAAGCCCTTGGCATACGGTGTTAAAAAAAGTTGGGATTTTTTTCTCAAGTTGTGATTGGAGTTGATCGACATCGTTCGACCAATCAGCAATTGTTTTTGTAAATGACGATATTTGCGTTCGGGATATATCTTGACTCTTTAATATCGGTAATGTAAAACGCAAGTAAACAATGATCCGTAAGATAGCATGCCATTCTATTAATAGCAATATGGCGTCATCCAATTTCTAAAGCAACGTGCAAAATATGTGATTAAGAATCTATACTGAAGATGTAGATTTGCATTTTTACGTTTAAATAACAAATTAACACAACTCAATACCTTCTTGTTAATTATTCTTTAAAAACATTTTTTTTTTAAATACGCTTTTTATTTCTGTCGATGACGCAATCTGTGCGTACCTGGTAAGAATCATGAGCACGTGACAAAAACAACCCCCGTCTTTTGTCAGCACCGTATGCCAAGGGTTTATGAGGAGAGTAGCGTATCAAAAACCCTTGGTTAGCGAAGATGTAGTTTATAAGCCTAAATATAAGCCTGTCTGTAGACCAATTAATTACTTCCAACCTTAAGTCCAATTTCAAAAAGCTGAGGTCCCATTCTTTCATTACCCATAAAAATTTCACGAGGGTCTTCTTCTGAAATTGCCATGTTCATGAATTATATGGACATTTTTTTTAAAAAAAAAAATCATTTTTGTTATTTTTGAGTGCACTCAGTTAAGTATTCTGCATGAGTACAGCTCATAAATATAGGATCTTCAACGGTTTGTGGTTGAATATCAATCATATTATATGATTGCCTTGGCGAGCCTTTTGAATTGTATGAAATTAATATCAAATGACCAATATCCACCGTATAAAGGAGTCAACTTATGATAAACTTTAATAACATTTCTATTGGTATGTTATAATTTTTGAATCGGAGGTTGTGCATATTTTCGAAAAAAAAAAATGAATAGAATGGGAGTAATGTCGCAGTTTTTGAGGTCATAATACATAACTATACTTAAGATGAAATGACACTACTTTTTAAACAGATGGGTAGTCATCATGAGTCCAACTTTTATTTTAAATTTTAACCTGCTGACCATTTAAATTGGAAAAAAAAATCAGAGATTAGCGGGCCAAATAAGGCTCTTGTTGAACCTGGTTCTTTGAACCAGTTTGGAACCTCGTTGGCTGTTATCTTGATTCTTAAACAAGAGACCATGGGACAACATTCTTAAACCAATGCGGCAGTTCGGAGAATGGTAAAGTAACTCATTATGAATTTAACGCAGTGATTTTACAAAGCAAGAAGCTAAACTTCATATAACTGCCTGCATACAATTTTGAAAACAGAAATTTTGAAGTTTTTGAAAAAGATTTTTTGAAAATTCCCAGTGAGCTTAATATTGAAACAATGACTCCTTAATTAAAATGGAATATTACTATTACCATTGCCATGCAGTCTTTTTTTTTTTAATTTGACATTAGTTCGGATACGACACATTATTTTCGCATATATATGCCATAACTTTAATCTTAGTCCAGAGGGCGCCGTATGCAAGCTTCACTTCCATCATTTACAATAAGCTTGTACATGTATAACATGTATAAAACAGGTTATGTTTTACTTAAAATTCCATTTCTGCATTAATGAAATACGTTGAGATAATGAACAACTTATTGTCCATTTAAACAATACAAATCAGGAGCAGAGCAAACACGGACCTCTAAAACATCAGAGGTGGGATCAGATGCCATTGAGGAGTGAGCATCCCTGCCGACCGGTCACACCCACCGGATGCTCCTTGTCATGATCGGGAAATAACGGAAAAATCCGTCGAATATTCAATAATGGCCTAACAATTAGTATGAAAAACGTCAGTCAGCATTTAACAAGGATAGATTGTATTTGCTGGCAAGGTCATTGTATCGACCATAGGACTTACGAAATGATGAATTTAAACGAGACTGTTGATATTATTGTTTCACCAACGTGTTTGTCAATAACTTACCTCGTTTTAGAAATTGTTCATACGTAGAGCATGCTCTTGCGTATCGAATCATCTGAGAGATATACCCCGTATGCAGGTGATAATGGTATATTGCTGCATAAGTAACGTCATCGCAAGCCAAGGGTCCTGAGTCAACACGTTGTCGTTGGACCAGGGGTCCAACGGCAACGTGTTTACTCAGGACCCCTGGCTTGCGAGGATGCATAAGTTAGGGAAGTTGACGATTGATAAGTTTAATTCTCCACGTTTATCATAAAGCTAATTTGTTTGGTTATCATTAACGTCTTTTTCTCGTAAAATACCCAAATATGAAACAGATGTGTCAGACTCTGTGGTATTTTTTTATTTCAAGCTCACTGGATATATCGTGTCGACATATGAATGGAAATAACTATTGTTAATTGATAATACGTCGTTGATATATCTAAATGTCGAGTTGAAGGCCACAGCAAGGGTTTTTTTCTTCTCATGTATAAGATTTTGAATAAATTCTGCTTCATATGAATACAAAAATAGGTCTCCTAATAAAATGGCGCAATTGGTACCCATGAAATTCCAACAGATTGTTGGAAGACCTGGTCTCCAAAAACCACATAGATTTTGTCAATCTGAAACTCAAGCATCTTTTAATATCAACTTCAGAGTACTTGTGTGTACAATCAGAATGTTTTTTAACAAAATAATTTTGCAAATGACCAATGACAAGGTAAGTAAATTACGAGTTCCATTTTAATTGAAAAATCAGCTGTCAATGATGTCAAAAAGCCTGGACTTAAATTTATCGTGGGGAATGGTTGTATATAGAGTAGAAAAATCGTAAGTTTTCATGTTTGTTTTTTTTATTTTTGATAAAATGTTGTGATTTTAAATTTTCCGAAAGTTCCCCGCAATTTTTAAGAATCCACATCTTGTTTACACCACTTCTCGAATATATTGTTGCACAGTACTCCTGAAGTTTCTCCTTCTCTACTGTTAATATTTTAGTGAGGAGTAAAGAATGAAATTTAGTAGAACATTTACTGGAGCCCGCTATGTATCTTTGTTTGTAAGGATTTTTATGAAGTTTCGGAATCCAGTATAGATATGGTAATTCAAATTCATTTTGGTTGTTGGGAATATAAAAATATTTAAAATTGACATATGATTTGGAAGAATTTCCTCCTTACAAAGGAGGCAATGGATATAAGCATTATATTATAAATGATACTTTTCCTATATCAACTTTATACTTTCTCTTCATATTGAAAATGTGTACATACACACACGACAACATCAATGCATTTTGTATGGAACTATTTTTCTTAAAATTCTTCGCATACTACCCTATATGTGATGCAGCATCGTCGCAAACCACTGCCAAAATGTACGATCCTCTCCCATTCTGTAGGAGAGAGCTATATGCGGACTCCGGACCGTGGCTTGAGACGATGGTGATGCAGGGACTACTTTGTAGACGCTAGCAGAGAGTCAGAGAAGCCCTTTGGTGTGAGGTAGCATTTTTCTTTTAAACCTATGACACGTGAATGATGTGATTTAACCTATAGCCTTTAATGGCTATGACCCTACCTTCAGTTGTAACCTTGCGTTTTCTAACCAGGTCGGATTTGTTCCCAACTAGAATCGTGGTCCTGTCGGTCCCCAGGTCCATGCGCAACTCCTGAAGTAGCTGAACTGCGGCATCGAACGTATCTCGATGAGCGATAGAAAATATCACGAGGAAAGCATCAGCCCGAATGTCCTCCAAACTACTCTACAATGTCCAAACCAACATCAAAGATCCATTCCGTATATGCATGTAGATACCTTTATATTTTAGTGCATTACAGAATATTTTCGCAAATTAAATGGATTTTCAAGCACATTACTGAATTTTTCTCTTCCTTTCATACATACATAAAAACAACACATTAAAACTAATTAGGAATAAATGACTGACATGCACTTTACTCACCGATTAACCCATATATTGCATTTATTGAAAAAGTATTCGTAGTATACATATATATGGAAGAAGTTTAAATCAAGCTCCGTTTTGCTTGCACAATTTCTCGCACTAAAAACTAATTGAAAGCTTTCAAAATTCTAGTAACTTTTAGAATTTAATACTTTAAACAAAATATCCCGGTATAGCAACATGACATAATTTAGATACACAGGTAGAAGAAAAAGAAAATATCATATCATGTATTGATTATCAAATGTAGACAAATTTTAAAAAATGGTGTGTTTAATCTGCTATTTGTGGTACATGTAAGTTGTTCTCGTTTGATATGTACCTGCATGTCCGCGCCGTCAAGAACTTCCACAGTGGACTCTACGCCATTCAGTAATACACAAATTGTTTTCTCGTGTTCCCCTTGATCTGTAATAGAAAAAAAAATATCAAAAAAAATTGCAAGGAGAACTCAAAGGTCAAAAACATGAAGAGATTTATACCTTTTTTATGTTATGACTCGAAGATAGAGCTATTTTAATAACAGCAATTAATTATTGGTATTTTGTTGGCATTTTCTTTAATGTTTGTTCATACTGCTTTTATTGCGCCGCAGAGTGGCTGCTTAGAGAGTTAATGTTTGAGTTTTCTTGATTCCATGTTACTGATGTTAAATTCCAAATCGGTCACTTGTTATGGTTTAGATTTGAGTGATTCATGAGGTTATTTTTGAATTTTTTGCAACCGTAAAATCTAAACAAATTGGTTTTCTAGAATACTGCCATATGTATAAATATCAGAAGAAAATGGCAGCTTGTAAAAACATAATCATCCACTTTCTGTCCGTTGGTAACAATTCAGGGGAAGGAGACACTCGCCTGTCATACTGTATTAGTTTAAAATGATAAAACAGCATTTCTTCTGATTTCCTCCCTGACTCTGGGCAGGTTTTGTTGATATTTTGTGTCAGACATGGGAGATTGATGTTGTGTTTACACGTGGTTGTCTTGCTGAACACCAAGAGCTTTTTAGCATTGGTATTTCAGAAATTCGTATTGCCCTAAAATATTGGCAAATTTCTCTTCGTTGAATTCATCAGTCATCATGTTTATCTAAATATCGTGATATAGAAATGCATTATAATATGATTTTTTCCAACTTCTTGAAATTGTATGCATGAGGGTTCTTTTCGAAAAGAGTTTTGAAAACAAAATGCATATCTATAATATTCCTGATTTTTTTTTACTACAAATTATTAGCTGGAGGGTCGCGACAGCCTTTTAATTTATATTTGATACTTAAAGGATTGAAGCTATCTAAATTGATCGAATGTGTGATGTGCCAGTTTACTTAAATAAATTGCCACTAACACACGTCCATCTACATGACCCTTTGTGAAGGGTTTGTGTCTCACTGGCATTATAAACATATGAAATCATTAAAGGAACCATTCAACATAAAGTTTTACTGATTTGCGCCACGTTATATACTATCAGAAAGCATAGTGGCAAAATTGGAAAATGCGTATACTATACGCTCATTTGAAAATGCTGAAATAAACTTTTCTTTGTGTTATATAGATCAGTGGGTCATTACGCAGTTTCTTAATCTAGTTTCCCCCAAACCCATTACATTATCCTTGAAGAAAATCTCTGATTCAAATTAAAATTACTTCTCGATCTCTAACGAAATCTAATTTTGGATGCTGGGTATTGAAAGTGTAAAGAACTGATAGTTTGATGATTGCAAAGTAGGCGTCAAGTTCATATCCTCTTGATACAACTCTTCTTTACGCAACCAACCGAAAATTACTCATCTCCAAATGTTTCCCGATATAATGAACCTCTTGGCCTCCTTTGAATGCTTTAGTTTTCAGGTAATCGGAAATCTTATCCGCTGATTTCAAGCCTCACATATTTATTTTAATTAACTACATGACCAAGAATGTCTGCGATAGCCATTGCAAAGAATGCCAGTACTGGAAATAAACGGAAATCACGGCTTTGCAGTATCATTTTTCTCTTTTTACAAGAACAAGGTCTTATTCTTAAAGGAATATTCATGCAATTCTATATGTTTATCGTAAAAAAATGATGATTATACTTAGGAAAAAATGATTGACTGAGGCAATAATATATTTTGAGACGTTCGTGTTGGACTCGTTAGCCAAGGAGTATCGAGTATGGCCCTCCAGTAAACAAGTGTTGGTCCTTGTCGTAAGAAACCTTACAACTTTTACCAACAATTAATATCTAATGACTTCACCAAAACGTTCAAAACAAAGCACTTGAGGTACAGATAGAAAAACACAAATGACTACCGGACATCGAACCCGTCTGGAAACATACACGATTTAATAAAATTAACTACACAGTGTATTTGAAAGACATGAAAGTACGTGTTTCAGAATAGTATGTATCCATTTCTGTTTATTTGTTGTTTCTTACATAAAGCTTTCTCTCCTTCCCATTTTATGGAAAGTTATTTTGTCACATATTGCACTGGTTTACAATTAAGTTCTATTATTCGAGAAATGTATTTCTTTTCTGACGTCATTGACCATCACGATATGCGGCCTGTCCAGAACATTTAATACTTAGATATGATGTGATCTTTCAGTTTAATCATCTCCTTATACACTAGAATTAGCTGTTTATTTTTTATGTCTGTCAGACTGACAGACTGTGATAACATGACCAAGAGCCAAAAGTCAACCTGTCAATCATGCCGTATTAAGTGAGTAGCTTTGAGGTGTAAAATACGAACGCATACAAAAAAAAAATCCAGTATCTGTAGCTTGGCAGAAGCCAGACTCACAGAAATGGACGGAATCGAAGAGATTTCAGACGTGGACTTTTATGAGGAAAAAGTATTAGTAAGATGATAAATGGAAGTGTACAGCTTTTATATATTTTGAAATACACATGTACCTTTTAGGTGTAAACAAACAAAAATGGGTATTTCTGATTTTTTTTTTCATCTACAACTTTTGCAAGCTAACAATTATAAAGGGTAAAGGAAGTGAAAGGTTTGACACCGTATTATGTGTGTTAAACTGAGTAAAGATTGGATATTCTGTCTGACATTTCCAGGAAACCATTTACCCTAGAAAAACATTTATGTACTTTAACACGCTCGATATAGCAGCCTCTCAGTGTGCGATTGGCTATATAATTCTGTAATCGCTTCCTTACTGAATAGCTTGCCATTATTGTGTCTCAATAACAAAATATTTTTTTAATATTTTTTAAGTCTCTTAGGTTATTTCAATTAAATGCCTCAAACTCCCTTGGTGATTTGGTTAATGACGTCATGTCAAGGCAGGATTGGATGGAATATGTTTCAAAAATCGAAGACCAAAACGTCAAAGGAAACACTTCGAAATGGAATTTCAGGCTAATCTCATTAAGATTTTTTAAGATTGTGTCTAACTGTATGTCAAGAACATTTAAAAAAATGAAGTGCGGGGACAATAATGTTATTCACACACATAGAAGAATACAAGGAAGTTTACTAATTTTTCATTGGTTGGTCCGTAGTCCTGAGCGTTTTTCTCTCTCTCTCCAATCATATCATTCACGCTGTACTAATGATATGTATTCCTCGTTAATAAAAGCTCTATGTATATAATAGATCATTCGAAAATGCCACAATTATCGATTCGATAAGAAGAAATATATTTATTGACACTAATCAAACATAACTCACCCAAGGAGGAGTCGAATGCAATGTACTCGGAAGTCATGAACTGATTGGTGATTGCCGTTTTCCCGACCCCGGGTGCTCCAAGAGCCACTATTTTGAAATAAGAGGGGTTATTGTCCACTTCCAAGGGTGGTCTGGGAGGTAAACGAGGACTTCCCGACAAATGAGGGCTAACATTGGGCGTTAGACCGCGGGGTGGGCTCTCCTTCCCATATCCACCACACCTTCCTCCTTTTTTCCGAAAAGAATCCCCTCTGTTCACCACGCCCTTTGATGTTGTCTTAAATGATCGGACCCTCCGAAGGTTTGGGTCCGGTTTTCCGCGACCAACGTCCTCATAAGACACAGACAATAGATCGGGGGAACTCCCCGACGGACCCCCACGGTTCTCATCACACACTTGAGGACCAATTCCTCGATTCCTGTACTTTTCCGCTTTTTGTCTTAACTCTCCAGGTTCTCTAAATGATCCGCCTCTAATAACACCAGGTGTAGGAGGCAGAAGTCCCCTGGAGGAGTCAGTTCCTCGTGTACCCCTTTGCTCTCTTACACTACTAGACCTCGAATGTGATCCGCCACTGAAATCGTTGGGCTCCAGGAGAAGAGGTGTCGTTTGCTCCATCCCTGAACCCGTGCTGGAGTAAGAAGAAACACTAGCCCCACGTGGATAACTTTGTCCCCTCGCAGAACCGTGGATAGTCATTGTATCAAACAATTCACAGATTATATTAATCTATTCCGCAATGTAAGAAATTCACTACATATTGTCCTACGTTTGATTTGTAACTATTATAAGCTGGATTCCAGAAGGCAGTATATCATAGTGTGTTATCTGATGCGCAGGAAGAGAGCTGAGATACAAGCGAGATATTGGCCTTCTGCTGACAAACTGAACGTACTAAGACGAAACGCTTCTCTCTATGTATGCTCGAAATGCTACAGAAATTGGACGTGCAATCACGTGCTAGAACTTTATAATCCTGTCTTGTGTGGTCGCCAAATGCTCAAATTGAATTTAATAAACAAACGCTGGGAGATCAAAACTTGGTTTTCCTCAACATTCACGGGAAAAAAGAAAAGATTTCCCCCCATCATCATCGCATCATCTCGTTAACTGGAATTAAAACCTTTCACTGCAATTGAAAGAATATTTTTTTTTTACTTCAGGTGTTGCTTTCAATATTCGCCTAATTTTTCTTACACAGAGAGTAAGTATGACACGACTTATAACATTCTGCTGTTACAGTACTGTAATGCTATACAACAGTTTTTTTCTTCTCCGTTTTGACATTATCTTTTTTTCCGATTCCAAACTATTTGATATCTAAAAATTCAGATCATGTAAGAAAGTTACAAAATTATCAAATATTACGCTTCAAACTATTGTATTTAAATTGAAGCAATAACCAATAAAATATAAATAATGTAAATTTCATACATTTGCGACCTAGAGGATTAAGAAGGCATAAGTATCTTTCAAGAGAAATCTAGTTTTATTCATGATCACTCCTTGGACGATGAAAATGTTTCTTATCGAAATGAATCATCTTTATTATTGTTTCTTTGTAATAAGTTAACGCCTATTATAAAACTTGTAGCAAATCGATTACATAATTCTATACAGCTTTAGTAAAAATCCTGCCAAATTTTGAGGCATATTACTTCACGTTACCTCGAAACTGTTTACATACACACCCTAGTAATGTACTGGGACGGAAACGCATGACGTCATGGGCATAAAGGTCATTGTCCACTTCTAAATATATACTATGTAGAAATACATGTATATAATTTTATATTTTTCATGCTCTTTACATAAATATTTTTTCGCTGTTAATGATACCTATTTATAATCGATATGGTTATTAATATAAAAAAAATCATTTTATCATATTCTTAATTTTTGGACTCTTGAAAACACAAAAATTGAACTGTGACAAATCAATGTTAGAATTTAATCATCACATGCAAATACATGAATTTCAATTTCAGTACTCTGTGACAGATTAAAATTTGAGGTACACCGAACCAACCATAGTATACATATCTATAATCTATAGTATTTTCAGGCCTGTAGGGGGCAATTTCGGGGAAAGTGGCACCACGACCGAGCAGAAGAATTTCCTGGACAGAAAATATCATCAGACAATATTAATGAGGTGACATGTTGGTTCTCAATTGCGTGGTATATACTGGGAAACTTATAGGAGGAGGGGGTCCCTTGATTTCTGCGGACCTGATTATGTATATAAGCAAGTGTTTGAATAGCATGGGAAAATTAATTTGGTGCTTACAGCATTTTCTATGCTTAAGAGGTTATAGGTTTATGCCATTTAGATGTTTGTATGCATCATCAAAAAGTTGAAATGAAACGTGAATATGTAGTAAAATATAAACATGTAAGAAATCTAACGATTTGATATTTTGGATAGGCAGATGGTATTGGTCAGGAGAACGGTAAAAAATGTAAACGAAAGAATTAACAGAAACTAAGAAGTGTGAGCTCTATTGAAGTACATTAGCTTGCTTTCGTCACCTATTCGCTACCCCGTGGTGTTAAGTGAGTTGTTTGTTTGACTCGATCTCCTCTTTTCCTCCGTCGCCGACTAGCCCACTCTCCCATTGCCTTTATTACGTTGTCTTTGATAAAGAAAATTTATTTGTCGAGTTCAAAGAAGGACGTAAATTAGCAGTTTCTTCAGTATATTAATGCGAGTGTTTTTGGGTGCTTTCAGTAAATTGCTGAGACATGATAAAGAAGTATTAATTACTCACAATATCGGAGTTGTTTTTCGAACTTTATCTTAGTAAACATAATGCGCAAGTCCTAACTTGCCCTTTAAACATCCGCTTATTTTCACGAAACGCCAAGAAAATGTTTGGAACTTTTACTTTATGAAAGTTTTCTTTGTAACGTTTTAGAATTTACTTAATTTTTGTGTTTTCGTTCGGTAACAAGTGATCAAATGTCAAGTATTTGACGTAAGTAATAAAAATTCTGTATGCAAAGTTTCTTTTCGATATGGATGTACAAAACAGCTGTAAGCGACATTAATGTGCGCTTTGTCATTTTTGCTAGCCACTTAAATTCTCAAAAATCGGGGGGAAATACATGAACATTTAGTTCGTTCGGGGAGGTCTGCTAGAGGTCCCATGAGATAATTTGCTGTATTTGCATGACTATATCATATTTAAGTATAATAGCTTATAATTCATTTATGATTGCGAACGTTTAAAGCTTGCATTTAAATTAAAATGCGAAATGGCGCTAAGCAGTGGCGTAACACTGTGATATAATTTTCTGCAAACTTTTTTTTTGTTACAATCACATTCGTATTGGATATATTCATTCCACAATTTCTCCTTTTAATTTAGTTCCCGAATGAAGTAACTGACTTACTGTATAGTACTTAAAAGTCAATAAATCACAGAATTACTTTTGGCTTTTACCTACTTTTCAATTTGTAATTTTCAATAAATAGAATCATGTACTTTTGACAATCAAAATTTACATTAAATTAAAAAACAGTTTGTTGAACACGAATTGCTATCCTAAAGATTATTACACAAAGTAATTGCGTTAAATACGTTTTACTGTTTCTCCCAAGAATTATCTTGAAGGCAAACTGAAGAGAGAAAGAAAAAGAGATGTCATATTATCTTTTTCATTTCATAGAACAATATCTATTATGGGATATTTGCACCCAGCGTATAAATCACTTACATGTATATTGCCATAAATGCGCTTTGATTATAACGTTCTGTTGAAAAGTGTGAGATATAGCATCAACCAAGTCATATCAGCTAACTACAGGTTTCAACGAAAGTAATTCTCGTTTGCTATCATGGCTGACCTTTTTCTTTTATTGAAAACTGAATTCATCCATTAAAGTCATATATGGCGTATTTTCTGATAAGTTCAGGTAACCAAAATTAAAAAGATCTTTCTATTTGTTTAATTACTTTATATAAATTACACAATTTAAATCAATCGCGTTTCAAAGATATTAAAAATTTAAAAACAATAACCGATTTATTTACCGACTCCGCATTTAAATGAATGACACATTTAAAGCCAATTTAACGATGGAAAAACTCAAAATCGGTGAAAATTTTAATTTGAACGTGAATAACATATATCATGTATGTTTACACTCAATATCGTATCATTATTTTTCAAGTTCAGATATGCCATATATAACTTTAACCACTACAAAAAGGCAAGCATTAACATCTACAAGAAGACAATCATTTCAGTATTAACCGCTACAAGAAAGCAAGCATTAACCGCTACAAGAAAAAAATCATTTAAGTAATTACCGCTACAAAAAGGCAACCATTAACCGCTACAAGAAGACAATAATTTAAGTATTAACCGCTACAAGAAGGCAATCATAAACCGCTACAGGAAGACAAGCATTTAAGTAATTAAGTCTACAAAAAAACAGGCATTTAAGTAATAACGTCTACAGGAAAACAAGTACTTAAGTAATAATGTCTATAAGAAGACAATCACTTATGTGATAATGTCTACAAGAAGACAAGAATTTTAGCACTAGTAATAATGTCTACAAGAATGCAAGCATTTAAGTAATAAAGTCTGTAAGAAGACAGGCATTTAAGTAACAACATCTACTAGAAGACAAGCATTGAAGTCATATCGTCTACAAAAAGACAAGAAGTTAAATAATAAAGCCTACAAGAAGACAACCATTTAAGTAATAAAGCCTACAATAAGACAAGTACTTAAGTAATAACGTCTACAAGAAGACAGGCATTTAAGTAATAACGTCTACAAGAAGACAAGCATTTAAGTAACAACGTCTACTAGAAGACAGGCATTTAAGTAATAAAGTCTACAAGAAGACAAGCATTTAAGTAATAAAGTTTACAAGAAGGAAAGCATTTAAGTAATAATGTCTACAAGGAGACAAGCATCTAAGTAATTAAGTTTACAAGAAGGCTAACAATTAGTAACAACGTATACAAGAAGGCAAGTATTAAGTATTAACTGGTACAAGAAGACAGGCATTTACTTGTAAGTATTTGCTTCCACAAAAAGGCAAGCAAGCATGAAATATGGAGATAACGAGCAGTGATCAAGCTCAAAAATCCATTGAATCAATACAAATCGGGAGCAGAACAAACAGGAACCTCTAAAAAATCATCAGAGGTGGGATCAGGTGCCATGGAGAAGTAACCATCCCCTGTCGATCAGTCATACCAGCCGTGTGCTCCTTGTCATGATCTGGTAAACGGAAAAAGACAATTCAGTGTGTAAATAATTGCTTAACGATCAGTTTGAAAAAAAAGTCAGTCACCATTCGACTAAATGATAAATTGTATTTGTTGACAAGGCATTGTATTGACCATAGAACTTGCGAAATGTTGACTTCAAACGAGGCTGTTGATATCCTTGTTTCATGAACTTGTTTTTCAATAGTTTGTCTCGTTCTTGAAATTGTTCGAACTAGAGCATGCTTTTGCATATCGAATCAACTGGGAGACATAAACTCTATATTTAAGTATTAACCTCCACAAGAAGACAAGCATTAACCGCTACAAGAAGACAGCCATTTAAGGATTAACCACAACAAGAAGGCAAGTATTTAAGTAATAACGTCTACAAGAAGACAAACATGTAAGTGTTGCTCTACAAGAAGAGTCGCCCGCGGAGTAAGGAGTTGATACTTACCTCGCTTGTTCGAATCCCACTGTGGGACGTGGTGACCGGTCCTTCGGATGAGACCGTATAAACCGAGGTCCAGTGTCGCAATAGGTGCTGGTACGATAAAGATCCCTCATTGCTCAATGGCCCTGAGTGCCGACCATAAGTCAAAATTTGCAGCTCTCCACCGGCAAGTGATGGCATCTCAATATGAGTGAAAAATTCTCGAAAAGGACGTTAAACAACAAACAATCTACAAGAAGACGCCATCAACATCGGTAGAGCGCTCGCTCCGTGATCGGAAGGTCGTGTGCTCGAATCACGACCGCGACTGACCTAAGTCGATGAAAAGTTGGTAGCAACTGTTTCTTTGCCAAGCGGAACTTTGAAATGAAAGTTCGGATTAGACCTTAAAAACCGAGGCCCAGTGTTACGGTAGGCGTTGGCACGATAAAGAACCCTCACTGCTCAATGGCCCTCAGTGCCGGGTAAAGGTCAAAATTTAAAGCCCTTCACCGGTATATAGTGACGTCTCTATTGAGTAAAGAATTCTCGAACGGGACGTAAAACAACATACAATCAATCTACAAGAAGACAAACATTTAAGTATTTACCACCACAAGAAGGCAAGTATTTAAGTAATAAAGTTTACAAGAAGACAAGCATTTAATTAATATTAACGTCTAGATGAAGGCAATCAATTAAAAATTTACTCTACAAGAATGCAAACATCCAGGTATGAACCACTACAAGATCAAAGCAATCCAAGCAAGCGGGTGAACTTTAATGCTTTTGAAAAAGAGTCAGTCTAGCAATCAAATTTGATTTATTCTCAAAAAGTTGTTTTATCAATATACGGTATTTTAAGTTAAATCTCAAAGTTCCTTTCTGTTAATTGGTAGGAGGAAAGATTCATCGAGATCATCTGTCCAAAGATATCAAAGATATAGCGGCAAATATACCTTCTACCCGTTTGTCCATCTGACTTATATACATATATGTGTATTCAGTTAAAGTATACATGTCTGATGATAATATATATCTCAGGTGAGTTAACAAAGAGAATAATATACTACAGTACTATAATACATTATGTACTAATTAGGACTTTACTGGAGGGACAAATAGTATATTTTTGTTTATAAATGAAAATGTCATTCATTTTACAATATTTTAAGCTTTTGTCACAGCATTGTTAGGCAGCAATACCCTACAGTCCAAACTATGTGTGAAAATATCCCACATTTTATTGAAAACATGCTTAATTTAGCGGTTATCATATTTTAGCGCCTTTGCCGCAGCTTCTTGTATGCCAATTTAAGTAAACGCTACATATGATTCTTTAAAATACATTTAGAAGCTATATACTCAAAAGATTATTTCAGTTGATGGGGATGATTTCACTACTCAATTGTTGAGGAAATTGCGCTAAATTTACAGTAACTGCTTTCGTACTGGCATGTGTTTAAATCATATAAATTTAGCTAATTTGATATTACACACTTGTAAACATGATTGCTTTTTTCTCTTTCATGCATGATAATTCCTTTTTGTTTGTAAAAGAAGTTTGGCATACAAAACGTGCGAAATGCCTGTGGTTCGAAAAATGAGGAAGTAAAAATGAAATCTCAATTATAACAAACTTTTCCTCAATATTTATAAGATATAAATAATAAAAATTAGATAAATTTATGTATAATTTGTGGGAAAAAAAATTGCCACAGTTTGCAATAATTTGACAAGTATTAAAACAATTTGTCTATGAAATAGCATGCACACACCACAGAAGGCAAAAATGGTCATAAAAATGGTATAATACAATTTTACCATATAAGTAGACCATCACTCCATTGTTTTAAACGTATATCTTCAAAGTATGCAGAAAAAATATACATTTTTTGCTTAACAAAAACATGGAGCACGGACCCACTCTACCTTAAAAATACATTTTTATAAAACAATATTCATATATTTCCGAGAAATATTTGAAGTCCGGTTATTCAAGGGAAATATCACAAAACAAGATTTAAATGCCGATTAAAATTGTTGTGGGTAACGTGTCAGTCTTTTAGAAAAAAAAATTACTCAAGATTCTTATGGTTTGGGTTCAATTCTCAAAAAAAAAAAAAAAAAAAAAAAAAAAAAAAAAAAAAAAATCCTTAAGTTTACTTTTACCAGAGAATGATTTTTGCCGAGAAAATATTCCACAGAAGAAAAATATTGTTTGTCTTAATTTCATATCTGTCAATAATAAGAACTTGCTCTAAAGACCGAGTTCACAAACTGAATTAGATTTAAATACATTTGAAACTATAGGCGTCTCGCACCCTTGTTCGCCCATCTTTGTAATTTTTACTTAAAATACGTCATTTCAAACTACTGAATGTAGAGCGTTGATTTTTTTTTCATTTGCTTCCTATGATCAAAACTGTACAGCAAAAATATAGTTCCACTCGGATGTATTTTTACAGATTAGTATGACACCTGGAAGCTTTTGATGTAGCAAGAAATTCTCTTTGTTGTTGGTTTGAATTTTCTTGACTTGAGAAGTGCCAAATTGCCTAAAAAGTTTACTTTTTTCTTCATTAATTGCAGTTATTTTTCTTTTCTTTAAGAACGTATAAAGTAAATTGATGCAAATGTTTATTATTATTTGTTTTAGAACAAGGGGAACAAAACATCCGGGATAGCATCGTAAAATTTTGTCATTAGAATTTTCAATATCAGGTGTATTTTGGCAATTATTTCTCTTTTCTCTGCTATATCACTTTGTAACAGTTTTGAACGCGTTTTTACCCTTGTAATTTCATCAACATTGCTTGAAATTAGTAGAGCTATTTAACAAAGTTACATGTAAAACAACGAGAAAAAGAAAAAAGAGAGTAAAATATGGGTCATTTTTTTCTTGGGAAGATAAACAAGATTTTAAATTAAAATTGTGATTTTTTTAGTTGCATGCATCGTATCATTCTTGGTTTCTTTATAGTTGATAAAAAAGAGATTTTTCAGAGTGTCACATAAAATGAAGAATAGTTGAAGTTCGCCATAGATCACAGAGAGACGTCCCGGATATGACGTCAATGTAACGCTTAATTGAGAGTAGCAGACCGTACCCTAATTTAATCTTCGCAATGTGAAAGTTGATTCCATTTAAAAAGTAATGATTTCTATTAATCTCGACAGCTGGTTTGTTTTAAAAGGCTTTAACTTTGTATTTTGTGAACATGGCTGAATGCATATTTTCAATAATGAGTTTTGTCAGTTTAATTTGTGGATAAAAATCATATGCAAGTTAAAAACAACCCAAGGTTGAGAGTTTCCCTTTAATGGCTGCCTCATTTGTAAGGTAAACACTCAAAGAAAACTGATATTTTTTTTTATTTATAAACAATTATATAAAATGTAATAATAATTCCTTTTTTTTAAATTAAATAAAAATGAAAGAAAACTTTTTCTACTGTAGAGAAGAATTGAATTTAGTCCTAGTGGGATTTGCGGGAGGTGGTAAGACCAGTACAGCTAATACTATCCTAGGAAAAAAAGAATTTGTAGTATCGCCCACTTCAAAGGTGGCCAGTGCCCAGGGTCATCGGATAGGCATTGACTTCAACCTCATAGACACACCCGGTCTCCTGACCACAAAGGATATTGAGCATCTACATCAAAATATCACAACTCGGGATGGAATTAAGATATGTTTTCTAGTAGTCATCAAACTAAAACGTTTTACCGATGAAGAGAGTTTTGCCCTCAGTGAAATGTTACGGAGAAATCCTACTATGCTTAAAAGAACTGTGGTCGTCTTCACGAACCTGGGAGAAATTGAGGACAAAGACACAGTAGTTGATAGAGCCATTGACCGCTTTTTGAAAAGAAACTATACACTACTTTCTTTTCTGAAAAGGTACAATCTCTCATATGTGGGACTTGAGAACAAATTTGCGAGCGAAAACGACAAAGAAAAAAGAGTAAAAGTCATTTTAGAGGCGGTGAAAAAGTACGCAAATGTCTTGGAAGACAATGGTAAGACCAGTATTAAACAAGACAGTCGTCCAAAAGCTGATCACAAAGTCCTCAACACAGAGAGATCTGAGGAAGGAGAAGATTCTGTAAAAAGAAAGGGGCTCTATGAGGAAAATGAAAGTCATCATAGTGATATGTCAATTGATGATCACGTGGCCAGAATTGTCCAGCAGAAACTGGACATCATGTTACCGATGTTGAAGAAGGAGATTAAAGAGGAAATTGAAAACCACCTTCGCAAGGAGATACGAGAAGAAATACTTCCCTCCGTTAGAGATGAAATTAAAAATGAATTTTACAAAAATGTTTAACCAAAAAGTAATTTGGATTTTTGAATTAAAAACCTTAATACATTGCAATGTAAATGATTATCTGGACGATTATGTTGGAGGTCAAATAGTAGATCATATTCAGTGTAAAACAATTAAATGCAACGACTGTGGCAATGAGTCACATCTTACATGTATGTTGATGAACTGCTCATCATCATCTGAGTACCAATTAAAAACACCTCTTCCTCCTAAAAATGTACATATATGTAGTTAAAAGGTTAACTTTGCTTTCCCTGTGGATTGCAAGGGGGAAAATGCGTTAAAATTGTGTCATTCCATGAAATTAAGGGAAAAAAGGACAAAAATTTGTGATATCTATTACTATTTATTTATATCGATGTTCCCAGATGTTCATATCCAAAAATAGAGATGTTTGATTATTTGTTCATTGTAATATGTTATGCAATGTGGACGACAAGTCAGTTGTTTATCAGAGATAAAGAAAATTACGTGTTAAATTTGAAAATTACCAAACAGATTAAAACAAAGCTATTGCATGACTTCCTATCATTGAAGTGAAAATATATGATATTTCCTAACTTTCTAGGTACCTATATATTTACCCAAAATAATTTTTCATTCTTGTTTCAATAAGTGTGAATATTTGCTCTTGCCACAATAAGGTATTTAATCAGATTCCCATAATATTACAAAGAGATATTAATACTGATATTCTTAATAAACGGAAGTCGTCGTCCGGTGATGACGCGTAACCACTATAATACAATCGGTATATCGTGTCCCCCCAGTGACTGTAAATCGAGACGATGAAAGCGCACCTGCCGTTATTGGCTGCAGTAGCCTTCGGACATACTTCTGAAATTAAAGGTAGGCAAAGGTAATAGTGCTTTTAATACTGGAAATATGAGAATCGATAAACTGTTCACTTTTTCTATCCAAGATTTTTTTTTTTTTTTTTTTTTTTTTTTTTTTTTTGCTGCAGGACAGACTTCGGACGACGAAGATTCGCTGAACGATGGGTCAGGATCTGGCTGCTTTCAGATTCCCACTGACCGAATTTGTAACGTAAGGGACACATTGCTCATTGAAAAATCAAAAAGTACAAATTTAGTGCATAACACTACAGGTCGGTACAAAATCTATTGATTAACTATTTATCCAAATCAAAGATTCTTGAAACATGACTGCTTTTAAAACTTATTACTTTTGTTTGAGGTAACTGTACCCCCTCGAGACATGGGTTACTATGACGGCTTCACAATATGCTGAATTATTTACCAACCATTATCTTGTTCACCAGAACTGACATCTATTATAATACCTGTATTATTTGAAGGAATAATTGTTTGGTCACATATTAAATGTTGTATAGACTGAAAACTTTTTAAAAATATATATATAAAAATTAATGCTCTGAAAAAAATCCATTTTGAATCACATTTTTTTCTCGTGCTGTTATTTAAAGAACCGTAACTCCAAGAAAGTGGGAATTTTGTACTTTTGAAAAAATGCATCTGTAAGAAAAAAACATGTGCTTAAATAGCAATTAAGCTGTTTAGAATAACTACACTTAAGTAAAATTATATAGTCGATTCAAAGTTAAATAGCTAAATCAAGAGATTGTTTCTGACCCATTTAACGTTAATTTTTCATTTCGCCAAACCGTTTGAAATGAAATCCGTGTGATTCACGCTTTACAAAGCTAACAATAGCTTCATAAATTATAATATGGCACTTATTTTAATAGATTTTCTATTTATCTATAGTTCTTTATTTTGAATTTTACAGTGTAACACGCTTCTAACTTGTCTTCAAACATGTGATGACCTAACGTGTAATCAGGTCCTAACTCCCTGCTTAGGAGATGATTCATTTAACGGAAACTGTGGAAGTAGGTACTTGGTGTATTAGTAAGAAAATACTTGGACGGATTAAAAGATACTTTTGTATTTGTACCATATTATTCACTAGCAATGCAGATTAAAGTAAGATAAACAAAACATGTTGAAGATAGAAAAGAAAAAGTATTTTGTTGTATCCGGTTTTTCTTTCTAGGTCAATCAAACTCCCTAGACAGACCCCAAAATGGTATGTACCGTACATATTCATAGCAATATCCAAAGCCTTTTATATGTTCCCTGTGAGTCTAGGACTTTGGAGGTGCCTTTGTGTGTCGAATCTCATTTAGCCTGTTAGCTTGTCGTCCGTCTGTTAATTTTCCGCTTTCCCCTCTTTTTATTTTAGACCTCTCTAGAACTATTGAGACAATTTTAACTAAACTTTGCATAAAACATCTTTTCAAAGAATTTACCCTGCTCCTTTGAAAGAAGAAAATAAAAAAAAAACTAAAATTATAAAGGTATGATCATTTTTAAAAAAAATCAATACCCACTGGGCTTGAAGAGACACAATTTATTTGCAAGTTTTATCATACATGTACAAATTTGGAATGAACAGGTTGGATGGAGGTAAATGCAAAATTTACGACACGATGACGGGGTAAAAAATTTCAAAACCCATTGGGCTTGAAAAAAAAATTATATATGCACGTTTTATCATGTTAAAAATTTTGAATTTACTCTTCCCTCTTTTTATTTTAGACCTGTTTAGAACTATAGAGGCAATTTCAACTAAACTTTACACAAAACATCTTTAATTTCAAAGAATGTATCTTGCTCCTTTGAAAGGGGACAATAAAAAAATAAAATTATAAAGGTATGATCATTTTAAAAAAATTCAAGACCCACTGGGCTTGGAGAAGTAATGTGAAGGAATCCTCATGCATGTATCCCCCATGTGGTATAAATTAAGAATCATTTAAATCGTATTCATAAATGGGGGGAGGGGGTGTCGAGGTTTTACATTTGTTTATCTGGGGGAAAAATCTTCAAAAAATAAAGCCACACTTAGTCAAAAGGATATAAAAGCGTACCTTTATCGTAGAAACAAATACATGTACTGAGTATGTTCAAATCTTGTAAGGTGTATGCTGTCGTTGGGCTGGGCTTGTGACTCACCTGGAAGGGGGGGGGGGGGGGGTGTCACATGGCAATATTTTAGACAAGGTTGAACTTTTAATCATGGATCCGAAAATATACCAGTCCATGAGTTATAATTTTTATAATATCATAAGTGTACCTGTTTATGCATTCTGGCATTTGCAACTGATTTCAGCTTCCAACACAGACATGACATTGTGGATAACTGGTGGTATTTTGTCTATTATTCTTTTGTCAGCGGCTGTCATTATGATTGCATTGAGGTATGTGTACAGTGAACATTACTCATTTCAAATAATTACAACTATTAATAAAATTTGCGTCTCCTCCGAAATAATTGGCAACTATCTTAATTTCTGTTTCTAAAATACTAATCAGGTAGGAAACCATCAGTTGGGACAATTACGTATAGCAGTTACATCTTGTAGCAATGACATATAGCAGTTACATATTGTAGCAATTACATATAGCAGTAACATATTATAGCACTAACCTTTAGCCGTTACATTTTGTACCAATAACAATACAGTAGTTACATATTGTAGCACAAGCATATAGCAGTTACATCTTGATGCACTAAAATTCAGCAGTTACATATTGTAGCAATTACATATAGCAGTTACAAGTTGTAGCAATTACATATAGCAGTTACATATTGTAGCAGTTAGGTATTGTAGCAATAACATATAGAAGTTACATATTTTAGCAATTACAAATAGCCATTACATATTGAGCAATAACATGTAGCAGTTACAAAGTGTAGCAATTGCATATAGCAGTTACAAGTTGTAACATAATTACGTATTGTAGCAGTTACATATAGCAGTTACATGTATAAAGTTACATATTTTAGCAATTACAAATAGCCATTACATATTGAGCAATAACATGTAGCAGTTACAAAGTGTATCAATTACATATAGCAGTTACAAGTTGTAACAATTTCATAATTACGCATTGTAGCAATTACATATAGCAGTTACATGAATAAAGTTACTAACTGTACTTTTCCGTTAATGGAGTGATGACTTATAAACACTTAAATTCATGAATTTTACAACTCCATTATACATAATGCACATACTTTTTACATTTTTTAATGAATAAAGCATAAATATTTAAATGTAAGAAAATTGATAGCGAATAATACTGGCACATTTAATTATCAATTTTATTTTTTCAGGAAGAGAAAATGTTGTTGCACGAGAAAAAATCAACAAGGTATTAACAGCACTCTATAAAAATTCATAATCTGTTAACTTTTGGCTCAATGTTTCAAATTTGAACATAAATTATATGCAAATGTAAAGTTTAATCCAGAGTTGAGATCTTCAGAATTGACACTATGATCTAGTCTAAATGACTTTTGTTCAGGGTCATGACATATCGTCAACACTTAAGCTACATATAATCTTCTACAGTTATTCCTTTACAAAACATAATATAAGATATAATACACCAGAATAATATCAGATATAATACACCATGTCTATAGAGAGACGAACACACATACCCTTTCCTTATTAATACATAAGTTCAATTTTATACAGCTATGGGATCTGGGCCACAGGTTGTCTCATATCAACCACATCTTCAAGATCCGGAACAAGACCATCATTATGCCAGGATTCCAATTAACAGTGTAGGGATTTATGTGCAGGAAAAGGAAAATAGCGGCTTTTATTCCAAAGTAAATGAGGAAATCAGTCCAAGTGTGACGTCATTTTCAAGTCCAAAATATGAACTTAGTCAGAATATTGCAACTGAAAATGATTACCAAACAATGCCAGAAATAAGGGAAACGCATGAGCAAAAGTCAGACGGACGGTCAATTGGTTTGACCAGCCCCAAAGACTCACTAGAGTTAAAGAAGGAAAATAAAACAATTCACTACACAAACCAGAGTTATCAGCTCATTAAAGATACCGTCCCTTCCGGCAATTACCAGGAAATGAATGGAGGAAAAGCACCAGAAAACCCTGACCACTGCTCTCACTATCAGCCAATGGACGCTACTGACCGTTACTGGGCGATGTCCAATCCAAATGGTACTACTGCAGAAGAGGAATATACTGTGATGGGCGAATCAAATAACGGCAACTGTGGGAAAGATGCGACACAAAGCAATTTATATGGCAATGAAATTGGGATGCAAGAGGTTAATGCTTATGTTAACGAATCAGTAGGAAGAGCGAGGGATACCACAGAAATTACCAATGATGACGAAGTGTACGAGAAAATGTCATACTAGAACTGTAGGTGAACATCCCCAATTAAATTCATGAACATAGCACAAATATGTACCATTTCTAGAGTACTTTTACTCCTTTAAAGTTGTTGAAAACTTTTTTGAACGGAGAAAAAAAAAATGACACGATGTGACAGGTCTTTGGTTTTAAAAGATACTCTTTCATTTTTCAAAATATTAAAAAAAAAAAGTATTATCAGTCTTTTGGTTGAAACAATTCATTAAAATGACTTGAATGGCTCTACTTATATATGTAAATTGAATGCGAAATCAAGGCTGTTTTGTGATTATACCCCCACCTTCTAAAGAAAGTTCGAGTATATTGTTACCCTGGTTCGTCCTTCCAACACACTATCTTTTAAATTCCTCAAACTCCTTTAACACAATTCTTCTTTTGGAATATGGTACGTGATGTCCTGTAGATGTGAAAAATGGTTTTGAAATTTTCATTTTCCACCCTAGGAACCAATTAGAAGTCAAAAAACAAACAATGTTTTCTGGTTCCAAGAACCACAAAGGAGAATGATACTTATGCTGGGGCATTACTGTCTTATGACAACATCTAGTTTCTCTTATTTAGTACATTACCTATAAACGTGTACAAGTCTGAGATACTAATGCACTATGTCTTAAGTCAAATATCCATTACTTTTTCATCAATATCAAACGATAGTTTTTGTTTATAACCTTTTGTTTGATTTAGCGTTTATTTCTATAGGGCCAAGATTAGACTAGAATAATGAATTCTTGTCAGGTACATATATTTAAAATCCATCATTATGGACTGTATTTCACACAGAGTAATAGTGCGTTGACGAACTATTGACGAACACAACGTTTGACTTTGTGTATTATTTCAATAATACTTCCAAAGTCATTCTAAATGACAATCTTCAATCTACAATCTAATCTCGGTCAAAAACTCCTTCAGTATCCATGTTCTGTTTGACTGAAACCGGAATCCCCTTTTTCTTTTCTTGAACTAAGTTGAAGAACTGAATGATCATATTTTTATCCTGAATATAGGCCAGGAGAAAATGTAACAAAGAATAATACATGTAGTAATAAGAGACCCATGGGTTTTCATTGTCAAAAGAGTATCATGTGATTATTGACCACTTTGGCTCCTCTTGGAGGAACTCTGGACTCATTTAACAGAACTTCTTCATCGGTATGGGCATGGTATAATCATGTCCATGCATCTTGTCTCTTACAAGTTGGTGAGTAAAGAAGATAAAATGTACATATTTTAAAATACGACCAACAGCCCACCTTGGGTCTAACCTGTGGATCTGAGAGACAAAGGCTGAAATGCTGTCGAGTCGGCGTTAAGAAATAAACAATCAATCGATTGAAATTGGTTCCAGAGAAGAAGCAAAATTTTATTAAAAGTTTACAACCGCGACAGACATAATGCATGAAGATGGGCGTAAACAGAGAACAAAAGGTCACCTGAAAACCTCGCATGACAAAATAATTATATTCTTATTCGTTTCAATTCAAACAAACACAAATAATTTAGAAAGTAAATAATAGGACGTATATAGACACGAAGCGCTCTCGCAAGTGCATTTAATTATTATTACAAAATATACAATTTTAACTTTTCTTCGTTGAAATCTTAAATCTACAAAGACAAAAAACACAATTATATATTAAGAGGGCGGAAGGCCGGAAAAACGTCTGTCTGCACTGAGGGAGAAAGCCTTCGAATGGCGTAAATTTTTACATACAGTAAAGTGTGCATGCTTTATCAGAATACTTATAGAACAGGTATTCTATAAATACATTAGCCAATCAGATCGGTAGTCAGTCTACATAACAAACACTGGATAAACACGTGTTCGATTGAAACACATGTTCTGATAACTTCAATAAATACATAATAAACATTTTATACAAACTACAGTTTATTTCATTATTTTTAATTAAGACAAAAGTGTAAGAAATGAATCTAAAAATTAAAAAAAACAAGAGGCCCAAGGGCCTTAACGGTCACCTGAGTATAATACAACAATTTAGAGGATCCATAGAGTATAAAATGAACTGAAAGGTGAAGCTTTGTTGCCCAAAAGCAAGAAAAATAGGGTGATCAGGATCAACAAAATAATTAATCTAGTATTCACTGATAGTTTATGAATTAGGTTCTAATCTGTTCCCCATTTATCACTATCACTATACAGTGTGTTAAAAACCTATCAGTGCTTCTGTACTATTTTAATTTCTTGTTCAAATCTCTTACATTGATTGGCCTCTCTTGGTCTTTGATGAACATTTAATAAGACAAGTTATTTTTGTTCCATTTTTATTTATCTATTACTTACAAGTCTATCTGATCATTAAAACTATGAAAATACTTTTTGTATTATACAATAAAAATTCTTGCTTAATTCTCTTTTTCTATTAACCTTTGGAAGTACATTGTTTACAGTGATTAATTATCAAAAGTAAATGGCAAAGGGGAATAACTCCTCTCAGTAGAATACAAATTAATAGAGCCCTGGCCAGGACTAGAACACTTGAACAAATGGTCCAGATGTTCAAAATCTGGTAAAAATACCCTTCCTTATTATAACTTTTAATCTTTTTGCCTCTGATATGCCCAAGTGCAGAGAAAATTTTTAAAGAAATAATGCATTTTTACTTCAGATTCACAATATTATCAATAGAACCCCCCCCCCCCCCCCCCAAGAAACACTAGAGTCTCTCACCCTGGGACCAGAAGTTTGCTCATCATAAGTAATCACTTTGTTTATCTGCTTAACATTAAGGAGCAGACGGGATTATTTAATAGAATTAATGCATTTCACTATATTATCAAGAGCCCCACCCTTACACCAGCACATCTGACCCGGGTCATGCAATTCACTACTCTGGAAGAAGCACTCTTGCTCATCATAACTATATACTTAGCTTCTTTGCTTTTTAACCAGAAGCAGAAAAGAATATTTTCAAAGAAATTTTGCTTTTTCACTATATAATCAATAGAGCCCCCCCCCCCAAACCTTTTCACTAGAACCCTTGACCCTGGGGCCATGAAATTCACAATTTTGGAAGAGGCATCCTTGTGTATCATAACAACGTATTTAGTTTGTTTAAATAGTACCCAGGGGCAGAGAAGAAGATTTTCTAAGAAAAAATTCACCTTCACTATAGGATCTATAATAGCCCCACCCTAGAACCAGAACCCCTGTCCTTGGGGCCATGAATTTCACAATTTTGGAAGAGGCATCATTGCTTATCATAACAATGTACTTATGAAAATCACTATTTTGGATGAGTCACCCTTCCTAATATCATAACTATGTATTTAATTTGTTTCAATAATACCCAGGAGAAGAGAAGAAGATTTTCAAAGAAATAATGCACATTCACTATATGATCTGTATAGCCCCACCCTAGCACCAGAACCCCTAACCCTCCAGGGGCCATGAATTTCACAATTTTGGTAGAGTCACCCTCGCTTATCATAACTATGTATTTGATTTGTTTCAATAATACCCAGGAGTAGAGAAGAAGATTTTCAAAGAAATAATGCACATTCACTATATGATCTATATAGCCCCGCCCTAGCAACAGAACCCCTGACCCTGATGCCATGAATTTCACAATTTTGGTAGAGTCACTCTTGCTTATCATAACTATGTATTTAATTTGTTTCAAAAATACCCAGGAGTAGAGAAGAAGATTTTCAAAGAAATAATGCACTTTCACTATATGATCTATATAACCCCGCCCTAGCACCAGAACCCCTGACCCTGGGGCCATGAATTTCACAATTTTGGTAGAGTCACTCTTGCTTATCATAACTATGTATTCAATTTGTTTCAATAATACCCAGGAGTAGAGAAGAAGATTTTCAAAGAAATAATGCACTTTCACTATATGATCTATATAGCCCCCCCCCAGCACCAGAACCCCTGACCCTGGGGCCATGAATTTCACAATTTTGGTAGAGTCACTCTTGCTTATCATAACTATGTATTTAATTTGTTTCAAAAATACCCAGGAGTAGAGAAGTCGATTTTCAAAGAAATAATGCACTTTCACTATATGATCTGTATAGCCCCTCCCTATCACCAGAACCCCTGACCCTGGGGCTATGAATTTCACAATTTTGGTAGAGTCACCCTTGCTTATCATAACTATGTATTCAATTTGTTTCAATAATACCCAGGAGTAGAGAAGAAGATTTTCAAAGAAACAATGCACTTTCACTATATGATCTGTATAGCCCCACCCTAGCACCAGCACCCCTGTCCCTGGGGCCATGAATTTCACAATTTTGGTAGAGTCACCCTTACTTATCATAACTATGTATTCAATAATACCCAGGAGTAGAGAAGAAGATTTTCAAAGAAATAATGCACTTTCACTATATGATCTATATACCCCCCCCCCCCCCTCAGCACCAGAACCCCTGACCCTGGGGCCATGAATTTCACAATTTCGGTAGAGTCACTCTTGCTTAACATAATTATGTATTTAATTTGTTTAAATAATACCAAGGAGTAGAGAAGAAGATTTTCAAAGAAATAATGCACTTTCACTATATGATCTATATAGCCCCCCCCCCCTCCCCACCTAGCAACAGAACCCCTGACCCTGGGGCTATGAATTTCACAATTTTGGTAGAGTCACTCTTGCTTATCATAACTATGTATTTAATTTGTTTCTATAATACCCAGGAGTAGAGAAGAAGATTTTCAAAGAAATAATGCACTTTCACTTTATGATCTATATAGCCCCCCCCCCTCCCCACCTAGCACCAGAACCCCTGACCCTGGGGCTATGAATTTCACAATTTTGGTAGAGTCACTCTTGCTTATCATAACTATGTATTTAATTTGTTTCTATAATACCCAGGAGTAGAGAAGAAGATTTTCAAAGAAATAATGCACTTTCACTATATGATCTATATAACCCCACCCTAGCAACAGAACCCCTGACCCTGGGGCCATGAATTTCACAATTTTGGTAGAGTCACTCTTGCTTATCATAACTATGTATTCAATTTGTTTCAATAATACCCAGGTGTAGAGAAGAAGATTTTCAAAGAAATAATGCACTTTCACTATATGATCTATATAGCCCCCCCCCAGCACCAGAACCCCTGACCCTGGGGCCATGAATTTCACAATTTTGGTAGAGTCACTCTTGCTTATCATAACTATGTATTTAATTTGTTTCAAAAATACCCAGGAGTAGAGAAGTCGATTTTCAAAGAAATAATGCACTTTCACTATATGATCTGTATAGCCCCTCCCTATCACCAGAACCCCTGACCCTGGGGCTATGAATTTCACAATTTTGGTAGAGTCACCCTTGCTTATCATAACTATGTATTCAATTTGTTTCAATAATACCCAGGAGTAGAGAAGAAGATTTTCAAAGAAACAATGCACTTTCACTATATGATCTGTATAGCCCCACCCTAGCACCAGCACCCCTGTCCCTGGGGCCATGAATTTCACAATTTTGGTAGAGTCACCCTTACTTATCATAACTATGTATTCAATAATACCCAGGAGTAGAGAAGAAGATTTTCAAAGAAATAATGCACTTTCACTATATGATCTATATACCCCCCCCCCCCCTCAGCACCAGAACCCCTGACCCTGGGGCCATGAATTTCACAATTTCGGTAGAGTCACTCTTGCTTAACATAATTATGTATTTAATTTGTTTAAATAATACCAAGGAGTAGAGAAGAAGATTTTCAAAGAAATAATGCACTTTCACTATATGATCTATATAGCCCCCCCCCCCCTCCCCACCTAGCAACAGAACCCCTGACCCTGGGGCTATGAATTTCACAATTTTGGTAGAGTCACTCTTGCTTATCATAACTATGTATTTAATTTGTTTCTATAATACCCAGGAGTAGAGAAGAAGATTTTCAAAGAAATAATGCACTTTCACTTTATGATCTATATAGCCCCCCCCCCTCCCCACCTAGCACCAGAACCCCTGACCCTGGGGCTATGAATTTCACAATTTTGGTAGAGTCACTCTTGCTTATCATAACTATGTATTTAATTTGTTTCTATAATACCCAGGAGTAGAGAAGAAGATTTTCAAAGAAATAATGCACTTTCACTATATGATCTATATAACCCCACCCTAGCAACAGAACCCCTGACCCTGGGGCCATGAATTTCACAATTTTGGTAGAGTCACCCTTACTTATCATAACTATGTATTCAATTTGTTCCAATAATACCCAGGAGTAGAGAAGAAGATTTTCAAAGAAATAATGCACTTTCACTATATGATCTATATAGCACCCCTCCCCCTCCCCCTAGCACCAGAACCACTGACCCTGGGGCTATGAATTTCACAATTTTGGTAGAGTCACTCTTGCTTAACATAACTATGTATTTAATTTGTTTCAATAATACCCAGGAGTAGAGAAGAAGATTTTCAAAGAAATAATGCACTTTCACTATATGATCTATATAGCCCCACCCTAGCACCAGAACCCCTGACCCTGGGGCCATGAATTTCACAATTTTGGTAGAGGGCTCAATGCTTATTACAATCATGCCAACAGTTTGACTGCTTGATGTCCAGGAGTAAAGAAGAAGATTTTTAAAGATTGCATTAATTTTGGTGGTTTTAGCCCCACCCCTCAGGCCCCAGGGGGGCAGGGACCATGATATTCACAAATTTTGTTCCCCTTCACACATAGATGCCATATGCTAAAATTGGCTGAAATTGGTTCAGCGGTTTCAGAGAAGAAGCTGAAAATGTTCAAATGTTAACACACGACGCACGACGGACGACGACGGACGAAAACAGATAGCAATAGGTCACCTGAGTGACTCAGGTGACCTAAAAATGAAACTAAACTAGAGGTGAATAATTAAAAACCATCCTTAAACATTGAATAAATCTGTATATAAGAGAACTTTCTACAAAAACAACTTAATTGAAGATATAAATGACATTGTTAGTATAGCAGAATTTTTTAATGGAGCATTTCTGATCTTATGAAATACTATTGTTTGAGCTAACTTTGTTACATCAGGATAAGGCATAGTTCAAGAAGAGTGACCTTATTGCACTACTAGGTGGAGGTCATTTTTCCTGAAAGTATAGTAGGAAGGGTGGTTGATTTCTTGGTCAGCTCTAAGATGACAAATTTTGGTCTTAGAAGTTCATGTGGATATATGATTAGCGAATTGGTCATATTGACTCCTGAATTTCAAAATTGATGTATCCAGAGATGTCGACCAGCTGTTCACTGTCAAAGCTAGCACTGATCTGATGTTTTCCACTTCTGTTCACTGTTACTTTAATCACTTCTTTCCACAAAGAATCCCCAGGAACGTCCCTATAACAAAATACCCTTGATAACATTTTTTTGAAGAACTAGACAATCAATACATATTGTTAATTGAATAAAAGAACATAATGCGACAAATAAACTCCGAAACGGGTGCACCAGAGTTCGTACTTACTCCTCTAACAATACACTATATACAAGATGGTGTCCGTAACCTATATTTAGTTTTCACTCGCATAGTAAGACTTAGGTATCGTATATTGAATTAAAAATCTACTTTCATTTTCTATAAACAGCCATAAAATAGCAAAAACGTGAGTACGGTGGCGTTTCCGGGTGGCGGATCTAAGTTACTGGCAATTTTTAATGAAACTGACAACAAGCAATCGTTTCTTTACTTCATAAAACGTCATCACTGAATTATTCAATCAAAACTTGATTTAAATGATATAAAAGAAATAAGTTGTGATAACCGATTAAAAAGGGAAATATGCAAATTATTTTCGTCATTCACCAATCTCATTATTGACGGAAGCTTCTAGAACATCATATAGCATCGAGCCCGATGAACGAGGCGATTATAGCTGCAAGAACATAAAAAAAGCTTTTGTGTGAATGGTCATTGAAACAATGGTACATCATTGATAACGCTAGAAGTTGTGAATATATTTATATATCGAAAGACTATTACATATATGTAGTAGGTTTTCCTAATAAATTTATCGGTGAAAGTTGTACATGTTCCTTACTGAGAGCATCGTGGCAACGAACCCGAAGTACAAATTGTACTTCGTAATAAACTTGCTTACATGAAAAGAGAAAATTAATAAATAAGGTATTGTTGAAATAAAATTAAAGCTGTAAAATTTTGTGCTTTAATCAAAACATTTCAATTTTTTCTGAATACAGTCTTTGGTATCAAATACTCGGCCTATTCATAGGGCGTTAAAAGCTAATTTTTACACAGGTACTTGGGTATTGGTTTATAAATATGTATGTACCTTATTGGTATGTAAAAAAAGTAAAGTACATTTTTTTTATATATCAATAAGGTACATACATATTTATAAACCAAGACCCAAATACCTGTGAATCCCCCCCCCCTCCAAATCAATTTATCAGCTGCTTTTATCCTTGACGGAAATGAAATAAGAGCATCTGAAGTACAATATCCATAAAATAGTATAACGGGTTTCACAACAAACGTCAATTAATGAAATCGCATTTTTTTTTTTTTTTACAAAAGGAGGGGGTGGGGATGGAGACGTACATCTACTTCATGCAAGGATTTTGAACAAAGTATTTCTTCCTGCAATAAACCTGTAGGCTGTCAGTAGAAATTACAATATATTTTCTGTTGGTAGTGGTATAAATTCAATTCCCCGCGCTTGCGCGGGATTTCATCTAGTTTATTTAGATAAATACTTTTTATATACATGTACAGAAGACGTACTTTTTCCCGCGTGGGATTAATTTATGTTAAGTACAGGATCGCATACTTTTGCATGGAAATTGTCGTGGCGTACTTAAGGCGTATTTAAGACATATAAAGGCAGTTTAAGAAATCCGTGTAATTTTCAAAGGCTTTTAACTTAAGCTACAGCGTATAATGGTCCACTTTACACTTTCTGGCGGCCAATATTTTTGATTTACAACAGTTTGGCTGAAGAAACAGACTTATGGTGTGTTTTGCAACTGGACTTTTAATCAATTAATTTATCATTGTAAAAAAAGAAGATTATCACATTTACATGTATCTATAATCAGATAAAATAATGTAATGAAAACTGTTGCTTAATTCACAAACATCCATGGTATTTCCACAAACACTAACGGTATTTCCACCTCTTGACAAACACTAACAGTATTTTCAAGTGCACTTCTTTTCACAAACACATACAGTATTTCCACCTCTTTACATAAAGACTTATGGTATTTACACAAACACCTACGCTATCTCCACCTCTTTACACAAACACTTGTGCTATCTCCACCTCTTTACACAAACACTTGTGCTATCTCCACCTCTTTACACAAAAACGTACGATATTTTCACCTTTTAACAAACACCTACGGTTTGTTCCCATTTCGCCTTAACTGTAAAATTTGGTATTCCCATTTCGCCTTAGTAAGCTCTGAGGTAAATTAAGGCGAAATGGGAACTTGTATACACATCTAATTAAGTCTGGAAATATTGTTGTTTGTGTAGCAGGATTATTATGAATCTTAAATTAAGGTATCAGTAATTTTATGAAACTCTTGTGGAGGTAGATTTGACAAAAAGATAATAAAGTTTTATTTTATATATGTATTTATTATCATTTAATATTTATTTATTTTTAATAATATGCTTATTAATAGTGATAAAAATCAAGGAGCACATTGTTAAAGAGAACATTAATAGATATCATTACTTTTTATAAAATAGTAATTATTATGTATAAAAAATAATATAATTTCATTCACTGTATGCATAAATTAATTCCCATTTTAAGTCGAATATACCTTTTTATTTTCAAATGTACAACATGTACAATTTTAAATACCAAAAACTGTGTAATTAACTAATTATAAAAACACCTCATCAATTTTCAAGGTTTGTTTTTACAATAGTATTATTAAGAAATTCCCAGTTCGCCTTAGTACTTTTTTACTTTTTCTTACCTATATTTCACAGCTAAGGCGAAATAGGAACACATCACACCTACCCTAGGCTCTCCACCTCTTTACACAAACACCTGTACGCTATATCTCCACCGCTCTACACAAACGCTTACGGTATTTCCACCTCTTTACACAAACACTTACGGCATTTCCATCTCTTCATCTTCTACCACTCCGTCCAGGTCCAGTTTACATTCTGTCAGTTGATATGGAAGTGAGTTCTTGAAAGATACCGTTACACCAAACGGTATTCCCTTAAATACTAATGATGGAACCTGTCAATAAGGAGACGTTTCAGGTTAGCTAAAATATCTTTAAAAAAATTAATAATAGTGTGATGAAAAGAAAATAACACTCCAGAATATTTCGTTTATCACAAAAGTTGGGTTTGACATGGGTACTCTTCTCCCTTAAACCAAAACCTTCTTTCCCTCTCTTTCTCACCATCTGATCCCCCCGGCCTCATCATACTCCTCGCCCTCTCTTCTTTAGTCTCCCTCTCAATTTTCTACCCTATCTCAATCCCCCCGGCCTTATACTACTCCTCATCCTCTCTTCTTTAGTCGTTCTCCCAGTCTTTATCCTACCTCCCCCCAAGCATCATCCTATGCCCCACCCTCTCTTATTTAGTCTCCCTCCCTACTTTCTATCCTATCTCCCTTTTTTTACTCTGCCCTAACTGAAGGTTCTAAAAGTCCTATGTTAGAAATATCAATTATTGAAAATAAATCATTGATTTAGAAACAGATAAAGCATGACATTTAATCGCTCACAATAGAAGTTAACACATAGCTACGATCCACTTTTAACGGAAATTAAAGATCGACACTGAGGGAATTCTGCATTATACTGTCCTGAGTATTAGAGTACTCCATGGTAAATGATAAATTTTGATAATAACTTGAGAAACTTGAGAAAAGAATAGTGAATTACATCAAGTAACAAGTCGGGTCTTCTCAAGCGGAAGTCATCGGTCTTCATGTACATTGCGCCGGTTTCTTTAACAAGAGCGCTGACACGGATTTCCATGGCACACTGCTCAATTAGGTAAGGTATGTAAGTTTTTCCTTTAACTTCATGGTTGATAGTATGTTCTAAAACAGAAAGGACGCAATATGCCCAATGATTATTTCTTCTCCATTCATTCTCTCTATAGTGCATACTAGCAATATGAAGATACTTAAGGAATGAAGCTTATTTAACCTATGTTATACGATATAACATAACTTGGGGCAGTTTACACGTTATAAACCGCAAAGCGGTTTATAAAAAAGCGTAAACTATCCCAAGTTATGTTATATTCTATAACATGGGTTAAAATAAGCTTCATCCTTATAATTTAATTTCATTGTAGACAATAAGACAATTTTTCCTCCAAAAATGGCTTCGAATTGAACATATTTTAAAAGTAACGTCAAGCAGAGTAATACGTTTTTGACGTAACTCATTGTGACGTAGGCAACTTATGATATACGATATAAACGAAATCTTTTATAAAATCAAATGACTTGTTACAACTAAAATTGAATTATATTGTGCTTATTATATTACTGTATATAGCACATGTACTGATATATATATATTAATTTCAGTTAACAATTGAAGATGTTCATTAAATGCCAAAACTTTTCTTTTAATCAAAAAGGACCTGGGAGCTTCATTTGTTTCAAACAATCACTTCTACAGTCTACACTACATTAATTTAGATAACGTTCTGCTTACTTTCTTTTGACTTTCCAGCAAGGACAATGTCCTTGAAGCTATGGCTGGTCACCTTAGAGACGATTTCGCCGGTGTAGCGCTTTGTGAAGACGTCTATTGTTAGGTTATCAATGGTCCTCACTTCCTCACAGAATTTCTTTAATTTGACTCTTACCGTAAAATTCTCCCCAACCATTATCCCATCCTCATCCATAAGGCTCAGTTTTATATCCTAAAATTTGAATGTTGTAAGTATTACTTTTAATCATCATTAAAAATGCATAATACACATTGCATTATAAACGCTATTTTTATGAACCTATCACAATATATCTATGCCAATAACAGTGCCAAAATCCAACACAATATTAACTTTTTGGCTGGAATAATGGATTAGTTTTCCACTGGTAACCAGACTTTTATTTGTTTTAAAAACTATCATTCTCTCAATATATAATAATAACAATTTCCAGATATTCAAAGTAATTGGTATTAATGATGATTAATAGAATAAAACTTTCAAACAGATGGTAGTTTGTGACCTTATCCATCTTTTGGTCGGCCTTGGACATTGCAGTGGCACGAGTAACTATCCTTCTTTCTTCTAGTGTACCTTTACAGTAAATAAGTATTTATACGTGTATTTATACGTGTATTTATACGTGTATTTCGTACGCGGTCATGTTGATATATATCAATAGATTTAATGATGAAGTGTCGGTAATCAACAACCACTACTAACCTTCTTTGTATTTGTAATGATCTGTAATGTCCTCTCTGGATTTGTCAGCGCCTACTCCTTGAGTCGCAGAAAATGGTTTGCCATCGGCAACTTTTGTGCTGATGCATTTCCCAACACTGAAAAACTCCAACATGTAAACTATTTTAACGTGCATATTATTCAATGTTGTGAAGTGAGAAAAATTATTGTAATAAATGTACCTACTCATTTGTATCAGAATACAGCAACTTCCATTTGTCTTCTTCCAGTATTTGCCATATCATTTTGTCGGCATTGACCTCGGCAAAAACGAAGCCTGTGTCATAGTTCAGTGAACAGTCGCCTTTCTTAATGGCTGCGATTGATGCTGGGCCACATTGGTGCACATCTGTCATACATGTATATATGTACTTTAAATCACAAATGAATGTTAATGGAATAGAAACTGCATCTAATAATAATGCAAGTTTCAGACACATGTGACAAAAATACTTACAACAGCTCAAACCAAATATAAACCCAAATTTATTTTAAGATATTACTTAATTCATTTTATAATTCCTACAATTCATTTGAAATCAAGTAACTGTAAATATTTTATTTCAAAAATTTGAAGTCGGTTTAAAAACATAAAAATAACAAAGTTAAACAAATGTACTTAATTAGGTATAGATTTATTTTAAATGTATAAACGTTTTGGTATCATTTAGTGACTGACTTCCACTTAGTTCCTGAGGTGTAGCATCTATTGCTTGCCATCCATCGTAGCCACTTCCAATATCTTTGCGAGTCATCCATACTTCATTCCAGACATGAAAATTCCTAATATAAAGAATTGTTATGGGTTTATACAAGAAAATTAGAAGTTCTTGTCATATGCAACAAAAACATTAATTTAACATTGGAGCTTTGCAGTGTCCCCCGTCTCACCTATATAACTTAGAAGACATACTATGCAATTACATGTATAATTCAAAATTATCTTGAAAAAAATCTATAAAATCTTTCATACCTTCGAGGAAAACAACAGTGGTCATGAAAGCAATTAAAAACTATCATAACCTAAGATTGTTCTAAACAAAAACAAATTTTCTATGCTAAGGAGATGTTCTTTTTCATAACATGAGGCCCAAGGGGGCACCTGAGTATACCGGTAATACAACGCTGTAAAGGATCCATAGAAGTTTAAAACAAAATTAACTGACAGATGAAGTTATTTTGCCCAAGAATTTCAAAAATTTGGTCAAAATACCTTGATCTTCTTGGGATCGTACTTGGTTTTCCCAAGTCTTACAGGAATGATAATGAATGCAAAATATACAAATACAATGGACACTTTCCTAGTGTGTAAGACATTCAATATACAAACAAATATGTGTTTGTTACTTGACTATTGCCACAATTAAGAACACAAAGAGAGACTTAGCTATACAATATGGCTATTTTCCAGTGTTCACTAACTACATGTCCCCTGGTCACCCTGTCTCTCTGATTACTTGTTCACTTCGATAAAGTTTAATACAACTCTATTCAGACTCTTGCCAACTAAACTCTGATCTCCGTGAATTTTCCTGACAATAATTCATCAGCAGTCAAACAAGACTAAACAGTATATGCATGTTAAATACAACCGGCCCTTTGCTACATAAATAATCATTATTTCAATCTTTTATATTGCTTTCCAAGCAAAAATCCTAACTTGAGCTTGCTTTGCTTGTTTAAAGCAAACATTCATTATAATTTTGTTTCCATATTCTGTATTCTCAATCAAATATCCTGCTAATTAAATTAAATACAAGGATTTCTTGATTTAACACAATTTAGCAAAGGGGAGTAACTCTTATTCACTTATTACAATTTTGTACTCTGATACACAGGAACAGAGAAAGAACACACTTACTTATATTTATATTTAAAAATTTACATTTATATTATTGCATTTAGTCTGTTTGCTTATTACTCAGGGCAGAGGAGAAGATTTTCAAAGTATTAATTAATGCATTTTTGTTATATACTCAATAGAGCCCCGTCCAAGTACCAAAACCCATGGGCCATGAAATTCACAATTTTGGAATAGGCACCCTTCCTCATTATAACTATGCATTTAGTTTGTTTGCTTAATACCAAGGAGCAAGGAGAAGATTTTCAAAGCATTAATTTATTTTCAGAATGTATTAAATAGCCCCCCAAGACCCCTGACCCTGGGGCCACATCTTTCACAATTTTGGAAGAGACACCCTTCCTCATCATAACTATGTACTTAATTCATCAGCTTAATACCCGGGAACAGAGGAGAAGATTTTCAAAGAATTAATGCATTTTCACTATATAATTATTTGAGCCCCACCCTAACACAAGAACCCCTGATCCAGTGGCCATGAAATTCACAATTTCGGAAGAGACATCCTCCTCATCATAACAATGTACTTTATTCATTGGCTTAATACCCAGGAGCAGAGGAGATGATTTTCAAAGAATTAATGCATTTTCACTATATAAAGATTAGAGCCCCGCCCTAAAACCAGAACCCCTGACCCAAGGGCCATGAAATTCACAATTTTGGAAAAGACACCCTTCCTCATCAAAACTATGCTTTTAGTTTGTTTCCTTTATACCCAGGAGCAGAGAAGATTTTCAAAGAATTAATGCACTTTCACTGTATAATCATTAGATTTTGGTAAAGGGCTCAATGCTTTTTACAATCATGCCAACAGTTTGACTGCTTGATGTCCAGGAGTAAAGAAGAAGATTTTCATAGATTGCATTAATTTTTATGGCTTTAGCCCCACCCCTCAAGCTCCGATGGGGGGGGGGGGCAGGGGCCATGAATTTCACACTTATTGTTCGCCTTCACCCATAGATGCTATATACCAAAATTGGTTGAAATTGGTCTAGTGGTTCCAGAGAAGAAAAGTGTTCAAAAGTTTACGACCGACGGACGACGACTGAAGAAAACAGATAGCAATAGGTCACATGAGTGACTCAGGTGACCTAAAAAAGGGGGAAAATGGGACACACCAGACTGAATCGTTGGAGAGCTCTGGAACTTTTTCCATATCACCGTTTTCGTTTTTACGCATGACGGTATCTATGGTAAGACTGCAATCTGTGTCGTGAGCAGAACTGAAGTTTGTCACACTTCTTGCGGGCATGCCTAGCGCTCTACAAACTAGATACATTAACAACAATTAAACTAACTTCTATCACAAATACTTTACGAGGAAATATTCTGGAAAAGTTTTTTTTAAAATATTTACTTAAATATTATTTGTAATCCGTTGTGAAAGGTAAGGCCTTAGGAATATGATTTGCAATCTGTTTTACATTTGAATTCGGTCAACGAGGAAATTCTAGACAATGTATGGGATATCTTTCCCCTTGATTACATTGTACCTGTAGTCACGAGCCCCGAGAATACCCAACATTGACCAAAACAAACAGGATCTCCGTCATTTTTCTCATATTGACGCAGTATTTTTGGACTTCCGGACCAGTGAGTCGGTTTCCGACCGTCGCTGTAGTCTCCACTCCAGTTTCCAACAAGCACTCCGTCATCATCTTGGCAGTTAACCTGAAGGGATAGGACATTTTCATAAAATTTAGACCGAGTGTACTTACGATCATTTTACTGACTGTGTTTGATTATATTTATGATTTTGCTGATATTGATTTGTGATTATATTTACGATTTTACTGATGGTGCATGATTATATTTATGATTTTACTGATGGTGCATGATTATATTTATGATTTTGTAGATAGTGGTTTGTGATTTTATTAACGATTTTACTGACTGTGCGTGATATATTTACGATTTTACTGAATGTGCATGATTATATTTATGATTTTGTAGATAGTGGTTTGTGATTTTATTAACGATTTTACCGACTGTGCGTGATATATTTACGGTTTTACTGAATGTGCATGATTATATTTATGATTTTGTAGATAGTGGTTTGTGATTTTATTAACGATTTTACTGATGTGCAATTATATTTGCCATGTTTTGCTAATAGTGATTTGTGATTATATTAAGGATTTTACTCATGGTGCGTGATTATATTTACGGTTTTGCTGATAGTTGTTTGTGATCATATTTACGATTTTACTGATGGTGCGTGAAATCTGAATCGGATCCGACATCCCTTTTGCGTTCACTGTGTTTCCATGAGCTCTCCGTAGAAGATGGAAGCAAATTTCCAGTATACCCTCCTCAAACTTCAAAATAAAAGGGGGACATATTAAAATCTTTTTAACCTTTAGATTTCATAAATGTAATATGCGAAGAAAAAAGAAGAGTTACAAACCTGGCCAAAATTCCATGTCCTCCCTCCAATCTGCCGATAGTTGCCAGCGTACACGACTCCTTTATCGTTCAGAATATACTCATCCAAAAGTTTCTCATCAGAAAGATACACTGGATCATCTAAGAATTTTAAGTTCTTTTTATTCATATTTCTCCTTCACTTTTGACACAGGTACTGTGGGTGCCGTTACAAGTTACGAGATCATCTGTGTGTGTGTGTGTGTGTTTGTTTGTGAGCAAAGTCAGGGACAAAAGCTTAGCACATCCTTGTTATAGATTATAAGCCATGGAAGAGAGGACAGAAGGGGTGCAACTACTGTATAAACAAAAGGAGTTACATACTTCTCTTTATTTACTATTGGTGTATATTTTATATAATACGATTGTTTTGGGGACTTTTTCTCAAAGAATTTCTTATTTTAAAATGAAAAAAAGTTCGAATGTCCCCGGGAATGTTTGGAGCCCTTAAGTACCTGTGAATTTAATACACAATATGCATCACGTACCAGAACTGATATCGAGATTTTTCTAACGAGCAACTGTACTACAAATCCTTACCTTTACACCAAGGATTTAGCAGAATATTTATATCTTCCGGAACTTCATAACAAAATGCTTTGTCTGACGATTTATCGGATGGTGACGTCATGATGCTGAGTGACCACTCGCCAATGACACAAGCACTGGACGGCGTAATGTCCAAGAAGACGGAGGATTCCTTGATATCCTTTATGTGACACTTCCAGCCATGTTCAGTTTTTGCTGATTTCAGAGGTTCGAGCTGCACTAATGTAATATCTGAAGGCTTTGGAAATTTTCCTAGAGAAATACATGTGAGGATTAGTGACATACCAAAGAATATCAATTAATGGTCTAAAGTATATATTCTAGATAATTAAGCTCGCCTGTGCTAAATAGGCTGTTGTGAGTAATGTGATTGAAGTTTGGATGGCAAATTACTCAACTAATTCGACAAATCTAGTCACAAACTAGTTACTTGTGACGTAAATATAGTTAATAATGATGAGGGCTGGCCTTGTCCTTTGGGCTACAGTGTGTTCAAATGTAAACATTTCCGCGCAGCAGCCAGATTGCAGTTAGTCAAATTTATTTGCAAGTTTCTCTTTGAAGTGAAAATTCATATTTGTTGAAATCATGACCCCAGCGGATAGGCGGGTCCATAAAAGGGTTTCAAAGTTCTGCCTAAGGAAAAAAAAATCTTTTAAAAAATGTCTCCTTACATAATTGTACATAATACTTACTGGCATTGAAAACGTAAAGATAATCTTTTAAACAATACAGTTGTGAAGAGGGCCAAAAATACGGACACCTGGAAACACCAGAGGTGCGATTAGGTGCCTAGGAGGAGTAATCACCCCCTGTCGACCAATCACACCCATTGTGGGTACTCTGTTTTAATCAGGTTACGGGAGTAGTCCGTAGTCCAGATTAGTATAAAAACAATGGCCAAAGAATTGGTGTGAAAGATATCAGTCAAAATATGACCCAAAGATAGGTTGTACATATATTTGCAAACGAGGTCTTTACAACCACCATGGAATTTGCAAAATGTTGACTCTAAAAGAGATTGATAAAAGCCCAGGAAGAACTTATTTGTCGGTAGCTTGCCTTGATCGTACTCAGAGCATGCTGGGAGGCATAATAATATACATGGATGTCATATGTATATATATGTTGTGACATGACCGGTAATGTTTTCCTTCGAAGTTCACTGTACAATAACTAAATTACAGAACAGTTTTTAGTGGGCGGTCCTTATGCAAATGACCCCAACTGTACAATAACTAAAATAGAGAACACTCAGGGTATCAGGGTAAATCAAATTTATTTTTAGAAATTAACAAACAAAATGACTAGATTTTTATCTCGTTACAAAATAAAAACTCAAATAGAAACAGAGAAAAACAGTAAACATTTTCTTTATACTGTTGACAAATATCACTTCATAGAAAAAGTAAAATTGCACATATTAAACAATGCCGGCATAGAACTTAACTCCTTGAATGGTCCACGCATTGCGGATTCGTTCCTGGTTTCATTGCACAGGGGTTTGTCGACACCTAACTGTAAATCACCATGGAAGTGCTTGAAAGGCGGGTCATCATTTTCGGGTTCCAATGGCCTCTTCTCAGATTTACGTGGCGGATCTAGAACTTGTGACACTTTTTTTTTAGCATTCCTGAGCTGCAATCTTTGTACTTTCGCACTGCAACGGATAGATGTCCGGTCCTTTTCATAATTTCTTGCTCAGGGACTCCCGCAATGTACATTTGAGTTGCACATGTGCATTTTCCGCTATGATTTGTGAAATTTCCAAACAAGTCACCTTTTTCTGCTATCACCTTCATGAAATTTTTAAGTTTGTTTATGCCGACGTTTTGGTGAGAATAACGAATTTTTACATCTCCCAGTGGTGGCAGTGGGCGCCGATAGAACGACCCCCCTCCAATTGCCTTTAGATACGCATCGAAGAAATCGATTATGCATCTTTCTCCTATATAAGTAAACAAAAACTAGTTTTCATTTGAAACACAAATTCAACCAACAATAGAGAGAGAGAAGGGGGGTTTACAGTTGATAAACAAACATAACACATAGTTCTAGCACCAAATTAGGACACAATTTTTCGCTGTTATTTCAAATTGGAAATGTATTGAACAAAACGGCCATAAATGGAGAGAGAGAGATAGATAGAGAGATTTTAACATACCTGGATCAGAGTAGTGTTTGATGTTTTTGTTCTGAACATTCAACTGGGCTAATCCTCCTTTATAAGTCTTGGAAGATCGTCCCACGAACTTACTATATTTTCCATACTCGTCAGCGCCGATGAAAAATTGTTCAGCTGTCAAACTATGGTGCTCGTCACATCCTCTGAGCCCAAATAATTTGCTAGCATAAAAAAAACATTGTCAACTGCAATTGTTCTCCGTTCTCTTGTCCAAAGACTCCCTTCTCCCCCAGTTTCTCTGTTCCGGAAGTATCGGGTCTGCACGTTTTATGTCACAGCCAAGTCCTTTATCAATGAGATTTCTCATTTGTGCATCAGCAATCTTCCGAAATCCAGCGAATTCTGTATTTTTCTCATCCAAAAAATTTTTGTCATATATTCCTTTGTCTCGTAGGTGCCTTAACAGTCCACATAATATCAGATAAATTGATTTCGGTGGGTACTCCGTCCCGTCCTTTTTTCTCATTTCTACCACGAACCTTTCAAGCCAGTAACCCATTTCTTTGGAGTCCATAACGTGAAGTTCAGGAATGTTTTCATCCCTGTTCTCTCGCCATTTCTCGAATACATTCATTGCCCATTTCGTATTTCTTTTTGTGTTCGCATTCTCCTGGTCGGACACGAGTTTGTTTAGCTCTTCGTCTGTCACCGGCGTCCTACAGCGCGTAGATTTTTCTTCATCCTGTATCTCGGATTTGACGATAGGGTTAGTGTCCATACCTAACGTTACATCAAAAGCGCCATAATCATTCGCAATTGCATTTTCTTCTTTCAGATTCAGCGATAAATCACATATTCCTTCAAATGTTAAATTTTCATTCTCTACAGTTTCGCATATCTGAGATAGTGTAATATCGTCTATATCATTGTCCCACGCAGCAAGAATATCGATATCCATTACATCCATATCCGTCTGACCTTCCATTGCATCACCGTCTAAATGATTCTCATAAGCACAATTCGCGCTAGCGCAAAATGCATTGTTTATTGATTGGTCACTTCGTCAACTTAACCTTTAACTTTTTATACTTTATTCAAATTAGTTATCATTACAAAATCTGATTTGCTGTAAAATCACACAGATACAGAATCTTCAAAATCTAAAAATAACCGAACTGTCATGTCACAAGTCATTTAGAATACTCGTTTCTTATTGTATGAGAGATACAGGGCGGGGCGCGGCTCGAGCTAGCGCTCTCGCCTTAAGCCCCGCCCTGTATCTCTCATACAATAAGAAACTCGTACTCTAAATAATACTTGTATATGCTATATACGTCATACCGATCGTACAAGTATCATCATTTAAGTCATGTATTTGCAAGTTAAACTTCTGCTTTCTTAATTACGTACATAATGCAAAGTCAGCTCGTGGACGGGTGTAGTGGCGTTCGAAGTTAAACCTAGAAATATATCACTGAAAAATATTTTTATAATACCTGGGCTTTTTATTAATTACTTACTTATAACTAATTATTTATATATATATCAATACTAATTGCTACTATTTATTACCAATAACTAGTCTACTAATATTTTTTTTATTATTACGAGTTTGAATTCCCCCCCCCCCCCATGTAATTTGTTTTAGTTTGTTTAAATTATGATCCTATCTCAAGGGTAGTCAACAGTTTTCGTACTGCTGAAAGTTTTTGCTAATAAATCACTACAAAAACCTATGAAATAAAAATATTTGTGAAATTTAGATTTTAGTAGTCATTCAAAAAGACCCATGAAAATCAAGAATTTACTTTAAAAAAAAACTAACAAACATTTATTTCTCTGTTTCTTTGTGCGTTAAGAAGAATGCATACATTTCTGTATATAAAGTTGCAGTTGGAATTCTACTACTAGTAAATACAGTCCCCCCTCTAATTATATTCACTCTACAATGAAATTTTATGTATTATATTCATTGTATGATTTAAGAAAAATTATTAAATTGCATTATGGTTAACAATATATGAACGATATTAAAATACCAATTTTGCATTTGCAATCAAATGATTCATTAGAGCAATTTGCCCCTGGCAAGCGCTGGACCTATTATCTCTTTTTCAGCTTGATACTTGCAAAACTAATAAAGATACTGTTAAATGACTGTATTTTACCTGTTAACATCACTAATTGTAGGGGGTGATTGTCTCGTGAGAAGGGTCGATTGAAGTTGATTTTGATTCCAAAATTTTGACCACGCCTGATAACCAGCTCCGGGGGTAGAGTGTTTCCGTCTTGATCCGTACGAGATTTTGTAAGAGCGTACAGGTCTGTTCTGTGTTTCTTGGCGTTGTCTTCAATGTTTAAATCGACCGACACTACATGTATTTCCTTGGAAAGCTCCTCTTTCGTTGCCTTTTCCTCTTTCTCATCAACTGCTATCACAAAATAGTAGTGATTTATTTAAAAAAAAAAAAAAAAAAAAAAGAAGAAAAGAAATTGAACAAGCCCCAAAAGCCCTGTATCCAGTGATGGAATAACTACGAAACAAAGGTGAAAATGTGAAATCAGTCAGAGATATACGTCAACTAGCTGCAATAATGTAGCCCTTTCCCATTTTTTTTTTTTTTGGAGATGCAATTCGAGATGTTTTTAAAGATTTGAATAGATTGCTTTCTTGGTTCTGCCTTTCCTGAAAATATCAGATTAAAAAAAAATCGGAGAGGGCTACATTATTGCAGCTATATGTCAACGGCAAGCTGTATGACCCAATCGTAACACCGGTTAAAAGATACTGAGAAAAAATCGCATAAAACAATATACTAGATTTTTTTTTCTATATAAAAAAAGAAGCAATGACACATTCATACCATTTTTTGTCGCGTCTATTGTTGATGGGGTCAAAGGTTTCGCAAGGCGCTCATCCCGGACCCATGGTTGTTCCTTTATCCGTGGTGGCCCGTATGTGGCAATATTCCGCGAAACTGTCGGTTCCTCGCATTCATGAGTGCTTTCGGTGGGCAATGGGGTGAAAATTCCACTCCGATAAAGTCTTGTATACATCCTGTAAGTATTTTGAAAACGTTTCATGTCGGGGAAGCAGGAAGAAAATGGGAACTGAAAGGCAATATAGATCTCTCTCTCGCTCTCTCTCTCTCCATGTATACAAGTTACAACTTTTCTAAGGTCATTTTTAATCTAAGCAAATAAGACCAAATTCTAAAATATTTTCAATAAATCGTGTATTTTCATTTCGATTAAACTGTTGGAATGTTTTCCCTGTGTCAAATTCCTGTAACAGTTTTTATCATTTTCTTTTGTTCAATTTATTTAAAGTGGTAATGATTTTTTTATCTGTGTAAAAATATAACTATATTGGATCACAACAATTTAAAGGGAACAAGTCTCGACAATAAACAGCTAACGACTTATCATAATAAACAGGCATATCAGAGAGAGAGAGAAGGAGAGGAGTGAGAGAAAGAGAGCAGAAAAATTCACACACAAACACAAACATACAAGCCGATTTATTCATTATAATAAGCAGGTATATCACAGAGAGAGAGGTGAGAGAGAGAGAATGAAGAGAGAGAGAAAGTCACTTACTTGACTGTCTTTGATGGTGCCTTTTAAATTTGTTGTTTTATATGATTTAATTTTTGTTTGCTGTATCTTTGGAGACGCCTTTATGAATACTCGCTACGCTTCACCTAAATTCGTTCATCGACGTATCAAAGAAATCAATGCATGTACCGTAAGCTCGATTGAGCTTTTCATGTGCACAATGTGCATGCCTAAATGCTTGCTAACAGACGCCCTACATATTGTGAACTCGGGATTTGATTTCTTGTTTCCCTAGTTTCTCTTTAAACTCTTTAGTTCTATAACAATGGTATTCAAACTCAAGGCTAATGCTTGTAATGCAGAATATCACGCACTCTACATTGGGAATAAAAAAAGGGGGTGGGGGCTACTGTTTCTGATCTTTGTATCTTCCTGTATCTACTGTATGCACGCCTTTCCAAAACTTTTAAGTACACTTGTGTGTGCATTACAATTTCGTTTCATATATCCTAATCATATTGCATAATACTGAGCAATTAAAAGAACCAGTTTCCAAGGTATAATCATATTGCATAATATGGAGCAATTAAAAGAATCAGTTTTCAAGGTATATATTAATTATATTGTATAAATTAATATTGTGCAATGAGAGGAACAGATTTTTAAAGTATGTTAGAAAATAAATCTTGGGTAGACGTCTCTTTTTTTCTCCAAATTATACGTAGCTTGACTTTCCATAGACGGAGATCGGTTGGCGTATAAATCGGTAGCTTATTAAACGCAAGTTACGCTACTGCACCCATATGCATGCCAGATTTATCCAACACTGTCCTATTTTGATGCCCCCGTAATCGAAGATTTCGGGGGTATATAGTTTTTGCCCTGTTCGTCCGTCTGTCTGTTTGTCCGCAAAAACTTTAACATTGCCCATAACTTTTGATTGTTGGAGCTATGGCTTTCATATTTCACAGGTGTATTCCTTGTGACAAGACCTTCCTTTGGGTATCAACAAATTTGACCTCTTGACCTTGGTGTTTGACCCACTTTTGCAAAAATTCACCAAACTTTAACCTTGGCCATAACTTTTGAACAGTTTGTGCTAGGGCTTTCATATTTCACATGAGTGTTCATCGTGACAAGACCTTTCCATAAGTGTAAATATCTTTGACCCTTTAGCCCTGACCTAAGAGTTTGACCCACTTTTAAAAAAAAACTTTAACCTTGACCATAACTTTTGAACAGTTAGTACTAGGGCTTTCAAATTTCACAGGTAAATTCCTTGTGACAAGACCTTCCTTTGGATACCAACATTTTTTAAGTTGGAGCTTGACCTACTTTTGAAAAACTTTAACCTTGGCTATAACTTTGAGACAGTTGGTGCTAGGGCTTTTATATTCTGCATGTGCATTTCTTATGACAAGGTCTTCCCCCCTGCATACTATTAATTTTGACCCTTTGACCTTGGAGTTTGATACACTTTTAGAAAACATTAACCTTGTCCATAACTTTTGAATAGTTGGTGCTTGGGCTTTCATATTTACCAAGTATATCCATTGACACAAGTCCTTTCTTTATATATCAACATTTTTGATCTCTTGACCTTGACCTAGGAGTTTGACTTACATTTGAGAAACTTTAACCTTTGCCATAAGCTGCCATACAGGGGCATCAGTGTTTCACAGACACATCTTGCTGCTTTCTCCTATAGATTTAACAAAAGGAATTCATAACCAAGACACATGGAAATACTGACGTGCTTCATGGCAAATGGTCCACGTTTGATAAGAGCAAAGGTTCTTACTTGGACCATTATACAAAGACCATTGTATGGAAGTTATCATGAATATTAACACTTTGAGACATAAAAAAGAAATCACTTTATTTGCAACTCTGTTTCTCCATTTAAATAAGCAAAGGTGATTTGTGTTCATCAATACACATGTACTATGTTGCCTAAGAAAATTTCTCCTGATGGTAAATGGCAGCTTCCCCATGTCAAAATAGAAATATGTCCATAGGACATGAATGCCCCACCAAGGGTATATTAGTAATGCAACATTTTAACACAAAGTGAGAAAAGTGACGTCAAGGTCAAAGGAAAGGTCAAGGTGAAAAAATATTGATGCAGTTGAATAGCTTACATCAGTATGTATCAGCATATGAAGTTTGACACTAATTTAAGAAAATGAGGTCAAGGTCAAAGGAAAGGTCAAGGTCAAAAATTCTTGATGCAGTTGAAAAGGATACATCATATGTATTAGCATATGAAGTTTGATAAAAATATTATGAATGTTTTTTTAAAACTGAGCTTAACATTAATTTAAGAAAAGTGAGGTCAAGGTCAAAGGAAAGGTCAAGGTAAAAAAATATTGATGCAGTTGAATAGCTCTCATCAGTATGTATCAGCATATGAAGTTTTACACTAATTTAAGAAAAGTGAGGTCAAGGTGAAAAGAAAGGTCAAGGTCAAAAAATGTTGATGCAGTTGAATAGCTCTCATCAGTATATATCAGCATGTGAAGTTTGATAAAACTATATTGAATGGTATCTTTAAAACTGAGCTAATAACTTATTAAAGAAAAGTGAGGTCAAGGTCACAGAAAGGTCAAGGTAAAAAATATTGATGCAGTTGAATAGCTCTCATCAGTATGTATCAGCATATGAAGTTTGTTAAAAATATCTTGACATAAAAACTGAGCTAAACACTAATTTAAGAAAAGTGAGATCAAGTCAAAAGAAAGGTCAAGGTCAAAAAATGTTGAAGCAGTTGAATAGCTTACATCAGTATGTATCAACACATGAAGTTTGATTACACTATCTTGAATGATATCTTTAAAACTGAGCTAAACACTAATTTAAGAAAAGTGAGGTCAAGGTCAAAGGAAAGGTCAAGGTGAAAAAAAATGATGCAGTTGAATAGCTTACATCAGTATGTATCAACATATGAAGTTTGATTACACTATCTTGAATGGTATCTTTAAAGACTGAGCTAAACACTAATTTAAGAAAAGTGAGGTCAAGATCAAAGGAAAGGTCAAGGTCAAAAAATGTTGATGCAGTTGAATAGCTTACATCAGTATGTATCAACATATGAAGTTTGATTACACTATCTTGAATAGTATCTTTAAAACTGAGCTAAACACTAATTTAAGAAAAGTGAGGTCAAGGTCAAAGGAAAGGTCAAGGTCAAAAAATGTTGATGCAGTTGCATAGCTCTCATCAATATCTATCAGCAAATGAAGTTTGATAAAAATATCTTGGATAGTTTCTTTGAAACTGAGCTTTGAACAGAGCTAAACGCAAAGTGTGATGGAAGGACAGACGGAAGGACGGAAGATGGACATGACAAACACTATATGCCCCGGCCATATTCATGGTGGGGCATAAAAATTAACTACGAAAGTTTAGTATTCATTAGTGTTTAGAGTGTCCTAAGTCCCTGGAGAAGTAGGTGCAGTGTTATTTTCATACTTGATCACCATTAAAATTAAAAGACGTAGTACTAGGAAGGGGGAATGGGGTCCTGAAGATTTACACATGTTTATCCTGTAGACAATAGAAACCTCTATCTTATCAATAGTATCTTAAAATGATGAAATTCAAAATCACAAAAGAAATAATATGCTCAAGATTATTTAAGAAGAAACTTTATTGCAAGTATATGATGTAAAAATTAAATGAAGTATTTATCACAGACACAAACTAGCACATAGTAGCATGACTGGTACTCTGTATTTTGTTGGACAAAAAAATAAACTATATTTTCTTACATGAAGCTACATGCAATGAATATTAAACCCTTAAAGGTTCATAACTAAAAAACTGCTGCTATTATTTCTGTAGAATTGCTAAATAAAAGTGAAACAGTTCACTGAATCCTACATTTAGGTCTAACAAATAACCAACTCCGAGATATATTGTAACAATATAGGCAACAACTTCTGTTACTTTGTATCATGCCTAGAGATTGGGTCATTTTTTGGGTTCTATTTGACCTGGACTTCAGCTCTGCCAGAGATGTCCGGTACTTCCAGACTGTCAAAAGTCGCGGAGAACTGTTCCATACCAGCTCTCCTGGCTTTGACCTTAACAGAGAGGCTCCATTCAGAGTGAGCGGGGACATCTCTACAATAATGAACAACTTCCTGTTTATACTGCTCTCAAGTAATACACATAATACAAATATAAAATGAATTTCTGATATAATACTGAACTAAATTTACAAGATTATATTTACACAACTCTAAAGAGCCATTTCTTAAGCAACTTGATTTAATCAGTCCAGTGAAATTCTCTACAAATATTGCTATTGAGTAATTTTTTTCAAAACAGTAAACTCTCTTTTAATGACTTATCTTACTTCTGTGGAATTTCCTTTATTTTTTCAAATCCTGCTCCACCTAAATATAAAACACACTTGGTCATTGGAACAGGTAAAAAGTTCTTAAAGCTGAGCTGAGCTGTAATTTCTTCTCCCTTCTTACAGCTACTGGGTATCTACAGTGGAAAAAGAGAGACATTTAATCTGTATGTGTAGTATTTCACAAAAAAAAAATGACAACAAAAATCTATTGAGCAAGTAAAAATGTTTATTATGATTCTCTTATAACTATCATCTCTTCCCTCTTGTTGACTACAGTAATTGGACATAGTGACTTTAGTAGTACCTCCGGGTGAAAGTTTTCTTTATTACCCAAGAACAACTTACTTTGATTTCAATGTCTGGCCTTCTTAATCTGAAGTTGTCAACATTGACTATGTTTTCTGTGCTATTATTTCCCCTAGTAACTGTGGCGGAGATGATGACTTCCATATTGGCTTGTTCTGCTATTTTGTTAAGATAGACACTGGAGGGTACATTCTCCTTTAGTGTTTTGCCTTTAAAAAAAATAGAAAAAGCATCTATTGTAAATTACAAAAAAAAAAAATCTTCAGTAATGCTGTGTAATAAATCATGGAGAAGGAAGCATTGTTATTGTCAATGTGAATAAGATTTACTTTCTTTTCCCTTCAATGTGAAGCCTGCGAGAGGTTTGAAGAAGATTTTGGATTTGATTTCTCCTGTGTAAAATTTGGAGTAGAGCTCTAAATGTAACCTGGAGATATCTCTTTTTTGACTGCTGGTGTTGGTAATTTTAAACTCCAAGGAATAATCTTGTCCTACCATTATTCCATCAGTCTTCACAAATTCTATTGTCACATCCTAATGAAAGCAAGAAAATGTACAAGGTAAGTTTAATAAGATAAATATCTCAGACGTAGTTATACAGGTATCTCTGTTCAGAAAAACAAGAAAAGCAACAAGTAGGTGAGAAAAAAAATTGGTCCTAAAACCATACTAGAAGTGCAGATGAAGCACTGTTTGTGTGTGTAATTTTGTTACTTAGTAGTAGCCGGGGATCAAAGGTCATGAATTTTGCCTTGTTTTGTGGGTATAAAACTTTGTCCTCAAAAACTAATAGATTTTAAGCAAAACCACAAACTAATACCGGTACTTTTTAAGCAAACCAAAATAGAAGCCTCCCATGAATTAAAATGATTCCACAGTATTAATACAGTACATGTAAACTGTACTTTTAATTAAATGAATAATCTGGCAAATTTTATTGAGACTGATTAAAAGGTAAAGAAAACACACTTTGGGACTTGGTTTCCCTCGGTGTACCACAGAAGACTGGGCAGCATTATCAACCGCTCTTTGGGCTTCTCTTGACCCTAAAAAAAAGAATAAACAGCCTTTAAAAGTGAAACGTAAAAACACTAAGCTGCTCAGGACCACCAAAATATCCAGCTGATGTTTCAATAGTGTAAAAGCCTGGATAACAATATGTCACTTGATAATTAAGGCAGGTATTTGTTTTTATGTGTCTTCACTTTAAATGCATTTTACTATGCTCTATGTAACACCTTAGCCAAGAAAAAAATGTTACACAGGAATAAGATTTAGGACAATAACCTTCTGGGAACTTGTAGTCTGAAGTCACGTCATGGGGAACATCTTTTAACCACCGAGAAATGGTCAGTGATTCTGTGTAAGGTTTACCATCAGGCTTTTTGGAGTAGATCTTTGTTCCAGTCCTGTACAGAAAAAGAAATATACATGCAGATCTTAATAATACCGGTACACCTTCCTGAGCAAAAAGTTACAGCAAATTTAAAAATGTAGCATTTGAACACTAGATTAATAAAATACTGCATGAATGTTTTATAGTTATATTGGTATTTATTTTTGAGACTTTTTTGACATATAGAAGCAAAAAAAACTTAGATGAAAAAGATTTGGATCATACATGTAATACCATAAATTTAAATTGGAGGAAAAACAAGCTTTGCTTGCAAAATGCAGAAATAATCAGAATATGGAAAATAAAAGCTCTTTGTAGTAGTTGTTGAAATCGAAGAAAAGTGCATGCTTTTCAAGACTCACGCAGATGTGTTTGTACCCATGTTGATCCATGTATGTTTGTTAACATACTCCCATCTGATGTGATCTGAGTTCACTTCAGCAAAAACAAAAGGAAGGTCGTACATCATCTTACAGTTGCCAGTCTTAATGGCCGCCACTGGAGCTGGTCCACAACAGTAGATTCCTAGAAACAGTAAAATGAACATGCACTTCATTTGAGAAATTTTTGAACATGAAGATATTTTATTTGTGTCAACTCCTGTCATCTGGACTCCTTTACAATGCTTTAAACAATGAATCATTACTTAATTACAGTGGTTGAGAGTGCTTTACTTTCAACAAACATATGGTACCATTACTTAACTCCTGTAGTAGAGAGAGCCTAACTTTAAAGTACTAACCATTACTTAACTCCAGTGGTTGAGAAAGCTTTACTTTCAACAAACATATTGCACTGACTATAACTTAACTCCTGTGACTGATCCATCTCTACTTCTTTTAACCATTACATATCATACTAACCATTACTTAACTCCTGTTGTTGAGTCATCTCTACATTGAACACATACTTACCATTACTTAAGTCCTGTGGTTGAGTCATCTTTACTTTTAACATATACTTACCATTACTTAACTCCTGTTGTTGAGTCATCTCTACTTTTAACACATGCTAACCATTACCTAACTCCTGTGGGTGAGTCATCTCTACATTGAACACATACTTACCATTACTTAAGTCCTGTGGTTGAGTCATCTCTACTTTTAACATATACTTACCATTACTTAACTCCTGTTGTTGAGTCATCTCTACTTTTAACATATACTAACCATTACTTAACTCCTGTGGTTGAGTCATCTCTACTTTTAACACATACTAACCATCACTTAACTCCTGTGGGTGAGCCATCTCTACTTTTAACACATACTAACCATTACTTAACTCCTGTGGTTGAGCCATCTCTACTTTTAACACATACTAACCATTACTTAACTCCTGTGGTTGAGTCATCTTTATGTTTAACAATTACAAATCATACTAACCATTACTTAACTCCTGTGGTTGAGTCATCTTTATGTTTAACAATTACAAATCATACTAACCATTACTTAACTCCTGTGGTGTGGCATCAATCACCTGCCAGCCATTGTACTCATCCTCAAGGTCAGGTCGAGCCATCCATACCTCATTCCACACATGGAAATTCCTGTAAAATTTGTCACATAATGAAACTAAGAATAGTTTTTAACTTGAAGTCACCCATCAGCTTTCTCTTTGTTTCCAAACATCACATTTGACAAATATAGATTATTGAGTTGGCTTGTATTCAGTTACTCATTTTACATGAATCCAAATTTTTCAGCTATAAAACAATTTAAAGATTAAAACAAAATGTACCAGATCGAATCATTTGATCTTCTTTCATCTTTTTCAAGCATCCCTTCACTATTTCTTGAGAACACGGCATCAATTGTTGTGCTTCCATCAGTGTCATGGGCTGAGTCAAAGCAGGTCACGCTCTTACAAGGCAGACCAATGGCTCGACATACTGCAAGCATAAAAATGGTGCATTTCACAATATTTCTCATATTTTCCAAACTGTCTGTTGAGTAAATGATAAGACAGTATCTACTGTTTTTTCTCTCTGACTATAATATCGAGAAAGATTAATTCAGATCTGTTACCTGTAGTTACCACTGCGGAGAATACCCAGCACTGCCCGTATTTGACGGCTTCACCTTTTGATCGGGCATACTGCAGAAGAATGTCTGCACTGTTTATCCACGATGTAGGACTCTTACCATCTGAGTAATCACCAGACCAATTACCAACCAATACTCCATCATCATCATTAGAGTTTATCTAATTTACAAAGCATTCTCATTATACACATATTAAGATCCTGCTCTCTCTCTCTCTCTCTCTCTCTCTCATTTCTGCACTAAGAATCTCTTTTTTAAATTTCAAGGATAATTTTTTTAACGTACAATGGCAGATATAGATCTGGCAATGGTTACTGGGTTAGACATGTGAGGTCCTACAGTATAACCATGAGATTTCCTCAGCAGGGCAAAGCACACCTCCAAAATTCCCTCTTCAAACTGAAATGAGTGCAATTAAGGTCATTAATATGCGTACCGTATAAGCAGTATCTGTTCATAACAAATTCATAATCACTTTATAGATATTTCTTAATCCTTTTTTATCAGATGTATTAGGGAAACTGAGAAACCTGAGCAAAATTCCAGACTTTTGCCCCAATCATATCAGAACTGCCTTGGAAAACTGCACCCTGGTCATTCAGTATATATTCTTCTAACAAGTCAGTGTTCTTCATATATACAAGGTCATCTGTGAAAATTAAATAGACAAGACTGCTATATAATATTCATACTGGTGCCTTTATAAGCCCCTTCCCTGTCAGTTTTCATCTAAAAAGAATAAGTAAATGTACCCTCAAGCTACTAGGACTTCAAAATTTCAAGAAATATCACTTTCAATGAAAAAAAATTGTTTCGATTTTAGTAGAAAGTTATTCATTACTTATACTAAAAAATCTATTTAATTTTTTTCTCTTAGGATAAATTATAATTTTCATAAAGGCAAATCAAGTAAGTGCCAGATTTTCAAAGCACTCTGCACTTGTTGGGTGAGAACTAAGTGACAAATTCTTCTTAACCATAGATGATGATCAACTTTTTCAAACACTCACATCTGATAAATAAAAAAGCTACTCAGATAATCTGCTATGGGTGCTGTAAATTAATTACTGATATGTGAATTAATTTTTCCATGTGAATTAATTATACCTTTACACCAAGGATTCAGGAGAATATTGATGTCAGCGGGACACTCATACTCATCCTCGTGGACCTTGTATCCCCGTGTTTTGCTCTCAGCTGAGATGAAGAGCGACCACTCTCCTATGATACAGTTAGCCGGGGCCCACACTCCCACAGTGACGGAAGTCTTATCCTGACTGGCCAGGCGAGTGTGCCAGGTGTTTGGATCTGTGCTCTTTCGACCACTTTCATCCACTACCATGGTGACATCAGTTCCATTAGTGAAATGGCTGTTTGCCCCTACAAAATGTAGATAACAGTGGAGCATATGTAAAACCTTACATAAATGTATATATTGGGAGGATATTTCATTCAAATCTTTGATGTAGATGGAAGTATTGGTAAAGCACTATATGTTTATAGCAAACACACAAATTAGTGCAGTACAGTCAAATGTTAACCGTATACTACAAAAGTAGAGATAAAACAACATTTGACTGTCCTTGGGGGTCAATTATCACAATGATTTACTGTACTTTAAGTTGATTTGGCTAAAAAACACCAACTTTACAATCATGCATACAGTGAATTCAAAAGATCAATGGGATCTTTCGAACCTGTCTTAAAGTGAAGAACCAGATCATGTTTTGTTTTATCATATTCCTGGTTCAGTTTTAGGATGATATTGAATTCCTGCCCTCTGCGGACAATGAGCTCTCGTTTGTCCTCTGGAAGCTGTGTCAGCTCAAACTTCTCTGTGTGGTGGGCCTTACAGTTGTTCTGGATGTCAAAGTCTATATCCTTAATGTTTAGAGGTCTCTTACTAGCTCGCTCCCTTTCCAACCTTTCTCGCTCTGAAACACCATGAAAAATAGAGTCAATTATTATAGCAATTGTTTCAGTATCTGTAATATTGATTATAAAGGTGTAGTGTGGTATTTAAAAAAAATGTTCAAAATGAATAAATTAACTGACACATAGCTGCAACTCTTTAAATAGTTTTTGAACATTGTAACAATTGTTAAGTAATTGCAACATATCACAAAAGTATCAACAACTGGATTTTTTGTGCATTGACTTAGCTATAACTATCTATTCCTATAGTCTTTTCTTTTACCCTTTACCTTCTTTTTCCTTTTTCTCCTTTTCTTTCATTCTCTCCAGTAATTCTTCAGCTTCTTTTCTTTCTTTCTCTAGTCTTTCTTCTTCTTTCCTTCTTCTTTCTCTTTCTTTCTCTCTTCTTTCCTCCTCCCTCCTGTCAGACTACAAACAGAATAAAATAAAACTGCCCTAATAAAACTAAAAATCTCCCTAACCCCTTCCTGTTCCTGAAACAACATACTGAAATTTTATTGAACATCCAAATTCTATTTCTCAATTGAAAAAAAATTACAAAGCTTTTCATGCAGTCTTAACCACATTCAAGTAAAGAGAGAGAGAGAAGAGACTAATGAATTATTAGAGAGAATAAAAGAAAAGGAAGAAAAACTTTTTTTAAGGGGGGGGGGGGGATCATGATTGCATGATTTGCTTAGTCATTTATAAATCATAAATCACAGTCTATTACAATCATTTCTCTCTATGATTTCCACTTGATCACCAATGCTCAATCAATACTCAATGCTTACAGATGAAGGTCGTCTCTCCTCACTTTCCTCCCTTTCTCTTGTGATCCTCTCTCGTCGTCTCCTCGAGGAGGCAGACATCTCCTCTAGGTCTCTTATCCATGGATAGGATCGACGGCGACCAAGCCCATATCTGTTATATGTGTAGTACCCTTGGTAGTAGGAACTGTAGTATCGATTTCTCCTGTTGACATGACGATACCCTGTCCTCCCCCTGTACCCCACCCGGCCCCTGTATCCAACCCGACGTGGCATTCTAAAAGAAGAAACACACACTCAAACAATGCTAAGATAATGTAAAGAAATGTCTTTATCAGTGAAAACATATATATATATTCAAACACAAAAATAAAAATTGTCAAATAAAAATTCAGTCAAAATCAAACTTGCTTTCCCTTGTTACTTGGAATTTTAATCTGAGGGCAGGTAAGGAATGAAATTTTTTTTCTGATCTCCAACTTGAAAAAGAACATGAAGTGTTAGCTAGTACATGTATACCATTTTTATACTCTCAAATTTTGAGGGGAAAAGTTTCTTCGTTCAGAGAAACAGCAATAATATCTTTGGAGTAGGACTCCTTTTTTTGAAAGGAAGGGTGATGTCACTTGCAAATGGAAACAAGGCTTTGATTTATCCCTATATAGAAATAATTGTATACAGATGCACAAATAGACTTTAGTCTTGAAAATCAATGAAGGATATACTGAAATTCTGTAATATGATGAAGTAAACTTAAATGGTTTCTCATGAAAAAAAAAACCCCATCTCCATGAAAAATGACATTTTGATTACAAGCAATCAGCAATGCACAAAAAAATGCATTTAAGACCTTAATTCAGAAATAATTGACAATATTCCTTGTTTAGGCAAGTACTAATTATAAATCTTCAAAACAATGACTACAATTAGTTCTTGCATTAGTACAGTACTTTTCTTTGTGAGATGTGCAACACTCACCTTTAATCAGATTAATGGCCCTCTGCTACTATCTATAAATACCCGGGTCTTCAGTGACACGTTCAGTGTACCAGATCATAAATAAAATCATTATTACTTGACAACAGGATTGTAAACATTAATGCTAAAGCAGGTTCATAGAAAACTAGGCTTCATCTAATTCAAAATAATGAAAGCTTATACGAATAACCTTGATGGCATTTAAATTCCTGGAGCCAAAAATAGTGTTATGTGAATTGAATACCATGACACATTATTGAAACTGCTGATTTTTTAAAATTCCTGATCCAAAAAAGCTTTTATTCTATAATAGATGAATCCTGTTTGGAGTTTTTGTTAAATCAATATTTGCTATGGGAAACATATCCATATATCTAATGGCAACTTTAAATACCTATAAACTTTGGTTGTTCATCAAAACAGAAATTTAATAAATATACATACAAAAACATTTTCAAATGCAAACTTGATCATCAAAACATAAATCTAATAAATATATATTAAACACAGCTTAAATACCAATTGAAAGTTGGTTTATCAAAACAAAATTTAATAGATGCATTACATGCATCATGAGATTTTGAAATAATAATAATAATAACTTTAAATTTTCATGTAGTGATGTCATGCAGTGACTAGAGATCAAAGATCTAGAGCTTTATTAATAGGAGTCTACTTTTACAATTGCGGGTGATTTACCATTGTTTGCATCTTTATAGACCCTGATTGAGGCATTTTGGTCCAGCATACATAGAGACATACATAAATATCCGTTCATTTCAAGAAGATATAACAATATTAATCTGTGCCCTTTTCTATTTATATAACTACAATTCACACTTATTTTCATTTATTCCCAGTTTCAATTTTTAGAGCATACTGGCATATCTGAATTGCATTGTTATTATATAGGCTAGATGACATACATATAATGTCACAGTGAAACCTGTTTGATCCAGATGTTGTGTATTCCAAAATCTTGTCGAATACAATGTAAACTCTCTCAAAGTACCTTTCAGTGAATTCAATTGTTAAAAATGTTGTCTAGTCTGGCCAATTTCTAGGGAACCAATGATGTTCAGATTAGACAAGTTTTACTGTAGGGTCTTTATATAAAATGAAATAAACATTAATAATAATTAGTCAACAAAGACAAAGAAATTGAATTCTATTAAATATTTATGGATTAAATCTTCGCACTTGTGGACTGAAATCAATTTCAATTCATATTTAACTGAAAATTTACAACCAATTCAAATTTAGTGGTGCATTCAAAATCAAAGCAACTTCATAGCTTCTTCACAGAGCTATGATCTTGAATGATACCGTATATACTACCCTAACTACTATGTACATAGGGAAAACTAGCATAAATATTTGATGCTGGCCTCCTTAGTTACCACTTCAAATCACACAAGATACTAACAAATTGGATTAAATGTAAATTTATAGTTTCACTTGAATTCAGCTCACTTTGTTCCAAAAGTTAGTTATTGCTTAGATATTTATATCCAAAATCTAACTCCTAGCAGCTAGGTGAGCCATCTGTTCACTAGAACTAGATGTCTACCACATAGCTGCTAGGTAATCTGCTATGATCTTGAACGAAGTCCAGTTGATAACTTGCATCACACCTGTAATTTACTACTGGCTCAACAGCCAATCAGAATGTTTCATTCAAGCAAACAAACTGGTTAGGAATGTTTTTTCTGTCTGCAGTTCTTTGAATTCAACATTTTTCTTGGTTGTACAGATGGAAACTTTATAGTTGACATACAACAGCTGTACAAGTAGAACATGATCAGAGGATGTGTCATGACCTGGACCAGGGTCACTTGGGCAAGGTCAAAATTAAGCCATGCTTAGAGACATTCATGTTTCACAAACTCCTCTTGTTTACATGCATTTCTAATTTTCTATCTGAGGATTGATCTATTCTGTTGGAAAATTAAGTTCGTATGAAGCACATCTGCACACACAATATTCACCATTTATGCAATTCTGGTCAACATTGCTGGATTTATAATAAATATCTGTGCATAAGCCTTCTGCAAAACTTGACTGGCAAAACTTGTGAGAAACAAGCAAATTCAAAGAATTTTGGTCAATCACTTTTTGGGTCTTATTGGTTGGGATGCAATTACTTATGACATGTGAGAAAATGAAAGCTCCATCTCTTCTGGTGCAAAAGTTATAACTTAAAAAGTAGTTCAAACTTCTAGGTCAAGATCATGAGGTTCTAAATTTAATACTACATGCACTTTCTGAAAGGTGTCAGAGGTAATGTACATGTAATATACAAGAGGCCCATGGGCCACATCGCTCACCTGAGTAACTTTGGCCATGCTGTTCTTTACCAGATTTCCTCCCTTTTAATATACCTATTGTGGCCCCGCCCTACCCCGGGGGGTCATGATTTGAACAATTTAGAATCTACACTACCTCAGGATGCTTCCAAATAAGTTTCAGCTTTATTGGTCCAGTGGTTCTTGAAAAGAAGATTTTTAAAGATTTTTCTTATATATTTCAATGTAAAACTTGGAATCCCTATTGTGGCCCCGCCCTACCCCCGGGGGTCATGATTTGAACAATTTATAATCTACACTACCCCAGGATGCTTCCATATAAGTTTCAGCTTTTCTGGCCAAGTGGTTCTTGAGAAGAAGATTTTTAAAGATTTTTCTTATGTATTTACAATGTAAAACTTGGATTCCCTATTATGGCCCGCCCTACCCCCGGGGGGTCATGATTTGAACAGTTTATAATCTACACTACCCCAGGATGGTTCCATATAAGTTTCAGTATTTCTGGCCCAGTGGTTCTTGAGAAGAAGATTTTTTAAGATTTTTCCTATATATTTCAATGTAAAACTTGGATTCCCTATTGTGGCCCCGCCCTACCCCCGGGGGTCATGATTTGAACAATTTACATTCTACACTACCCCAGGATGCTTCCATATAAGTTTCAGTATTTCTGGCCCAGTGGTTCTTGAGAAGAAGATTTTTTAAGATTTTTCTTATATATTTCAATGTAAAACTTGGATTCCATACTGTGGCCCCGCCCTACCCCCGGGGGTCATGATTTGTACAATTTAGAATCTACACTACCCCAGGATGCTTCCATATAAGTTTCAGCTTTTCTGGCCAAGTGGTTCTTGAGAAGAAGATTTTTAAAGATTTTTCTTATATATTTCAATGTAAAACTTGGATTCCATACTGTGGCCCCGCCCTACCCCCGGGGGTCATGATTTGTACAATTTAGAATCTACACTACCCCAGGATGCTTCCATATAAGTTTCAGCTTTTCTGGCCAAGTGGTTCTTGAGAAGAAGATTTTTAAAGATTTTTCTTATATATTTCAATGTAAAACTTGGATTCCATACTGTGGCCCCGCCCTACCCCCGGGGGTCATGATTTGTACAATTTAGAATCTACACTACCCCAGGATGCTTCCATATAAGTTTCAGCTTTTCTGGCCAAGTGGTTCTTGAGAAGAAGATTTTTAAAGATTTTTCTTATGTATTTCAATGTAAAACTTGGATTCCCTATTGTGGCCCCGCCCTACCCCCGGGGGTCATGATTTTTTCAATTTAGAATCTACACTATCCCAGGATGCTTCCACATAAGTTTCAGCTTTTCTGACCGAGTGGTTCTTGAGAAGATTTTTTAATGACCCCACCCTATTTTTGTCTTTCCTTGATTATCTCCCCTTGTAAGGGGACTTGGCCCTTTATTTTAACAATTTATACTCCCCTTCACCCAAGGATACTTTGTACCAAGTTTGGTTAAAATTGGCCTAGTGGATCTTGAGAAGAAGTTGAAAATGTGAAAAGTTTACAGACGGACGGACAGACGGACGGACGGACAGACGGACGGGTGATCAGAAAAGCTCACTTGAGCTTTCAGCTCAGGTGAGCTAACAAAAGTCCTATCTTTTTTCAATCAAAAATCATGACCACTGTTATATTTTTTGAAAAGTAAATCAAATTTCAAGGTCAAGATCATGAAGTCAAAAATCATGGGACATTTGGAAAACAGGTAATGCACATGTGAAATATTAATGCCATATCTTCTCTCCTTCAAAAGTTATGACCATTGTAAATTTTTCAAAGTAGATAACTCCAAGGTCAATGTTATGAGGTCAAAAACCATAGTTATATTTGAAAAGATTGCACATGAGAAATATGAAAACCCTATCTTCTCTCATTCAAAAGTTATGACAATTGTTAATATTTTTTAAAAGTAGGTCAATCTTGGAGATCAAGAGCAATAAAAAATCTTAGTATATTTGGAAAGGTCCTGTCATAGGTTATGCACACCTGAAATATGGAAGCCTTACCTTCCCTCATTCAAAAGTTATGACCAAGGTTAAAGTTTTTGTGAATGACAAATAGATGGAAAGATTACAAATGAGATTTAATGTCCCCTCACTTTTCTGAAAGTGGGGCACAATAAGAACAATATCACAATCATTTTCAACTTTACTGTGTACATGTACATGTATTTATAATCAACACAATGCTTCAGGTCCAAGAGGTCATGTGCCCTCTTCCCAGTCTGGCTCTGCCCAGGGAGGCATGGATGTCTGATAGTACCAGTCAGGGCCCTGAAATACAGGTCATATGGCTTAATATGACATAAAGATTACACTTGTATACCTTTTATTTAAAACAAATCAAACTTTATGTAATACAGTGATATGACTTATACCTAAATTTATTTTATTAAGTGATTATATCAACTATTACTTTGGGTGACTTCATATTCACAGAAACCAGTTTTGTTTTTCGAATACCGTAGATCTACTTTTTTCGTGTGGGATTAATTAAAACTATGTACACAGTCACAAATTTTCTGCAGAAATTTGTCCTAGTGTACTTAAAGTGCATCTAAGACATACAGTGGCAGTCAAAGAATTCTGTGTAATTTTCTACCCGCGGATTGAACAGAAATTGTGATTCACCAGAATTATGAACCTGTGTAAAAAAGTAAGTTTACAGTACATAAGATTCTTTTATATTTTCGTAAGGTTTTGTGCATGCTTTAAATAAAGCATTACAACACTATCTGGTTTTTATTTTACTTATATCATTTGAAGTTTAAATTTGTTGCTTTGAGTATCTTATCAAAGTATTTATAAGCAGAAGAAGAATATATTTATTATTTAAAGGGGTATATTTGCACCCATTCCTTTGTCTGGGTGATCAGATCTACATGTAAATACACAATGATTTTCTTTTTCTCTTTTCTTTTTCCCTTTTCTTTGTATGCATATTACCAGTATTTGTAAATGTTATTGTGAACTATTTATTTATTGTGAAAGTTCTATTTGAAATGTACAGTGTATTAAGATGTGTAACTGTTTGCAATTCAATGTAAGGGGAGTAACTCCTACTGATCTTTTAATATTTAATAGGAATAGATCATAAAAATTATATTACTGTATATACATGTACGTGAAGTCTCAGGTAGTGTGGATGACATTTCATGTGAGGCAACAGATCTATTTGTCAAATCTTGCCTATCATTAAACAATGTCAATGAACACTTACTTTATAGCTTAGAGCATGGAGGTAGAGTTTTAGCTGATTGGGTGTTGGATCAAGAAACTTTTTCTTACAGAGTGGGCATGACTCTGAGGGAAACCATTTGTCCCATTCAAAAGGAGGCTGGGGTTTCCCATCCATTGTTAACCTCTGGTCATTATCAGTCAGTACACTTGCAGACAGATTACTAAGTGTCTTGTCCAGAGATGACACCTCTGAATTGGTCTCACTTTTCTCACATGAATTAAACTTAGTCTTTTTAGGAGTTGGTTCTGAATCTAGAGATAAATCTTTACTCTGGTCATCAGGATCATTTTGCTCCTTTTTGAGCTCTTTGATGCGTTTAAGAAAGTCTGGATTTTCTCCCGTGCTGGTCCACATTTCTCTGTTGTGTTCTTCCTCTTTTAATTCTCTGATCTGAAAGAAATTTTAAAACTTTTCTTAAAATCTCAAATTTTATGAAGTTGAAAACCTCATTATGTATCCTTTCAACACACTTCTTCATATCTCTAGAACTTTGACCAGTCATTCCAAAATTAGAACTCTGGAACCTTTCTACAAGATTATATAGCCTTTTCCCATGGCCATGACTATGGATACATGTATTTCAAAAATTACCTGTGTGTCTGTGAACTGGTAATTTCCACCTTTCCCCTTTTCAGGACCAAAACATGCACTGTTGTAGCAAGCATCATTAACTATTGGGTGACCTTCAAATAAAGAATTAGTCCAATTTACCAAAAACTGAGAGAAAATGAGGAAGAGAAATTGTGTAAATTATATGAGTAAAATTGATATACCAAAATAAAAGAAACAGGACCGACTGACCTAGATACTGAAGATGTACTCTTATCTGATGAGTCCGGCCTGTGTATGGTTTGCCTGTAGGGAAAAATATGGACAACCATGGACACATATTTATTCAGTTGTACATATTTGTACAAGTGCTTGAAAATAAACTGAAATTCTTGAAAATAAATTGGGAACATACTTGGTGTGCACCATTCAAATTACAATATAAGACAAAACTGCTGATGACTTACACTTGACAACACTGGTTTGACCATTATAGCTGAGTCGAGTGAATGTCGTCTTGGAGGGTTTACCATCAGCTCCACACTTCATTATCCCCATCTTAAAGGACACTTTAGCAATGGGTTGCTCACAAACCACCTCCCCTCTGAAAAAGTGATGTTTCATATTTAATAGATATTCTATAAATGTTGTATTTTACTCCTTTTTTGAATGAATTAAAACAGTACGAATTGGAACAGAGAATTTGTTTAGATAACATGTATGATACTCTATTGAAATAATGAAGGTAGATACACATCAAAGGGAAAAATCCTTAATATTTTGACAAATACTTCTGTATGTACTGGTACAATCCTCTGTTTAATTATCTACCATTTTCGTACCTAAGCACTTGTCTAAATGCGATTAAATTAAATCTCAAACAGGCTACAGTAACAGCTCCTATAAAATAATTTTACTGTGATAGAGGAAACAATATACATGTACATGTACATGTACACATACATGTAAGCTCTTCTTTCAATGATTAATGCTTCTTCTATGTATTTGTGAAATTTTCCCTACACCCACCAGTCAAAAAAAGCTCACTTGGGAAACTCTTCCTCAGCTTTACAGCCAAAATCTATACACCTGGGAAACCACTTATACGCAGCACAGTTAAGGCTACAAAAAGGGGGCGGAGCCTAATTTGTATTGGAAATGTTAACTATGACATCATACAAAACCAACAATTCTTTAAAATACTACAAAATGAAATGATTTGCTATTTTAAACTACAGGAAACCATCAAACTACATCTAAACTTACTATAACATGCTGTTTTGTCTTTAGTTAAATTCCACATAGCAAGAGATATAAACAAATCACTGATCATGATGAACTTGTCGATGTGACGTCATTTCGTGAAACCTGACGCAGTTTGTATGCAGTGAGAGGCGGACCAAGAAATGTTTTCACAACGAAAAATGTATTCTATAATTAAATAAAATATTATTTAAAGATATTTAAGAGGCCGTTAACTTGGATGCAATGTCTTCTTTATGATTTTATTCACGTATATTCCGTATATTGTATTTAATTGATACTGCCGTATATTTGTATGCTAGTACATCAGAGGGTAATGTAAGGGTCTTAATAAATCCATCTAGTGCAAGGGCATACACTCAATGGAGCACAGTAAGCTTTTACATATAAACTTTAGAAGTATTAAGGTATCTGAAAAGTGCTGCGATCCTGGTGAAATCTTGAAAATGAATTCATTATATCTATATTTAATGCCGTTGACCAGCAAAAAATACAGAATGCGGTTATACAAAAATGATTTTAACAATGAAATAGCAGAATCCATAGAGGATCACAGCACTTTTCAGTTCATTATGCCCTTGCACTAGCGAAATTTATAGGTGACCTCAATACTGCAAGTATATGTGCTATGTCACGTGACTGCCGCATCACGAGACAAGTCTAAATATAAAATCTTATCGTCCTCAATATGTAGTTATTAACCATAATAACATTTGTAGGATATCGATAAAGTACTGAAAAGAATCACCATCCTGATTAAGAATATATTTTTAATCACAAAATTTGCCGATATTTCCATTAGGCACCTTAACTGTACTGCGTAGTCAAACCCTCTTTACTTGGGAATGTATCCCTCAACTTAACAGTCAAAGTATTTGGGAAATATTTCCTACACTTGACAGAAATACTCTATTTTCTTAAGTAATCTCCTTTTGTTTTACAGACATCCTCTTCTTCATGTGACAGACATATTCTACTTACTCTGTAAACTCTCCCTCCACTTGACAGACATACTCTTCTTCATGTGACAGACATATTCTACTTACTCTGTAAACTCTCCCTCCACTCGACAGACATCCTCTTCTTCATGTGACAGACATATTCTACTTACTCTGGGAACTCTCCCTCCACTCGACAGACATACTCTTCTTCATGTGACAGACATATTCTACTTACTCTGGGAACACTCCCTCCACTTGACAGACATACTCTTCTTCATGTGACAGACATATTCTACTTACTCTGGGAACTCTCCCTCCACTTGACAGACATACTCTTCTTCATGTGACAGATATATTCTACTTACTCTGTAAACTCTCCCTCCACTCGACAGACATACTCTTCTTCATGTGACAGACATATTCTACTTACTCTGTAAACTCTCCCTCCACTTGACAGACATCCTCTTCTTCATGTGACAGACATATTCTACTTACTCTGTAAACTCTCCCTCCACTCGACAGACATACTCTTCTTCATGTGACAGACATATTCTACTTACTCTGTAAACTCTCCCTCCACTTGACAGACATACTCTTCTTCATGTGACAGACATATTCTACTTACTCTGGGAACTCTCCCTCCACTTGACAGACATACTCTTCTTCATGTGACAGACATACTCTACTTACTCTGTAAACTCTCCCTCCACTCGACAGACATACTCTTCTTCATGTGACAGACATATTCTACTTACTCTGGAAACTCTCCCTCCACTTGACAGACATCCTCTTCTTCATGTGACAGTCATATTCTACTTACTCTGGAAACTCTCCCTCCACTCGACAGACATACTCTTTCTCCACATTCCTGTTCGTGATGTCGTCAATGTATTTTCTTGTGGAGGCTTCGTTCTTTGTGAAAATAAGCACACCTGATGTCAAGCGATCAAGTCTGTACACAGCTAAAATAAAACCAAAACATGATGTGATCAAGTCTGTACACAGCTAAAATAGAACCAAAAACATAACATGATCTAGTCTCTCACAGCTAACATAAAGCTTCAACGTAACCTGATCAAGTCTATAAACACTTAAAATAAAGCCAATTCATGACGATCTATTTCTGCTATGAACCAGAGGCCTAAAGAGTTTAAGTGTATTTCATATACAGTCAAATACATCAAAGCATGCTTGAAGTAGATTGGATTTACAATGACCTACTTCTGAGATTTCCATATCCCAGCTCCTTGCCTAGGATGAAGATCATGGAGTTGTAGCGGTAGTTACCACAGGGGTGACAGGGAATGGAGGAGGGTTTGTTAACAACTACGACATCTTTGTTATCCTCAATGACCTCTATTGTCTCCCCTGATACTGGGTTTTCATGTCTTAAAAATATGATATAACATTCCCTTTTTCATACCTTGGTTTTTGCAATTCTATGATGCTGAAAATTGTCTGTTTCTACACAAATCTATGAAAATTTTGACTGTTTCATGTGTCAGAGGAATAACTGCCCTTTCTATGAAACTTGGCCCTTGTTTGAATTTGATCCACTAGAAGACGCTTTGTGGTTAATTTGTCTAAAACTGGGTCTTTGGTTGCAGAGAAGAATTGAAAAATGAATAATATCTGACAACAGATAATAAATGATGAATAAACCTTGATCAAAAAAGTTCACCTGAGCATGAGACCAGTAACATGGGCTGCTGTTTTTATATGTACCTGTGAATATTGTTTTCAATGACATCTCCTTGTTTGATCTTGTATTCAAGAGGCACAGCTTTACCATTTACAGTTATATGACCTTCTTTCACCAGAGTTTCCTATCCATGCATAAAAAGAAACAGATAATGTTTACAAATATACATCTATATCTAGTTTTAAAAAATCATTATTTCAATTCACTCAGAGATGAAAACTGTTAAAAATAATTAAGATGAAAGAAAAAGTGATCAAGCTCACTTACCTTGTGCTCCCATATTGCTTGACAATGCTGCACATAATGAATGGCAATGCTATGCATTACCAGTAAATACAATAATTAATCCCCCCCTTTACAGATGTTTGTGAAAATCAATGTCAATTAAGAAATCAATGCTAATAGTCTTTCATATGCTTACCTTTACTACTTAATGCTTAGAGGCCAAACTTCTAAGTTCAAAAGGGGCATAACTCACAGAAAAAAAATGAATCAGAATTTCATACAAATATGCACATCTTCACGGTAGGTCCTTATTGACTACAAAGCTTCATGAAATTCTGTTGGAATGTTTAATAGGAGTTGGGCTAACAAACTGTTTCAGTAGTATAATTTATATGGACCAAACTTCTAAGTTCAAAAGGAGCATAACTTCCAGAAAAACAATTGAATCAGAATTTACTGCAAATATGCACATTTACACAGTACATGTATGTCCTTATTAAGGACATACGCAACATAGTTTGAACTTTATTGTCTTTTTCCCTGGAGTTGAAGAGTTCCAATACTTAAAGGAATTGTGTGCTACATTTGTATGTCTATATATGCTGTTGTACACTTCTTCTAAAACAAGTTTGGATAAACAAAACATCTAGAATATGTGTTTAGTAATTTTTGTGTATTTTTCTTTGAATTATACAAGAATTTTCATCAATGGATATCTTTTCAAAACCCCTGGTAATACATGCTGATTTTTTGTCGACGAACATCTGATGGCACTATAATCTTAAATTAAGAATATCTTGAAAAATTATCAGTAGGTAAGGTACGTTGCGTATGTCCTTAACTACAAGGTTTCAAGAAATTTTGTTCAGTTGAGGAGTTGCACTGACAAGAACAGGACTGACAAAGGGCAAACTTTTAATTTCAAAAGGAGCATAACTCCCACAAAAAAAAATTGAATCAGAATTTCATATGCATATCTACATATTATTGCTTATTAACTACAAATTTTCAGGAAATTCTGTTGCACTGAGAAGAAAAGGACTAATGAACAGACTGATGCATGGGTCAAAAACAATATACCCTCTGCAACTCATTGCATGGGGTATAAATATAGCCTTACCACATCGTATTCCTTTGATAGGGTGAACTCATTGATGAAAATATCACACAGTGTGCGATTAAACCAGCGACCTTTGACAAATGTGGAGAAGACATAAAAGTAAGGATATACTTTCCTCAAACCTACAATAAGACCAATAACAATCTCAGCAGAAAGACACATGTTTAAAGACAAGGAAAAGAAAAATCAGAATCTGCCTAATTTCCCTCAAGCAAAGGGAAGAAATAATGAACAGATTTCCACATGAACCTTTACTGTGAAGTCACTAATTTTTGTGGATGTTTTTCATTGTTTCTGTGGTATGAAGAGATCCATGAATTCATATCCACCATGAAATGTTAAAATCTCAAATCAAGACAACACTACACTTCTGATACCTTGAAAACAAATTCCTCAAACCTATATTTTTCCCTCAAACCACAAAATTTTTACCCTTCAAAAATAAGTAGTTTACAGTATATTCTCCACCAAAATGGAATGTGCAGGTCTATGTATTATTAAAAAAAGTAATTAAAAATATCAGATAATTTGAAATCAACAATTGCAGTTAATAATTCTATTGAATACATTTGTCTCTCCATTTTTATTGGGGGAGGGGTGGGGGTTATGTTATTCACAAATAATACAGTATTCAAAGGTTTTAAACTTACCATTTTCAAAGTAGTATTCTGTTTCATTAAAGATATTGTAGCCAGGGTTAGGGTTGTTTGTCAGTCCTTTGTTTTTCCTCTTTAACTCCTTGTACTTTTCTTTCTTTGACATGAAAAATAATACACATGACCTAAGTGAAAGAACATGTTGTAAAGTTCTTGACACACTTTCAGGCCATTGAGAATATGAAAGTTTGATTTAAATTGAGTCAGAGGTTACACAGCTACAGACAACAGGCAAACATTTTTTTATATACATTCATACTTCATATATCACAGCATTAGCCTGCTCTTGAACTCATTTTTTGGCGTTTACTAACCCTAATGAGTGCTCTCCTGGCTTTTCCTGATAAATTCTCCAATGACAATCCTGATTTACTGGTACATGGATCAGAGACAGGCTGAACTTGGTCTGTTTTCTTATCTACACTCATTTGGATAGAGCAAGGATCATCAACTGACAGTTTCAAATCTGGTTTATCACCGTCTGTCATCTGCACATGAAAATAAACAAATGTACTGATGTCACTGTTGTAAAGTTGGAACTTGGAAAGTGCCCACCTTTGGAAGTGGAATTTTCAACACTATGTATGGTATCTCATCCTACCTACTGTGGAATCATTTTACTTCATGAGGGTAAATAAAGATGAGCAATCAAAATTTTCCTGGTTTGTGGGGAAGTAACTTTGTAGGTAAATCGTATAATTATACTGAAGATCCAATGAACTGATACACTGATAAAGTTATTGTTTGTGGGGATATAAATTTGGGCGTAGGGACCACAAAATCCACAAACATTGCCCCCCCCCCCCCAAAAAAAAACAATGATGATTCAACAGTATTGGGGGGGGGGGGGTAAAAAAACACACATACAGGCTTTCAGACGAGTCAAAGATCTTTTTTCTGGTCTGGGAACATTACAACATCAAGCTATATGACACAGGATATTTTGCCCTTATAATTGGGATACTTTACATAACATTTTAAGAAACTGTTGTGTGTATTTCTTGACAAATCTTATATACACAAAATACAATATGGTACAGTATTATTATAGAAAATTTTTGATCTTTCATTTGAAAATTTTGACCTCAAAAAGATAAACAATTTACAAGTTTAAACCTATTTAGTATTTACATAGTCTTTGAAACAAAATCAAATTGGGAAACACAATATTTGGGAAGAAAATGTGGCAATCTCTAATTAGGACTGGGTCCTTTTTCAGGACCCAGATAATCCTTGTCATGGCAGTGCAAATGACCAGTAGGCCCATGGGCACTGGAAGTTAGTTTAAATATGAGTATGTATACATCAGGTCTGGTACAATCACTAGATTTAGCTTCGTAGCTTGAATTACCTACATAGCTTTATTTACCTACGGCAGGTAATTTTAGCTTCGTAGCTAAATGTACTGATTGTACTGGACCTGTACAGCTCCAGTGTCGTGAATAGCCATAGGCCTACATGCATAACAACTGAACAATTTGTGAAATTCTTGTCATTGTTAAAATCCTACCATGCGGATGTTTAATCTGAAGATATTTCCTTTATGGATCCAATTCTTTGGTCCTATTATGCGTAATTTTACAAACATGCAGATATATCGTCCCTACTGTCCTTCTACAAATTTGACATGTTTTACATGGGCGCAGCCATCTTGAAATTCTAAAAGTCGAACAGAAACCATCCTTTTCCCCGGATAAATACTAAACATTATTTATTTACAGTGAATTGTATAAAATCGGCAAAATTTACTGGAGTGTGATGAAACTTGATGTTAAGTTTCTCTATTATCTATATATTTTTAAAAGTAATGCCCTGGTACATGTAAAGCATGATGAACCCTACAGCTGTGAAGATGATTCGACGATGGCAAAGAAAGCATATCAGATATGCTACATCTATACAATTCACGTCGTTGAAATACATGCAGAATGGTTGAAATTAAACTGAGATTACTTCGCGTCCTTTCTAATGTATAGAAAAAACTGAAAGACAAAGTGTGAAAGACACTACATGCAGAAAACAAGAAATTTTCAAAGCCTAACAGCAATAACTTTTGTGAAAATGTTCAATGAACATGCAACTTAAGCTTAATCTTAAGTCACCAATATATTAAAGGAACATATTATAAAAATCGCCTTATCTGAATCACAGAGAAAAAGTGCAGAAAACGGTAAATTATCAAACACATTCAAAGTTAAATGTCATTACTTTCTTGATATCTGCAAGTCATCAATATAAAGATACATACAGTGTACCAAAAATCTACTCATAATGTACAAGCTTGGTGAAAAAGTCCTAAAAACTAACTACAATAGAAAGGGGTAACACTAAAAGTCCTGAAAATTTCATGACAGGGCATAAAAACAACTCCCTCCCTCTTCATCACATTTAGCTTATGGAAGAGTATATCCAATTCTAATTGAGAATTACTGCACACCACATTTGTTTTATTAATTTTATTTCATATTTCTGAAGCATTTAACAAAGTTACACAAGTCCATAACAGTGGATGAGCATTCCAATTATTTACACATTTTCATACTGTTCATCAATTTAATCAATTTCTACATGTTTGATATTCATTAAGTCCTATAAGTCAGGTCTGACCCCAAAACCAGGTCCTGTGGGTGGTTCTGTTAATGAAGTCAACCCATCTTTGGGTTCTGAGGCAAATCTGTGTTTCTGACCACTCCTAAAATTAAAATAAAAACAACATGGAAAATAGAATCTTTTTTAAACATTCAGTATACCAGTAACCTTACATAATACTCTTATATACAGAACACAATTGCTTCAAATTCATGAACAATTCATTTCATCTATTTTCGAAGGAATGTAACTGTTGTATGTTGTATGTTTATAACAATTACATACATATGCAATACATGTACAATTGGTATATACAACATTTATCATTTATGCAAGACTATTCTTTTGTACACATTATCATATAGATGTAAATATAAATAGCACTGACTGTGGTCCTGGGGTGGGTTTTTTGCCTTGCTTAAGGTCATTCAATATTCTTCTTATATCCTCTACAGTTAAGTCCTCCTAAAAAAAAAAGAAGAAAAATTGACAATGTCACTCAGCTTTTTCAATAAATAATCCTCTATTGTTGCACAATTATGAACTGGACTAATTTATTTGTGCAATAAATAATCCTGTATTATTGCACAATTAAGTTCTCCCCACTATTTAGACATTTTTTTTTTCTCAAGTTAAAGAAATTTACTTAACACAAAAGAGCGAAATTTACAAGAACAATGTAACACAACTATATATGAAATATATAAAACCATGGAATTTTGGCAGCACTGCATTGATAATACTTTTGAAATGGAGATACTGCATACAAAAATTATTTTATCTCATCATCATATGGGAGAATGAAGTGAGGAACCTAAAATTTAATTGAAATGTTTCCTATCTTTTATAATATTCATAATTCTACCATAAAATATATTCAAACCTATTACCAGTTTCTGAGTCAACGAACAAAACAAGGAAGCATTGCACTTCTAATAACTGTCCTGAAACATCTGCCATTTGACTTTATAGTCTTGTAAAGTAACATTTGGAATTGTGAATATAAACATAGCCACTAAATGTTTGAAAATTTTGCTGTATAGGTATACAATTTGGAAATAAACTTTTGAATATTTGTTTATATAGGTATACATGTTATGAGACCTGATACATGCAATATGGTCACAAGAATGAAGATAAACAAAAATAGATGTTAAATTGTCAATAACAAATTTGCTGTAGCTGTGTTGTAGAGACACCATTAGAAAAGGAAAGCAGCCATTACTCACATAGTAATCATCGTTAATCTGCACCATTGGGGCATTTACACAGGCTCCCAGACACTCCACCTCTAGTAAACTAAACATTCCATCCTCAGTCATCTCCCCTGGCTTAATTCCTGTTTAGCAATATTTTATATCAGTACAAACAGTACCTCTACATTACTAGTTTCGGCATTATTTACATTATTTACTTTCAATCATTTTCATTTTTCAAACTATAAACTATGCTACAGTTGTTTTTTTTTTTACCTAAGTTTTCCTCGATTTCTTTCAGTATAATATCAGATCCCACTCCTCCTAGAATACAGGGTGTTGTAGTACAGATCTGTACAAAGTATTTACCCACTGGTTTCCTGTAAAATTAGTATTAAGCATCACTAACTAAACACTAATAAATTGATTTTTTCCCCAATTTCAAAATATCAAAGTTACAGGTATTGACTCTATCTCTCTCTTCTTTTCTGGGGAAAAATAGACTCTTCATCATGCCTTAACAAAAAAAAGAATGAAGAAAAATTTACCTATTAAACATGGTGTAAAATGTGGCAACTTCATACACTCTCATTTTTGGCATCTGAAGCATTTCTCCCACTTTGTGCATTGCTGATATGGGTAGCCATCCTACAAAAAAAAAAATAATAATAATAAGGTAAAAAAAGTACCGGTAATATGATTGAAGTTATTTTTAAAAAACAAATCTATTTTTCTTCTGACTGGCAGATGCATTGAGTTTCATATTAAAGATTCTTCTCCCCTGAACAAGACTTTAGTAGCCCTGTATACATGTATATACCAATTTATTGATTAACACTCTGTGTCTCATTTCAAGCATCAGTATAAAGTAAAGACTTAGTGCCTTAATTTCCTACTCAGGTATTGGAAAACAGGTAATTGAAAACAGGCTTTGTGAAATTGCAATGTTCTTGAATTTTGCAGAAAACATGTGTATTGTTTTGGGAAGAATTAAAATAGAAGCACACTGTGATCCAAAAAATAAACATTTTATAATGTTCAGAAACAGTTCTATAATCATTCATATATTTGCAAATTTTGGATCAGAGATTGTGCTCTGTTTGAAATACTGAAATACATTTTAAACTTTAGGCTATTTTTGAAAAAAAAATGAAATGGGAATAAAGACACAATTTATGACATCATAATGAATCGAATAGTGATAAATTATATCATTTCAATAGATATATATATTAGCATTATCACCGAGGGCTCTAGTTATATTTAATACATTGTAAACTGATAGTGAGCAGTTTTAAATTTTTCAGAAATTCACAGGGTCAAAAGAAGTCCCAAGAGAACCTTGTTTTTTTTTTTCTCCACTTTACCTTAAAAATTCTATCTATTGATTTAAAACTTCAAATTCAACTTGAAGTCCTTATATGTAAGTCAGCTTGACATTTAGTTTGAGTTTGGTATTTTAAGGGGTTTGTTGTGACTTGTCTTACCATGCTGTCTCTGTGCTAAATCCAGAAGTGGGATGACAGCTGCTGCCTGATGACCTTCAGGATAATTACCGATGATGACCTCTGCCCTCTGAATATAAAACAATATCAAACATCACACTCATTAAATTTTAATAAATTATCTATTACTTTAAAAAGCCAGTGTGACAACACAGAGGAAATGGGTATAAATTTTAATGTAAGCACCTTCAGTAGATACCTCTATCTACTTTCTCCCTCTGCTGGTGGTGGCAGATATAAACATTAGAACTTTACTTTTTTTTTTTTGAAAATACAACTGATATCATAAAATTTTGCTGTCAAATAAAAGTGTAAACCCTTAACTTGGGCTTGGCTTTTATCTTCCAACAAAATTTCTTGATGTTGATGTATAACCAAAATAAATCCTCAGATTTCAGTGTTTATGTAAGAATAAAGAATAAGGGTGTACAAGGCAAGGACAATCCCCCACTCCGAGTCAATATATTTCTCAATTTTCAGAGTTCATAGAAAAGTTACATTTTTCAAAAAATATGTTGTCAGTAATGTCAATTTTAACACATTTGACTCATTTATATTTTGAATAACTTATTGATTGATAATTTGTTTTTGACAGTTACGCATATATTTAGTGGAAAATGGATCAACTGGAGTCATACTTTAAACCACACTTTCACACACCAATGATAACATTATGCCTTGCCAGAAGCAACCATATGTGAGGCTCTTTTTTTAAATTTTCATATACTGAGAATTTTAACTTTATATCAATGGCTCCAATCATTGCTACCCAAGTGAGCCCCAAATTGACTCTGTAGAAAAGCAGTAGATTTCTGAATAAAAGCAGTAAGCGGGAGATGAAGTTAAAAAGAAGTAGACTTCTGCATAGAGTAGAGTTAAAATGTATGTATTTATACTGTAAATGATAATGCCATTTAATTAAAGTCATACATGTACCTTTAAATTTTCTTGTGTAAATTCAAAAGGTGTGTTTGGATTGTTTTCTGGTGAATCTCTGTGCTGGAATATCAAAATAAAATATTAATTAAACACAAATTCAAAATCAAAAGAATTTTTAGTGAATTTCCTGGAATCCATAAACCATTTTTCCTCAGGAAAATTCAGAGAAAACAGACATAATCAGAAGTAAATAATTATTTATTTTTAAAAAAATGTGCTTTTAATTTGAAAAAAAAAAGAATAAATAAATTGCACACAACTAAGCACTCACTACAAATGACTGTGACCCAGATGCTGCTGCAGTACGGTGGAAGTTCCGCACCTGGGAAGACTGTAAAAATCATAAAAATAGTTAAATACTCAATGACAAAAAGTATTATCTCACTCAAACATAAAAACCATGATATATTAACAGAAAGCAGTTCATCAGATGTCAATATTTCACATTTTAACAAACAATATGCTGAAACTTTTAGTTGCATAATTTCCAAAAAGAATTTAGTAAACAATTCAAACGTCTTTGGAGTATCTTAAGATAGATTTTATATCCAGTCATGGTCAATAACATTTTCCGTGCTTCTCTGTATACAGATCATGTACATAAATAACTATAGGAATCAAAAGAATTTCTCCTGTATGTTTTTTTCAATGACCTTCACTTCACTTAAACTGATGGGAAAATCAATATACATTTCCAGTTCACTTACAGTTCAACTACATCATCTTAATACATGCTTCTACAAAATCAAATGCAATTATGTTTTATTATTTTGCATGAAAATAGGAAACTTACGACCGCAGACAAAACTCTTCCACACACAGTTCGAATCATCTCTGCAGCGGATGTTGACTTCTGGATTCACTGCGGTACACTTATGTAACCTTTGCAAGCTGGAAGAAAAAAAAAATAAATATTTGATATGTTTATATTTACTCAATGTACTCAATGTAACTTATTTTATTTATTTGAACCAATATGATTGCAAATATTGATTTAACGATTAAAATACTTTTCCGTTTTTATCCGCATAAAAATATTTCAGTGATTTTTTGTGCGGGACTAAATCGTCTCTATGTAAACAACATGGATTCCGAGGAGCATCTGGAACATAGATAAAATTTTATTTATCCTCTTAGACACTCAATTTTTTAATCATGTAGTACATTAAAACAAATTCTATCGTTAAAATGGGTTCAAGAATTCGCAGTCGTGGCCATACAGGTCGAGAACGTACGCATTTCGACATCCAAGTTCGACTTTTTACAGACGATAAATTTCCTCTGAAACATATTGCTGGGGATATGAAAATTTCTGAACTAAAACGATATATGGAATTTGCTGCAGGAATTCCCGTGCACATGCAAAAAATTAGTTATCTTGATGCAGGTAAATAGTTCACTGGCCTCTTTAAAATTGTGTCTGTAATATATCACACAGAAGTATATCTGTTAAAATATTCAAAATTGAAATATACCTGTGATTTCTCATAATATGTATAGATTTGTTGAATAGTCTAGGCTTTTCTGGTGTTTCATCAATGGGTTTGAGAGTGCATGTAATGATCTTAATCACAAAGGCTTGCCAGATATAACCTTGTCACTTGGTTCCCATCTCTTTTTTTTCTTGTAAAGAACTACAATTTATGTATGTGGTGGTCAGACAGGTTTGATCACTGGTGGCCAGATAGCTCAGTTGGTAGAGCACCTGACTGGAGATTCAGGGGGCCTGGTTTCGAATCCCGGTTTTGTCCATCACACATTTTTCTTCTCTCCCATTACATCCTGCTGGGACACAAAATCTAGGTCTTATAACATTCCTGAAACACAGCCTGGAATAGTTCATATGACTGAGCATTAACTTTCTAAATGCTTTATGCCATTGTTTTATCATTCTTGGATTTAAAATAAAATTCATTTTATCCATTGTTTCATAGGTGAGTTATTGGAAAATTCAACAATTCGGAGCAATGATATTGTGCCAGGTGCCACATTAAATCTTGGTGTTTGGCCAATGTGGCGAGACCTCATAGAAGCTGTCTCTCTTAACGACATTGACTGGGTGAGTGTATGATCATCATTTATAAGAGAAGATATGATGTTTTTTCCCTCTCCAAATTATGACTGAAATAAGACAATTTGTTATATTTTTCTTTCATGAAAACAAAAGAAAGAGTTGCATATACCATCTGATTTATCTATCCATTGTATATAAACTAATTTGCAGGTTTTCAGTCTTGGTGTAACAAATCCCACATCTTATAAAACGCCACATAGTGATTATATGACAAAGAAAGCCAGAAAAGCATGGTTAGAGGAAAGGGCATTTCTAGCTCTCTATATAGCTGCTCACCGTGGCCATGAAAAATTAGTCAAACGACTGATAGAAGCAGGTAGTTTTGCTTGCACAGTAATAATAACAACATTTTTGTTTTAAAATATTTACCGGTATACAAAAAAGGAGAATAATAATTGAGAATATATATACATACTGTTTTTATTATCTGTACAGAATTTAATAACATAGTACTTTTTAGTAGCTGAAATCAAACAATGTAGAAATTATTAATACGTTTTACAAAATTTTATTCTTGTAATTTAAAATTATTTTATTATCAGGAACAGACTTAAATGCCTGCACTCCATGTGGTCGAACAGCCCTGCATGTAGCAGCTTCTCAGGGACGTGGCAATATTGTGGATATTCTTTTAGAGAAAGGTTATTAATTAGTCTCTTTTCCAAGGCACTTACCTTCAATGAAGAATTTACAAACCAAAATATGTACTGAACACATTATATAAGACAATGTTTGTCTTCTATATTTCTATTCATGAATATAAATAGAAAGGATATTTAAATAATTTATGATCACAGACAAAACAAAATTACAGGGTTTACTTTTTCCTTTATATACTATCTAGTGTTTTGTTGTTCAAACACATAGAGTAAATTGTGATATTTTTTACCTATAAGGTGCTGACATTGATGCAGAAGATGAGGATGGTGCCACAGCATTGTCCATAGCAGCTAAGTTTAATCACAAGAGTTGTGAGAGACATTTATTCCTTTTCCGCTGGCAAGAAAGAGCAAAGAGGACCAAGCCAAGTGAGGAACCAGATCGCATGGCTCATCAGTTTTTTGACTCGGCATTCCCAGTGTGGATGAAGGGTGAAAGGTGCCAGCTTTATATGACTAACATTCTGCCCCCAGGAGAGTTTGAGGGAACTAGGTTAGGGTCTCCAAAAAAGAAAGTCCGAAATCGTTGCTTTACTGAGGAGGAGTTAAAATCATTAGAGCGACCAAGAACAGAGGAGAGTTTTGAAATAGATGCTGATGCTTTTGATGAAGATGGTAGGTTTGATGATAAATTGACATTCTACATCTTAAGTTTCTTTAATCATACAATTTTTTTTGATGTGTTTTCTATTTGATTTCAATTAAAGTGGGTGGCATATTTCAGATTTCTTAGATAACCCCACTTTTTTTGAGATGTAAAATTTAGCTTCCATGCTAAATATGTAATCTGTATATTTATTGGATGTGCATTTCATTGGGTCATTTTGTATTACTACAGGTAACTACAAGCTTCCAGTAATAAGAGAGGAGAGACAAAAAACTAAATCAAGGTCTGAATTTAATTACCTCAGAAAAAAATAGCAGTGTATATAGTCACTATTTGAGGACATAAAAGTATTTCTGGAAACATTCAGCTGACAAATCTGTTGTAAATTGTTATTTTAAGACTTTTGTTTTACTTAAAGAAAATGAAACTATATTTATTAATTTTAAAATTAAAGGATCTGGAAATTACCTGGTTCTCCATCTACATTTAATACACGTTTAGATTAGATCTCTGATCCATTCGCTATTCAAAAAATCCTTTGTGAAGCAATTAAGTGTGTGGAAGAAAGATATAATTTGAATAAGACTGCCTAAATCTTTGTAGTATGAAGTCAGTGGAAGAAAGATATAATTTGAATAAGACTGCCTAAATCTTTGTACATGTAGTATGAAGTCAGTGGAAGTAAGATGTAATTTGAACAAGACTGCCTAAATCTTTGTAGTATGAAGTCAAGTGTTTCTTATGATGAGTGGTTAAAAAAGAAGAAGGCAGTAGAACAGCGAGCCATTGATATCAAGAAAGCAGCAGAGGAGAAGATTCGCCAGGAGGAAGAAGAACGGTAAGTTGATGGATTTTATTGTTTCTGACAGAGTTAGAATGTCAGAAAATTCACAGTTAAAAAAGAAGCATCTTCAATAGAAATTTTTCATTATAGGAGACAAATAGTTTTTTGTTTATCTTTTTGTTATAATCATTTAAATCCTTAAATGTTGATCCTCAATAATAAATAACATGTTCTACTAACTAAGAATTTTGACTTTTGTTACCAAATTTAATTGTTCCTTGCATGAAACAATAACATCAAAGTTAAAATAACAAAAGTGAAATTAATTATATTCAAAATTTAATTTCAATACTAATTTCATCTTGATGTAATATGCAAAATATAACATGTCTTTAAAAAAAAAAGAATTTTGGTCTCAAGTTATTAGCTTTGGGAAATAGTGGTTTTAAAGGGAGGGGAACTACATGTATGTTATAATTCTATAACCTTGTTTGTTTTAACTCCTTTGTATTAAATTTTTGAATGCAGAAAAAATGAAGAGTGAGTAAATGACTGCTGTAGATTTCACAGCTGTATATGTCTAATACCCTGTGTTTTCTGTTTTATTTATTATTATTTCTTATTATTGTGTGCTATATGAACATAAATTATTTTCAGCTAGAAAAGCGTAACATTATAAATTATGCTTTCTTAATTAATTTCTCTTTTCTTCTTAAAAAAAAGTTTCTATTCAGTCATTTTTTTTTATTTCTTACATAATGCTTCCAGAAAAATGTTTTTAAAGCACTTTATCCATGGTTTGATAAACATTAATTATAAATTTTGATTTTAAATTTAATAATTATTTTTTTTTTTTGATGAAAAGTTTAATCCTTGTTCATACAATGTAATATTTAACAATTTTCTTTAGAGTTAATGTAATTTACATGTACATATACTCGATATATATTCTTCCATCTTTCCATCTTCATATTTCCAAATCTTAACAACTCACAACATACATGTATAGGTGTTAATAAGAAATCATTAAATTGATATATATATGTGGTTCTGTTACTAACAACGAAAAAAGAAAAAGTTTATTTGTACCGATTGTAATATACAGTGTAAATACAAGTATTCCCTTTTTCCTTAAAAAAGACTCCTTGTGTGTTTCACATGTAGTGTTTGTTTCTTAATATGTTACTATTCTCTGATCCAGTGACTAAAAGTAATTATGCAAAGCCCACACAGTACTCACATTCACAATTTTGCCCTTTTGACCTCAACTGTGCACAAGTGGCCTCAAAATCTATAGGTTGTCTCTTTTTAATGCGGATTGTGTAGCGAAAATGTTTTACTTGTTGGATTTTTTTCTTCTTTCTGACCCTTTGGCCTTGAGTCTTTGTTGAAGTGACAATAAAATCAATAGATGTCTTGTTCTAACCATTCTTTATAAAGCGCGGATCTAGAAATTTTTCAAAGGGGGGGGGGTTGAAGAGGAAATGAGAGTCGTTATAACTTATGTTCACATATACTTAAACGAAAACTTAATAAAAATACTACAGGGACGTAGTATCGTTTTTGAAAGTTGGGGACCAGGCAGGAAATTTTTTTGGATTGCCTGAAATTTTTTGACCAAAAAAAAAAAAAAAAAAAAAGAGGAAAAAAAAATCTCTGGAATCGAGTTCAGCTGAAAGGGGGTACGGACTAGAGTTAGGGGTAGGGTTAACGAAAATTTTATTTCTTTAAGGGGTGGGTGTCCTTTTTTCACAATCAAATTTTCTTCATACATTACTACATAGCCTTTCATTGAACAATTTCTATAGTAAAAACAAAAACATTCTGAACACTTCTCTCTCTTTTTCTCTCTCAGCGAATCCAAAGGAGGTTGCACCCCCCCCCCCCTTTCTGGATCCGCTACTGTTTATCTATTTAGTAAATAGGAAAATGGGAGATTAAAATATCCCATTTGGAATTTATAGTTTATCCCCCGAAAGTAAATTTGCCTTGTCCGAACGAGTCCTTGACAAGTCCCTGTGTAGAGACATAAACACAGTGAAATTGAATAAAACAATATGTATATTGTCGAAGTTAAATGTACAAAATGTCTTGTAACTAACTTTTTGTTGTAAATGGGAAAGGGGGGGGGGGGTTTAGAACAAACCAGGCTTTTTCCAAATGGACGTTGTCTTTGCTTGTATCGCAGTGTTTTTTTTTTATTGTTGTGTTCAGTGTTTGCTGACCTGTGTCTACTTCATTGTTGGAAAAAAGTGAATACTAACCAATTTCGCTTTAGCAATGATCTTGGCTAGGAATTAGCTATCAGGAATCCATGATTTGAAAAGTTCGAAATTCTGTGTAAATTGCTGTTTAAATAAATGCAAAAGTTGTATTGCATGAATTTGTTATATTCCATCAATACATCTATGTACATTTATCAAAAAGTTTTTCTTACCAACCAACTCATTGGTTGCAATGACTTATAATTATCCGATTCTTGTGATTCTCAAGTACATGTACATATTTGTGCATTAAAAAAAACGAGTGAGAGATCTCATTTTCTCATTTCCTTCATTTCACGCCACTGAAGTTTGGAGAGGTACGTGGTTTCGCCCCTCCCTCGTTTTTCAGTCGTACTCACCCATCTCTTGTGTAGCCGTCCCCTGTTTCCCGTGTCTATTATACAATATGTCATGTTGAATGCACTGTACTATTTAAGCTTTGTTTATTGTATCGTGGAGTTTGTCCAAAGTTGACTGCTTCTTGAACAAAATAACGTGTTTGAAATTTAATGCTAATCGCCAGTAACTGAGTTTAAAGGTGATGGCGAAATGAATTTCATATAAAATTGACTATAAATTGATATTTGTATGTTGTAATTCAGTGATCCCGAGCTGAGAAGGTATGTTTGTATGTCCATAGTCACTTGATAGAAAAAACTATATACAGGAATGGGACAAAAATAACAATGTATACATATCTGTCCGCATTTCTTTAACGCTTTTGCAATCACAGTCATTTTGGCAACGTTTTCCTATAGACAGTTGGATGTGCATGTATCTATAGTCGTAATGCTACAAAGCGACGGTCACTGGCTTTTAATCAATAACAATAACGATAGATGTATTACTTATATCCTGCTAATATTGTTGTTATAGATATTTTCTTGCAACTTCTTCCCTTAAATATTCTCAAGAATATATGAAATAAATTGATAACAAATTAATTACTATACATAAATTAATAAGATCTACATAAATGCTGTTACAGAAAACGCTTGGAGGCTGAAAAATCGCAGTCATATGAGACGTGGCTAGCTCAAAGAGAAGTAGAGAAAAAGAAAGTAGAATTTCAGCGTCAAAAGGACGACATGCCTATCGCTGAACGAGGCCCGGGGGCCCTGAGGGCCTACCTCCGGTCCCTGGGGAAAACTCGTGCGGGCGATACGTACGAGGATTGGCTGGACCAAAAAGAGACGGAGCTGAATTTGTACGGTGAGAGAGTCAAATCATCCAAACCATTAGCCGTCTAATATTATGGAGGAAATCAAGAACAAAGCTCGGTGTTGGACAATTGTTATAGAGCTTATACATGTATTTCTGACTTTAAAGTGGACTAGTATGTGTACTTTTATCAACAAACTATATGAACATCTGAAGTAGTATTTGAAAATCATGAGAAAAACTATCTCTGCAATATTGAGGAGTATAAATAATTTTAATTTATTTATCTGTGTACAAAGAAAATATAATTTAAATAAAATTTAGATAGTTATATCCAGTAATTTTCGTGTTTTATTTTATTCAGTGACCTGAAAAAGGATATGAACTCATTGTTTTATTTAAGCTATTATATTAAATCTAAAATATTTACACATGCAAATGTGATGTTAATAATCAGTAAAATCCTGGTTTATATCTTCAAAACCATATTGCATCTCGTATAACCTCTGAACTACTTACTACCGTAGTTTCATCATTTTTCGATGAACACCAATTTCCGTTTTTGTGGTTGATCCAGACTAAGAAATTAACACCACATTTTTTTCTATTGATAGAGTAGGAAGAGGAAGCTGTCCACGAATTTACATATAACGACACTGTATTTTTTTTTTTTTTTTTTTTTTTGCCGATGAAAATTTAGACAAGGATATACAGTAAAAAAAATAAATTAAAATAAGATTTTTGATTTATTGTTTGTTACTCAAAATAGGATTCTCTAAAATACAGACAAATAAAGTCAAGATAACATTCTATAACTTAATTGATTATTGTGGCCTTGGAGATCGAGCACGGCGGTTTGGAGTTTGACTGTACAGACGCAGACAAGTAGATTTTCGGGTAACTTTGTTAATAATGGCGCTCCGAAGTTCTTCCTGGGTCAAAGGTCGAAGGTCCAACTCCTCCACATAATCAAACACTTCATCATCTTCACTGTAAAATAGACCAAATAAATTATTTCTGCCATGAAGTAATTTAGAACTATGGGGCTTGTCACAATTAATGGTCAGATTCTTACCCAGCATTGGGAGGTTGTATAGAAACAACTGGCGGTAGGTCCACTTTCTGGGCTTGAGGATTCACTGATGGCGCGGGTTCACCTTTCTTTTCCTGTTTTGGTGGATTCAGCTGTAAATAGTCATGATGTCAAAAGTTATTTGCAGACATAGTTTACATTTTTTAACATCATTTTTGGTTTAAATTAAAAAAATTATTATGACAAGTTTATTTAGGTAAAGTCATTCAAAGTATTTAATCCACACCGTGTCGACATTAATATTCCAAATGGTTCACTAGAATGGTTCCTAATTGCATGTTATTTATCTACGATCGTAGGTTAACTTAATCAGTTTAGACTAATATCAGTTAATCAATATTTGAATTGACTCATTTGATTTGTACATGTAGTAAGGATTACCCCTATTTCTTTGGTACTAACCTTCATTTGAAGGTACTGCTGGGCCTGCAGGAGCTCCATGGTCTTCTGTTCTATGATGCCCATGTACTGGAGTATGTTTTTATTAGTGACTCGGTCGTCACTCCCAAGCATCTCCTGGATGACAGACGAGTCACATTGGATGGCTCGGAACAGTTGTCCTACCCCACTCCGCAACTCGTCTAGAACTTTGTTCACCAGGACATTTTTCTTCTCGGCTGCTTCCTTTTGGGCCCTAATTTTCTCGCTCTTTTCCTGAAAATAATCATGCAATAAAGGGTGAACAATTCTCAGAAAATCGTATATTAAGTATAATTCGTACGCTTAAATTTTATTTTAATACACAAAAAACAATTGAAGAAAAAAAAATCTCTCGATTTAAAAAAAATCGAAATGTTGAGAGTGTGCCCACCTCCAGATCTTTAAGCATTTGAGCACGAACGCTTTCGTTTTTGATGTCGTCTTTCTCAAACTGTTTGATTTCCTTCTGCATGGAGTGGATTTCGTCCTGCAAAAGCTCCACTTCGTCGCTGATTTCGTTGACATACTTAAAGAGAGCGAAATTTTCGTTCTCTCGCCGGATGAAATTTTTGACAATGACGTCAATACTGTCTTCGCCTGTCGCCTCGCGAATTCGCTGAAAAGCCTCCTCCAAAGTTTTAATTTGTAACTTTTCTGCGTCTGTATCTTTGTCACCACCGGAACCTAAACCATGCAATGGAAAGGAAATTTGAAAATTTACTTGCAAAGCTCTAAATTTTAATATATCCATAAATTTACCTACAGAGGTTAACGAAATGAAATTTAAGCAAACTTAGCAAAATTGGAGACACAAATCATCGTAAAAGATGAACATTTTATAAAATCATTGATAGAGTTATCTCTCTTTACATACTCAAGTATGATTAATAAGTACACATTGTGCGCTATCAATAAAAACACACACAGACTTACATTTCTTCTTCTTTGCCTCCTCTTCTTCCTTGTACTCTGTACGTTCACATGCCTTAAACATCATAAACTCCTTCAGACGATTATCGTGGTCAATGATGCGATCAAGTTCCTTCATTTCTAATTCGTGCTGCGCCATGTCCTTTTCACTTCTCTCTTTTAATGCCAGCATTTTATTTTGAGCCTCGTCTCTAAAAAATGACATCATTTTTATGGAAATGTTTCTTGATTAAGTTTCAAGTTTCATTATTTCACTATATATGACGTTTTGTAATTAATAATACCTATCCAATGAAAGTTAACTCAAAATGATTTAATTATACTTAATGTAAATTCACTTTGGAGTTTTTAACATTTCTTGAAATGCATGTGATTTAATACTAATTCTATGATTCCATGATTTTAAGAAAGATCAACAATTCTTATGGCATGCACTTGGATGAACAGTTGTTTTCTTTTTAAGGACCCTCGATAGGCTAAATCATTTTTTTTTTGACATTGAGAAAATAATATTGTATAAAGGTATAACTAATGAGCTTATCTATTTTATTTTCAACATAAGGTATGTGGTATTTACCCTAATATAATTACCAGTATAATTTTTCATTTGTATTGTATACTTTTCCAGTTGTATTGTAAAACACAAATCGAACATTATATATACAATACAAATGGAAAATTATACAATACAAATGGAAAATTATACAATGCAAATAGAAAATTATAAAATATAAATGGAAAAATTATACTATACAAATGGAAAAGATCGAATATAGAAAAACGTTTGACATGCCATATACAAATTGAGTAATATAGACTAGATTTCAATTTAGATCTAAGGGCAGATTACTCTAACCCCATAATAGAATATTTAAGCGCTGGATAAATGGTTCCTGAACACCAATTGCAAGTTGCACATCACTCGAAAAGCTACAATACTTTAATACGGCACTAAAATGAGAATACAGTTTTTGTAAATGCATACCTTTCCTCGTAAGCTTGAGACGCCTCCGTCACAACCTCATTCATGGCTTTCCTGGTTTCATTCAACTCTTTGGTAAGTTTCTTAGACAAACCATTAAAAACCAATCGATCTTGTCTGAAGTGATCGATTTCCTTTCGCAAGCGAGCATTTACTGATAATTGTTGGTTAAACTTGACCATTTCCTAGAAAGAATCCAGAATGCCTTCTTAAACAGAAAAACCAAATCGAAACCAAGCCTTCTATAATTCTACTCCATTAAAAAAAGCAAATTAATGGGTAAAAGTAGGATACTATACAATAATGAATAAAAATGTTCTTCAGAAAGTTTTTATTTATTTATTTTTTTTATTTCATTTTTTTTCCAAGTGAAGAATTTTAGCTATGTTTTTGAAAAGTGAAGTTTGTAATACTGCACACACAGTAAATTATATAGTGAAAATAGTAGAAATACTTTTGACCCTCGGGTGTATATTTATAATTCCTTTTCTTTACTAGTATATTATCCAGTTTGTTTTTCATTTTCCGTATTTTTTTTATTTGCATTTTCTTCTTACTTCATCCAGTCTGTTTTCCATTTTTGGATGACCTATTCCTCCTTACCTTATCCAGTCTGTTTTCCATTTTTGGATGACCTATTCCTCCTTACCTTATCCAGTCTGTTTTCCATTTTTGGATGACCTATTCCTCCTTACCTTATCTAGTCTGTTTTCCATTATCTGTAACGTTTACTAGTATATGGTTATCCTTTTCTTTCTACCTTATCCAGTCTATTTTCTACAATCAGGAACGTTTTCTGACTGGCCCTTTCTTTCTTTTCCAGTTTGTTTTCAATCATCTCTAACGTTTTTTGATTTGCCTTTCCTCCTCACCTTATCCAGTATGTTTTCTATTATCTGTAATGTTTTTGGTAGGCATTTTCTTCTTATGCTTATCCATACAGTCTGTTTTCCATTATCCCTAACGTTTTTGATTGTTCGTATGCTCTTTACCTTATCCAGTCAGTTTTTCCATTATTCTTAGCGTTTTTGGATGATCTTTTCCTCCTTTCCTTATATAGTCCGTTTTCTATTAACCGTTACTTTTTTATTGTCTTTTTTCCTCCTTACCTTATCCAATCTGTTTTCCATGATCCGTAAAGTTTTTGATTGTCCTTTCCTCCTTACCTTATCCAGTTTGTTTTCCATTATTCTTAGCGTTTTGGTTGACCTTTTCCTCTTTACCTTATCCAGTCTGTTGTCTTATATCCGTAACTTTTTATTGTCTTTTTTCCTCCTTACCTTATCCAGTCTGTTTTCAATAAACTGTACGTTTTCTTTTGGTTGGTCTATTCTTTCTACTTATCAATGCAGTTTGTTTTCAGATTCTATCATGCGTAACGATTTTAGATTGGCCTTTTCCTCCTCATCTTATCAAATCTGTTTTCTATCATTCTACTATCTGTATAGTGTTTTTCTTTATTGTATATTTTCCTCCTTACCTTATCCAGTCTGCTTTTCATTATCCGTAACATTTTTTGATTGTCCATTCCTCCTTACCCTATCAAATCTGTTTCCCATTATTCTTTAGCGTTTTTTGTTGGCCCTTTCCTTCTTACCTTATCCGGTCTGTTGTCTTATATCCCTAACCTTTTATTGTCTTTTTTCCTCCTTAACTTATCCAGTCTGTTTCCATGATCCGTAATGTTTTTTAATTATTATCAGCGTTTTGGTTGACCTTTTCCTCCTTGCTTATCCAGTCTGTTGTCTTATATCTGTAACTTTTTTTATTGTCTTTTCTTCCCTACCTTATCCACTCTGTTTTCCATTATCCATAACGTTTTTGATTGCCCTTTCCTCCTTACCTTATCCAATCTGTTTTCCATTATTCGTAGTGTTTTTTGAATGGCCTTTTCCTCCATGGCCTCCGTGACTCCACCTTTTTGTTTTTTATACGATGTGATACTATGGTCAAGGGCCTTTATCTAAGGAAAGAATACGATAAGATATCACAGATCGAGAGTTAAAAAAGTTGCGAACGCAACTACATGTATAAAAATATGTTAGGATACCGTATACATCAAATTAAACTTATACATTTCCTAACAAAGCATAGATCTCAATCTTTGGCCAGATATACCACACCGATATCTGCAAGTCTGGACTGAATTGGCAAGATATACCACTCCAATATTTGCAAGTCTGGATTGGATATTGGAATGTGACCTAAATGTTGAGCTTAACCAAGCGTCTACAGACGTATACGTCCAGACAGCTAGGGCTGCGTTCAAGATCATAGCGGCTACTTAGCTCTAGTAGCCGTTACGATCTTGAACGATATGCTAGCCAATCAATAACAGGCGATAATATATATACATTGGGTTCAATTTGACCTAGAAATCTAAACTAGCATCTATATAGGTAGCTGCTACATGTATGATCTTGAACGCAGTCCTTGGGTGTTCAATATCGTAGCGGCTACATAGCTTCTACGAAGAGCTACGATCTAGAACGATATCCTAGCCTAGCAGCCATGTAGGAAAGCTATATAGCATAAATATTTGATGCTAGGCACCAAATCCAATATGTAAATTTACAAAAATATTTTCGCTTGCGTTAATCTCACTTTGTTCCAAAAAATAGCGATTAATAAGATATTTGTATCCAAAATCTAATATCTATAGCGGCTAAGCCAGCCGTCCGTCCAATAGAGTTAGGTTAGCCGCTAAGATCTTGAACGCAGGACAGACGGACGTGCTAGAACTTTCACAAACAGAAGTCTCCAGGAATTTACATCTTGAAGCGAGGGATCGTGTCAAAACCGGAAGTGCTATTGACAAAGCATACACATGGATAAAGCGTAGGTTTATCTAATGGGTATAGTATCCACCACACGTATGAGATAAATAAAATATATTCAATAAATAATTGTTTTCATAAATTATTTTTATTCCTATAATTGCGTTAAGTGTTAATATAATTTTCGAAAAGAAATCAAGAAAACATGTTTTTTTTTGGGGGGGGGGGGTGGAGTGGGGGTAGGGTGTTTTTATACGTTTACTTAGTCTATAAAACAATACACTACGATAATCACAAAGAAAACGCTGGATTTTTTCTATGCACAAAGGTACACAGATTTTATGCAATTCTTGTCGAAAGAATTTTAATAATCCGCAATTACTTTTAAAATGTTTAAAATGTTTCTTATTCTAATAATTTTTTATTTGATGCCAAGTCACACACTGTGAAATATTTTATTAATGAGTATATTTTTCGCAAACATCTTTCTACAAAAGGTGGAAAGGGGCAAAAAATAAGCATTTTATAAAATTTTTAGGTCACCTGAGTCACTCAGGTAACCTATTGCCATTTGTTTTTACCCGTCGTCATTTGTCGTACGTCGTCCGTCGGTCGTATACTTTTGAACATTTTCAGCTTCTTCTCTAGAACCACTGAACCAATTCCAACAGTTTTTGCATATATAGCAGCTATGAGTGAAGGGGAACAAAAATTGTGAAATTCGTGGTCCTTGCCCCCCCCCCCCCCCCCGGGGTGGGGCTAAAACCATCAGCCAAGTACGATCCCAAGAAGATCGCTCGAGTCTCACATGTTACAATAAGCAAGGATATTTTTACCAGATTTTTGAAATTCTTGGGCAACATAGCTTCATCTTTCAGCTAATTTTGTTTTATACCTCTATGGACCCTACAGTGTTACATTATACTCAGGTGACCGTTAAGTCCCTTAGGCCTCTTGTTATCAAGAACAAGGATGCAAGTCGCTAAATTCAGGGTCTGACTGTTTGCGACGAAAATTGGTGGTCGCATGTCTCCTTAGACAGGGAGTCGCTGAATTCAGGTAAAATATAATGAAAATTCATGATCGGAAATTTTATGGTCGCATATGACGTCGCTTATTACAGGTAGTCGCTATGACAGGTATATGACTGTACATCTTATATCGAATAAATATAATTTATTTTATTGAGTTATTTAAGCTGCAGCCATGACACTCTCACCTCGTCATCGAGTTCTTTGATCCGCGCCTCCTCAGCATCTGCCCGAGCATTGTAGATATCCAAGTTTTCTAAAAGATCAATAAGGCGGTCTGTGTCCTGCATATCGATTGTCCTGTTTTTGTCACTATTCGCCAATTTCAGGACAGTTCTGATCTCAATGTTCTCTTTTAAAAGTGATTCTATCTCGCACCTTCCAATATATGAAACGAAGTCAGAAGTTTTAATCTCATTGAATACTCTTTTGGTAACAACAAAATACCATTTCATTGATTCGTTTTGTTTTTCATATCTATATAAAACAATTATTAGATGTTTTTTTATATAGCAAAACAATTATTGACTGTGTTTTCGGGCAACATTGATTATGTTAGCCCCATCGGGACGAAAATATTGCCCTCCGCTCTGCGTCGAGCAAAGAACTACGCACGCTAACTCTCGATTCCCGCCTGCATTTTAAACCCATTTAATTCAATACTAATGGCAATTTGGCCGTAAAATCTTTGTTGAATGCAAAGAACAGTTCAATGGTAGTTGACTGATAATTTTAATACTAGTGTTAAATAGTTAATTACCCCTAATTCCAGCTCTTTAAATAAGGGGATAGACGATATTTTCCATTGAAATCGGGCTTTAAAGCATCACCACATTTTAAAATATTCTTGGATATGAATAAATGTTCCTTAAATCTTTTATGTTTTACGCATATAAAATTAAGCATATATTATCAATAAAATACAATGTTTCAATTGTAAACCCCTTTGAAATTGGTGAAAAAATAATCATTTTTGTAGTTGTTAGTCTGTTCTCTCTTTGTTTTCCCCAAGAAGTAATGTTTTATGAAAATTCATATAAATATCTATATAATTATGAAAAATCATTCAAATGTGTTAACTTTTGAAAACTGACTTGGAGGTAGGCGGGAGAACAATACTATCGTTCGCAGTTCTTTTATCCCATGGGGGCTAACATAATCAATGATGCCCTCAACCCCAGTCATTATTTGTATATTATTCAGCCAAGAAAAATATATCCCAGAAGGCTTCACAATAATGCACATGTTTACATATTAAATATTATAGTAATTTAAAAAATGTAATGTTTCGAGGAATTAATTTTCGTTGTTTTCGTGGTATAAAGAGACCAACAAAGAACTAAAGCCAGAATGTACCAAAATCCGCCCTGTCACCAAAACAGATGAAACTTTCTCAAACAATGCTCGTAGATTAGTAGATTATAAAACATTTTATTTTTTAACAATATCTTTCTCCATGAAATGTAAAATTTCAGATGTATAACAACTCAACAATTTGTAAACCATAAAATCAAATCCCCAAGAACAGAACGTTTTTCCCCGATCCCACAAAAATATGATTTTACAGTATGCAGAAATACGTCCATATGAAACTTAAAAAATACCTTCAATGTATACAAAGTCGAAGAATTACTCTTCATTGTGTATTGACTGTCATTACCCGGTATATATGTAATCATATATGATATATGTGATTATGCCCATTTGGGCCCTGATTATTCTATTCTGTAGATAGTGTTTCTTCCCAAGTTTTTCTTCTCGTGAAAATTGAACTTTCATAAGACGTGAATGTGAAATTGTAATAGATAACTGACAAGTAAGAATAAATCTGTCCCTGAAAACACTTTACTTTTTTTTTTCTTTTTTTTTCCTTTTCTTTTTTTTCTTTTGCAAATTTTCATCTGAAGTACATGTACCCTACCTCTTAAATATATTTTTAACATCTTAAATTCCGAGTCTTACTCTTGTTTCCTGAGAAAGTTTCTGGAATCTTCCTCGTAAGCTCGCCGGTCGTTCTCCATCACCCGGAGTTTTCGCTGGAGTCGCAGAAGCTCCGCGCTCTGCGACATCTCGTCCATCATTTCATCTGCCGGATCTCTTTGGGTTTGAGCTCGCCACATTGTATTATCCCTATGTATGTGACGTTGCTATGATAACACAGCAACTCATTGTGACATCAATGAAAATCAAGCATCACTTATGATGACATAATTAAGGGAAAGAAAGTAATTCATTTACGTAGGACACCTATTACGCTATTACATTGTGACGTCATAATGAATTAAACATCGTCTTTTTTCTAAACGCTTCATTGAATGAAGACCAAAAAAAAAAAAAAAATAAATAAAAAATCAAAAAAAATCTGGATTTATACATGTACCCAATATAAAAAAAAAATGATTCTGTAATAAAAATCAGAGGTCTCTAGTACGACTGTAGCTCTGCTTGTGTTTACAATAGTGCTACAAAAGTAGAAGAGAATAAGTTTCCCATTTATACAAATGAATGTAATTAAGAATCCGCTACCACTTCTAATTTAATACATTGTATAAATTGGATCCAAATACTCTCAATCTGGAAGTCATTTTTCCCACGAATATTCAAGAAAAAAAGTACAATGTAACATTACGTTCAACATATGAAAATTTAATTTAATTTTTTTTCAAAAATATTTTCCGAGATTTTTTTAAAGGGTGGGGTGGGGGTCACATCATTGCACCCCTCCTTTTGATGGCCTTGAAAATCTGTAGAAGAAATAGACTTTTAAGGACTTTCACAACTGGCAACGAAATCCGTAAATGAATTTACGTGACTTAGTTTTTTTTTTTTACGTGTGTATACAGTTCTCTAAATTCGGACCAAAATTGTAGGATAAGTAGCGTTATGAAAAAAAATCTTTGATTTTTGTAACCATGGCAACCGCTCCTCTAAATCAAAATCCGATATTTCGATGTAGGAAAAGTAGCGTCAATATAGAAGGCTTTCACAAAAGTTTCTAGTTTTATAACCATGGCAACACCATTCTTCGAAATCTTACATCGAAAAATATTTCAGTTTCTTGAAGTAATTTGTGTACCAAAATATAGGAGTAGCGTTTTGAAGAATTCTTTTAAGACAGATTACTAGTCTTTAGAATACCCCTATATAAGAAATATGTAAACACCATGTAATAACTAGGAAATTGACGTTGATTTGAGACTTAGCCAAAAGCCATCTGTGCAAAATGGCTTGAAACTATATATTTAATGCAGCAAATCAGACGTTCTGAAAAACGAAGCCACAATGACATATGCATGAGGTCACATGATTTCAGGCAAACAAATTTAATCAAAAACAGTTTATTCTGTTTAGATTTGATCAAATATACAATGGAATATACGTAATCTTCATACTGTGTAAAGATATGGCAGTTTTTCATTAAGGTCAAGATCTAGTAAATGAGTTTAGACTGTCTTTTTTGTGCTAGACCCATTATGACGTCATAATTCATCAAAAACTTCCTTTTTCCCGTACTTTACGGCTATAACAGAATTATGTAGAAAATGAGGCATTTTTATGGAAATCAAGTTGAAATCATGTCAAATGTAACCCCGATACCTATATTCAATTTAATATAATTTTAAAGAAGAGGTTAAGAAGATATGAAAAACCGTTCTTTGAGAGACTGTAGGCAATATTGATACATTTCCTTTGTCTGAGATGGAGAAAACTCCGATTTTTATACCTGATTTTCTTCATTTTTCATTGAAAAGGGCAGTTTTAAATAGGTATTTTGTTGAGTTTATCTAAAAATTATGTCCCGATACACCTAAATTTATTTAGCTATAATTGTAATAGATCATTCAAGGAATTTGTTTCGCAAATTTGAGAAATCTGTAGGCACTCTTCAATTACTAGATCTTGACCTTAACATACAGTAAGTCTAGGGCCTTAATATCAAATGTGTAGAATGGAACAACACGATCCAAATTCTCTGATTAAACAACACCCGCCAATGTTTCTGCGATTACTAGTATTTGTCTGACGTCATGGCGTCAGACAGTACTAGATTTAGCCAAGGCTTGTTGGTCAAGTCGTTCAATAGAATTCTTGTGATAACTTGATCTTGGAAACTTCATACTATCTTAACTATCAATTGGAGAGCATGAGAAGTAAAAGAAACATGCTAAACACCCAAACAAGCCAGAGCATTGAACCTATTTATTATCACATTATACATTACAGGTTACATAACATTTGGCCATTCTCGAATGCATCATTCATGTCCAGCAAAACAGCAGGAATGAAGCTGGTCAGGTCAACACTTGTCGATTATCTTTATCAGATTAACTAATGGATGTTTATTTTCAATGCATACTAAGTCTCTCTACCTTTAGAATTTTTATGAATCTACACATATTCATAACTTGCAGATGTTTGATTTCCGCCCCTCGTGAATTAAAAATTGTGAGTGTATTTACCAATAACCAATTAATATCTATAATGTAACTATAACATAATTAAAAAATTATCAAAGTGAAGGATAGATGTTGAATATTTTTTTGCTTAAATGCAAAGATGTTAGCTATGTTTATTTTTTTTTAAATACATGTACGACATTTCTTAACTATCAAAATTGTTCACCAATTGATGTTTAGATTTTTATGTGTTGCAACTTTTTCATTCAAAAAGACTGGTTATATCTTTGTATCCATGAACAGACCCGTTGGAAGAATTTTCAGAAATTTGCAGTCTAATGTGGACACTATCAAGGAAAAATTCCTTATAGAGCATACAAAAGTTATCAGAAGTTAATATTTACATGATTCAGGGGACACAATCATAAAATAGCTATGTATATAAATTAAATCGGCAAAATTATTGGAGGGGGCACCCCCCCCCCCCGGTTCCTACATCTAAGAAAAAAGAAAATACAAGTAATATAATGTATACAGAATAAATTCATGTCAAGTTTTATTTTATGTTGATGCCACTGAATTGAACTTTTCTTGTTTCTTAGCAAAAGAATTCATTTCATGACGCAGACTCATGTTGATTACACAGTATTTAACATTTCTTGATTCTTCACGTAAAAATAAATTTGCTCAAGTCAGACAAGCTTTTTAGGAAAGCTAATACTTGTACCGCATTTATTTTCATTCTACACTACTTGTTAATATGAAAGTTGTTGGTTGCTGAATGTTTGCTACAACTTGTTGACCAATACCTTACATAGGGCCAAAGTTTGACCAAACTTGGATCTACAGTGCACAAGGAGCTTGTCTACTTAACTGACAAAGCGATGCTATTTTAAAATGAAAGATATTGTACCAACTAAAACAGACATAACTTTCCAATTAACTTGAATTCAACAGTAAAGTATTGACATTTTCTATGTCTTTAACTTGCAGCATTAGTCTTTGACTTTACATTCACTATGTAAAAACCAAAAGTCTCTGATAAGACTGTGGCTCTACAGGTATGTAATCGTAATAAAGGAGGAGCTCCTAGACTCGAAACTTTGTAGCAACACCAATAAATAAGAATTATAATCCTTGGTTCATTTAACTTGTATACCAGCTTTTATTAAACTCAGACCAAAAAAGAGGAGTAGTGTTTTGAATTATCCCCTTTTTAGTCGACATTGCAATCTAAATGAGAAATATATGCATCTTGGTGTAGTTTACTTGTGTACAAAGTCCTAAAGAAAATAGATCAATGATGTCTTGTTGTGTGTGTACTAATTTTTTAAGAAATTGGACTAAAACTGTATGATAAGAAACATTTTCATAAAAATTTCTGTTTTCCTGTAACCATGGCATCACCGTTCATGGAAATCAATAACTAAAAGAGAATCGTGTACCTTATTATAGTCTGTATCAAGTCTTACTGAAACCAGACCAAAACTTAGTAGCTTTTGGAAAAATATCAAAGAAATTTTTATTTTCACTAGCCATGGCAATGATCCTCAAAACAGAAACCAATAAATAGATTTACGTACCTTAGTACAGTCTACTTGTGTATGAGATCTTATTGAAATCTGATCAAAACTGTACAAGTGGTGTTTTGAAAGGTTCAAAGAAATTTCTTTTTTGAGTAACCAAAGCAACACTTTTCACCGTAATCTGAAACCAAACACAGAATTATGTATCTTAGTTAAGTCTAGTTGTGTATTTTAAATCAGACTATAGCTATAGTTGGAGTAGTGTTCTGGAAGAATTTTGGGAAATTTCCTTTTTAATAACCACGCCAACACTGTTCATCGAAATCTAAAACTGATAAACAGAAAAATGTATCTTAGAATAGTCTACTTGTTATCATTTTGAAAATTTTTACAAAATTTCTATTCTTAGTAACCATGGAAACACTGTTCATCAAATGAGAAATCAATCACAGAATTATGCATCTTGGTATAATCTACATGTATCTGAGTATAGTCTTATTGAAATTGGTCCAAAACTGCAGAGTAGAATTTAGAAGAAAAAAAAATTATAGATGGAGAGACAATATATGCCTTACTTATGCATAAGCTCTTCTAGTCCCTAACCAGAAGATCTAAGAAGGAGATTCACTCACTTGAGTTTCCTTTAGCCATTGAAAAATAAAAGTTGTCACAGATAGAAATCGTCATTAATAATGATTGGTTTAGTGTCACTTATCCACCGTTTCTCTCCCTTTTTAAAAAAAATATATCTTAAAATCCTACTCCATATCTAAGGTAAGTTTTTTTTTTTTTTTGGGGGGGGGGGGAGGGAGGGGGGTATGTAGCCCTTTCCTTGAAAGAATTTGATTCTTTTCATCCAAAGATGCTTTTTTGCCTAGACTTTTCCTTGATTCTGGATAGGAAAGTTTTTAAATGTGTAAAAATTAATAATAAATTTCAGTAACAGAAAGATACAAGAGGCCCAAGGGCCTTAAATCACTCTTCTGATAAACTGTACAACCTATTGCTTCTATCTGAAGCCTCCAAGTATACTGTATATTTAGATAAAGCCTTGAAATTCCAAAGGTAGGTCATTATGACCTACATTTTAGATGAAACACTCTGAGAACCCAAGATGATTCTATGCCAATTAGTACCTGAGAGTTGGTCATGGTGACCTACTTATCACTTGTCATTCTCTGAGGACCCAAGATGC